TATGTTATTAAACTGTTGGGAAAACAACGTTATTAAGTTAGGCCTAAACACTGAAGGGTATGCAGTGTAAGGAGTAACCAGCAAATACGCGGTGGGCTACTGCAAGATAGTTACATAACTTCCAGGTAGGTCTGAGACTGAGGTAACATGTTTGGTTGGGAGTAATAATGATCTGGCAGCGGCTCATTCGGGGCTGGATCCGGTGATAGTGGACGATGCAGCACGTCCAGCGGGACCTCTGGGTCGGTCCGATCGGTGGCGCTGGCAGCTCTGACGATCTTGCTCTCGTACTTTCGTTCTGATTGTCCGTGTGTCAACGTGCCCCCTTCGTGATTAGCTGTCCTCTGTGTGTCATTACGGTTTTTCTTCCACCTGGCGATATTGGAAAGTATTGTTTGAAAGATATCTTATAACACTCTAAAAAAAATCACGCGTAACTTCTCCAGGTCGAATTGACACTATTCAGGGTCAAAATGAACCGGACAGTGAGTGAACCTTATTATTAATCTTCATTCTGCCATTTTAAGGTCCTTTTTTTGTCGCCTGTTTATGCCAATGGTTTCCATATTAATGAGCACAACTGAGATGTCAATCAAGGCAGAAACATCAGTTTCATGACTGCTCTAGCTTAATGTCACAGTGATTGGGGTTTGCTGTGGTTATTTTTTTTCTTCTGATTGTTGTTTCAGTATAATTATGACAGTAAGGCAATGAGACAATTTTATGACCAAATGTTTTCAATAAGGAGAATTTTGGGTTTACGATTTGAAGAGAAAAAAAAACTAAACTGAATAATGTGTTCCTAAAGTGAAATCACAGCAACAGTTGTCGGAATAAGTATGAAACATTTTAAATTGTTCAAAAAGTGCACTTTGCAATATTTTTTACCAAAAAAAGGAATGTCTTAGAGTTTTTGTACATTTAAGAGGAATAGATATTTGCAAATTCTCCAGTGTAAAATTACTTTCATGGACCTTTCCATTCCTACCTCATGATGAAGATGACGAGAACAAGGAGGACAACGACGAGGAACCCCGCTACGCTTATCCCCACTGCCTTTCCCACTATTGTGTCGTCAAGTGGATAATAAGAAGAGTATAGAGGTCGTAAGTGCGGGCACAAACCGTTATGTTCTCGCGTGATCTCGGGTAGCACCGAGTATATACAGTGCTATATGTAAATGAAAGCTAAAACCCAGAAATAAAAAGTCAAAGTTCTTAAGTTGTTTTCTCATGTGTACAGGACTACATCAACTTCTTAGGTCCATGCAAATAAAAAAAAAATTTTTGATGTCGGGAAAATCGTGTTTCAAGCTGACGACCATATACCATCCAAACTCCATAATTACACTATAATGTACATTAGGAAAAATGGAAACTTATTTAGTTTGTATGAGGATACTGGCTTGATATCACCCACGATTTTTAAACACAATTCAAACCATTGCTTGCTATCACGATAAAAAGGGCCTGCAGATGAGACAGAGGTTGAAGTAGAACGAGATTTCTTCTCTCTCAGTATTCTACTTTTTTCCATGTAGCAACTTGTAAACCAGATTCAGACAGGGTCGTTCAATATTTTTTTCGCAGATGTACACGGAGGAGGCGCTCCTTCGTGAGTACGGATTTGAAGGACGTTTTGGGACTCCGGGCAACAAGAGTTACATGCACTCAAGGAATACTGCATTCTCACAGTGATCAAAATTTTTAACAGCTAGATTACCTATTGCCTGGCACACAGCAGGCTCACCAGACCACGTGAAGTCCGACCGACAAATTCTATTGGCTGATCCGCTGAGTTGGTACCCGGCTGGGCATGCAAACTGCACTGACTCGCCTGGAAGGTACACAGTCTTCTGACCGGACACCACCTCAAAGAGATCAGATGAGTCACGACTAACCACGCAACCAGCAACTGTTAAGATAAAGAGATATATTCAGCTTGGGTGTTTTATTTGTTAAATTCCTAGCACATCTATTTTTCAATACAAAATTTTAACGATGTGGTTTTTTGAAATGTTTGAACTTGTGTTTTTTATTATCTTTATTGTAAATTGATATTTATCCATCGGATTCTGGCGCTTACGCTGTTTGGATGTTGTTCGAAATAAACAAAATGAATAGTCTTGGGGTTAGGAAAATCTACATTTGTAGCTGTTTCATTAACTTCTGTTTAATTCACTATTTTGCATGCCTGTTGTAACGGTGTGAATTCTTTTGTACGTTTTCTGTAAATGTATGAAAGGAGTTTTAATGAATTATACCACAAGACTACCAATTTCTATGTTTTTTTGTTTAATAATAACATAAATTGAATTCAATTCAATTCAATTTTACTGTGATACAAGTCAATCTGCATTAGGTTCATTGAACATGATAGACTTTGTCCAACTTTGCGTGCCTTGGTAAATTTCTACCGTAAATGTACAGCTTGCAGTATTCGCTGCCGCGTCATCAGTTGTGTACATGTACTGCTATAAACGAAAAAAACGAACCATAAAAGTCCCCTCTTTTTCACAGCTTAAAAAAAAATACATCGCAAATATTCATGCACAGTTAGAGAGTATATTTCATTAACTTTTCGACACCGAAAAAAATCTTTCCAATCTGGTAAATATTTTTGTTGAGTTATTGCCAAATCAAAAAAGGGCCGGTTTTTCAATCTGTCCACGGTCTAAATTTTCATTTATTAGGAATGAAATGGATTTGGGTAAAGGTTAGCTTTGCTTTCGTTAATGTTTGAATTGTTCGTTTTTATTTGGTTCTTTTTATTTCTTTTTACTTTTTGAAACAATGGTCCCGAAAAGGACTGTTTGGTTAACTTCTTAAATGTTTACTGAGCTGCTCTGTCGCTGCCCTCTACTTAGTAGCCTCTTTCCCAAATGCAATTTTCGGGCCTTGTTGTTATTGCGGCAGTCAAAATATCCGTCGCCATACGTGGACAAAACGAAAAAGCGGTACTTTGCCGTAACTCAATAAATATTTACCCGATTCGAAAGTTTTTTTCGCTGTCGAAAAGCTAATGAAATATACCCTCTAAAAATTGTGTTTCGAAATTTGCGATGTATTTTTTTAAAAGCTGTGAAAAAGAGGGATCTGAGGGTTCGGGTTTTGTGAGACACCCTGTATTTTACTGTAGTTGTTCCAGTTGTAAATTCGATTACTGAGGCTGGTACCTATCTGTGAATAGTTGGGACGACATTTTGCAAACGCACCTAAGTAACACGCGTATACTGTCTCGCACTTCCTCAATACGTGTTGAGAGCGGGCTCAAATATTTTGTCCAGGGGCTGTACCTATATGCATGTTACTCTGTTTACTTATTGTTAACTGAAGTGAGGATGACAAAGAGCTTACCGACAGAGAAAGTGACGTCACAGTCTACCGTGTTGGCTGCTTCATCAGTGGCTCGGTAGGTAATGTTGTACGTTCCAAACTTGAAAAAGGAACCTGGTCCGTTTTGAGATGCAGGAAAAAGTACAACATTTGGAGTAGTACCAGAGTTGTCAGATGCAGTAGGCGTTGCCCAGGTAACTGTTGCTCCAGCAGTATTTCCTGTGTTGATTATTACATCTTGAACAGTTGGGCAGGAGATTGAAGGGGGAGTAGTATCTGAGAAGAGCCAAAGAAGACGATCACGCAATGTACGTTTCGATAAAAGTAGAAACGGTACCACAAGAATAAACCGAAATAAACTTTCGAAATGTGTCTGAAAAGCAATTTCGTTTATTCCATGTAGGCTTATTCTTAAATGTGAGCGCTTGCCTATATTAATATCTTATTATACACAATCAATATGTAATCAGATAATGTTAAAAGTAGCTGAAAGATCCAGTAAAAGAATGACATAATTCTTCATTTAGAGATCAAGGATAACGTTTCATGCATTACATCTTGCATCCTATTCCAAAATCGGATACGTGGTGCAATTAGGTACACGTGATTCAATTGATGTTTGGCGTTTCAGTTCCCTTACATTCGACCAATACCGATATCTGCATATTTGTGACACCAATGTGAAAACTGGATTATTGTTTTGTTACCTGGTAGGTTGACTGTTATAGTATATGTACATGAGGCTGTCTCCGTAGTCTGAGTATCAGTCCCGACAGCAAGAACAGTTGTTTGAGAAGGCGTCCCAACATTAAACGTATTGTTTTCAGTCGGCAAAACGATTCCTCCAGATATCGCAGTATATACATACACCACTGGTCCTGTGTTCCCTGTTGCTGTTGGTGTAGAAATCTGGACCGACTGATTAGTTGATGCCACGATGTCAAAGTTGTCAGGGCACTGAATTGAAAAAGTAGAGGCTGTGACAAACAAGAAACAGAATGAGATATTTATAGACAAAAAGAAGTATCAAGGAAGTTTTTTCACCAAAGAACTTTGTACCACTTAAGGTATGTGTGCAAACGAAAAGCCAGGTCATATCGAGATTAAGTATAAATTTAATTATTAAATTTATAAACAATTTATAAAAAAGAGGGCAGGCTATTGGAAAAACAAAATAGCTTATTTCAGTACCCTACCTAAGATCCAAGTTATGCTATGCAATAGTGTGTTCTAATTTTTTAAAACTAAAATCCTCCTTTTGTAACTTGGCTATTACTTTCACTGTGTGTCCCCCCCCCCCCACACACACACACGTTTGTTTTACATACGCTATGTGGACATTCCTTTGTTCTCGTGTAGTCAAGAAAACTCGGTACAAAAAATAACTTTACTTAAACTGTGAAAACTTTTTCAACCCACACGTATCATGAAAGTACATGAAACAACACCTGAATAGACAAGCCTCGTCAAACTGACCCGAGACCATGTGTTTGTCACAAGTGGCAATCAGTCAAATCGTGAGATATGTAACCAGTTGGTCCGTCAGTGAGATAGGTACTATAAGAGGTACTATAAGAGGGCACTAGGATGACCCACTGATACCAGCAACATATAACTGATTTCTGCATTTACATTTACTCACAAAACCCCCACATAGAACGATATCTAATTTTCTCTACCTAATTGTTGAACCAAGACTGTGAACATGCAGAATGCAGTGTTACCAGCTGCATCTTGGGCTTGGTACCGGATGGTGTATTGTCCAGCAGCCAAGTTAGTGCCAGGAGAAACCCCTTGAATCTGTGTCACAGTGGGTGTGCCTTGGTTGTCTGTTGCTTGTGGTACAGGCCAAGTTACAAACGTCGTTAACCCACTAGTGATTGTGAAGACAGGCGATGTTGTGGGACAGTTAGTAAATGTTGGTGGTGTGGCGTCACCGCCTGAGAATGAGAAAAACAGTACAAACAATAATGACGTCAAGCCTAGTAAGAACTGGTCTCACAGCGCACAAACCTCTATGTGTCTTTTCCCGATTAAGAATGGCTAGCCACTGGAAATCTGAGAGGAAAAGTATAGCAGCAAGTTTGATAAAATTGACCAAGTGGATGTCAAAATTTTGGCAAATCAACCACGGAAGTGGTCAAATAAATTTGACCACGGAAAAAATAACCACGTTTTTTTAAGAGTGTAGACTATTGTCGTTGTTCCAGGTGTAAATGTAGATCCTGAAGTTGGTCCAGCAGTTTGTGTGATTGTTGGAATTACATGGGAGTTTTCACTGCCAGATGGCGGTTTGCCATGTTACTATATTCTGGTTTACCCCCCCCCCCCACACACACACACGTTTGTTTTACATACGCTATGTGGACATTCCTTTGTTCTCGTGTAGTCAAGAAAACTCGGTACAAAAAATAACTTTACTTAAACTGTGAAAACTTTTTCAACCCAAACTACATTTAACAGATTGATGGTACAAACAATAATATTCTGTGAATGTTATGACACCACATTTTTGATATCAATTCAGTGATTGATTTATACTTAATACAGCTATAAGAGATGCCTGCCACAGCAAGGGCGGAACCAGAACAGAATACTTGGGGGATTTTGTTGTTGTTGATTCTAAATGCTCTGTTGTGCGATCTGAGACAATTTAACCAATCCTTTTTGAGGAAAACAAGGTGATGTACAGTGGCTGCCATTTTGCGACGTGGTTTGTTCATTAAATCAGCCAGTTTGAAATTCAAACTGCGCATGTTCACATCAAGATTTTCCTTTCGGTATAAACGATTGCCTGTGAAAATCATAACGGGTACCAGTAAAATTGAAAGAAGTTATTTCACTCTAAAGTAGCATAACATTCTAATAGGTTTGCTCGGCGAAGTGTCTCTAGGTTGTTTGTGTACCCCAACTTTGGGACAAACGAAAGGCTCCACAGTCGTTTCAATTGCATGCAAAACTGCGGAACGCAGATTCGGTTACCATGTCCCCATTCAATTGTGTTAATTTATATCTGCCGCGTTTTTCTCGAGGTAAAAATCGTGGAATCTTGTTATAGTACAGCAGACTGGTAATATCATTGTTCAGTTATAAAGGCTTGGAATTTGGCACACAGTCAGAGTATGTCATGGGAACGATATTTGGCTATAGCGCCATCGCAGATTTGTCCTTTGAAAAAAATATCATACGGGTAACAAGAAATTTCAAAAATTTCAAAATAGCGACCATTGCATGTTATTTGATATTATTTTTCAAAGGACAAATCTGCGATGGCGCTATAGCCAAATATATTTTCCGTGACATAATCTGACTGTGAACCAGATGTCATTCTTGTATCATCACGCGAACAATTCCACCATAGTGAGCACCAATCTGCCTGACTATTAGGTACATGCGCAGTTGGAATACCGCATTGACTTTATTATTTGGCCTGTCTGCATATGCACTGGACTCATGTGCCTGGAACCTGACCTGTAACAGTGAGTTCAACCGTGAAGACACATCTAGCAACATTCTCTCGTGTATCTTGAAATCGGTATTCCACTGGTGTTATGCCAACAGGGAAAGCAGTGTTGGGAGAGTGAGTCTGCATGACGAGCCGCACATGCCCACCGTCATCATAAGCTGTTGGTTCTGTCCATGTCACAATACCACTGGCGCCACTACTGGTCACTGTTTGCTGGATATTTGTTGGACAGCTTGTGATGACCGGCACATACTGGTCACTTGCTGTATGCCGGAAGAGATACAACACATAATGGTTCAGGATCTTCAACTTTACAACTCTTGTGTTTCAATTTCATTGATTTATTTAAAAAACTGGACAACTGAAGAAAAAATAGACCAATGTCGAATTTTTGGGTTGGGCCGTTCCCCCCCCCCCGGTTCAACTCCCCCCCCCCCCCCCCCGGTTCAACTTACGTATTCTTCGCACTATGAAGGAACAGGAGGCTCGGTTGCCAGTACCATCAACAGTATTGTAGGTGACGGTGGTGAAACCCTCCTGGACTACTGATCCTGGGGTTAAGGTTGAGGTGGTGGAGACGATCCCCGAAGCATCAGTTGGTGTTGGCGGAGTCCAGGTGGCAGTGCCATTTGCACTAGCAACAACATCAGCAGGGCAGGTCAAAGAAGGCACCACACCATCCGTTCCTAATTGGCCAAAGATCGAGCAAAAACAACGACACAGATAGAAATTGACATCGTTCAATACTATGCAAGTGTGCAATGCTTGAATGGAACTTGCAGTTACGTAACATTGCAACTTTTATAATGTAGAAACTTTCCCTTCGGTACATTACTTAAACTATATTATACAGTATAAAGTTTGAGCCCATTTCAAAATGAGGGAAAATGACTTTATTGATTAACTCTTTCAGTGCCCGCGACATTTCAAAAGTTTAACCCTAAAGCGCCCAACTTCGAGCTTTTTTGTTAATTATTCAAAATTCTATTAAAAAAAAGTAAATAAGTTGTAATCACCAAACTTGTTGTCATGTATCTTGCTCTCTGGTATATTCTTGTTACCTTCAAAAGTCAATATTAGTCATGCACCTAGTAATAAACCCTAAAACACTCTCCTGAACACAGGGGAATTCCGCACTTTTGCAGAATATACGTGTGTCGCGTCTGATACCCCTCCTCATACAAACTCTGTTCATGATTGTCACTTTTAGCACCATCATTATCATTTGTATCGGTATCCCAATGTTCGTCTTCTGACTCACCATCCAGTTCTGAAGTATCCATGGATTATTCTGAATCAGAAAAGTAATCCCTTACCCAGTCCAAACCGGCGAAAAAATACACTGATTTTCTATGGAGATCACACGGGAGCATAGTCGTAGCCTTGTTGCCATTTTGTGATTGGACAATTAACGACGTTGCTTGCACATGTACGCAAGTACGACGTACGGTACCATGTACACGTACGGGCGCCGCATGTACATGTTCATCGTACAAGACCAGGTTTTTCTGTGACACATTTCGTTCACATAATGATACAGAAAGGGGGAAAGGAAAACTTTTAATCATTTCACAAAACCCTACTGTGTATATATCTCGATATTTAAATGAACATTGCAAGATATCTGCATTGATTCGTTGGACATTAATTGTGTGCGTAAACTTTGAGAATGGAAGAATTACTTCTCTCTTTAAAAACAACTTATTCTATTCATCTTTATTCATGCTTTCTTTAAAAAAAAATTATTTTACGAATGTAAATTTATTAATTTTATGTACATATTATGCATATTAAATTGATCCCTGCTTTTCTTTTCAATCATTGTTTTAATTTGAAAATAGTTAAGAATTTTTTTTAAAAATACCTCCCTATAATATCTAAAAGAACTGATGATGCGACCGGAAGAACTAATTACTTAACAGTTCAATTCCGTATTCACTTTCATGCATTTCTATTTCTATTGAAATTCTATTTTTTTTTATGATGTTCATTTATGATAACAGAGCGTCACTAAAATGATTATATTGTATTGTATACTGAGTGCGGATCCCAGGTGCGTAAGCAGCGCTACTTGCAACCGCGCTTGCAGCATAGCTACTTGCACTGGAGATATGAAGACACCATCAAACGAATGTCGTTCATCGTCCAATCACAAAATGGCAACAAGGCTACGACTATTGCGCAGTCGGTTTATGGGCGCCGCCATTTTGTCAACAAATCGAAACTCAGTGTGACGCCCTCTCACAAGAACTCGAATATGAAAATAAATACAGGTCGTACATGCATATAATTGGCATTAGAAAGAGCGAGAGCGCCCCCTATTGATAACATGTTACTCTACCTCGTACATGTACGAGGTTTGGCGTTTTTAAGCACGAACATTACCTCGTACATGTACGAGGTTGGCGCTTTTGGACTAACAAAAATACCTCGTACATGTACGAGTTTGGCACTGAAAGAGTTGATTAATAACGACAACATAATGCATACTTATTTATTCATAAATTCACTACGTATAAAATTTCAGCACGCAATTAAGATGCAACTGCCAAAGATTAGATTCATGATAAAAACGGAACGGTTGAGGTATAAATGGTCCATATATTGTTCACCGTTTGATGGCTGATAACGAACACCTGTTATTTCATTTTTCCCGGCAATTTTCTCTAGCAGCTCCAAAAAGGCAACAAGCAACAAAACAAGTATCGCAATAGTCTCTCCACCCTTCTGATGGGTTCTTAAATTTGCTTTGGCAATCCATCAAACTGTTGAAGCTGACAAATGCTGGAAGAATAAAGTGCATGTTTTTACTTAAACCTCAAAGAGGACTGTTGAAGGGTAATATGGCATTAAAATTGCCGAATAATGTGGACAGTTTGCTGTGAGCTGACGGCCAGATTATGTGTTTGACACACCGCTTCAAACATATGGGTCTCTATTAGAGATAGATATACCTGTAGTGGAAACAGTCACTGTGAACACGCACTGAGCCTGCGAGTTGGCATTGCTTGGGTCGATCCACTGATAAGTAACCGGGGTAGTTCCAACAGGAAAGGCAGTGTTGGGGGCATGTGACCGCCAGGAACGTCGCACCACGCCATTATTGTCTGTGGCTCTTGGCTCAGTCCAGCTCACCACTGCGGTAGTCTGACTGGATGCTATAGGCTGAGTGATGCTCTCTGGGCAGTTAAGCACTGTTGGTATGGTACCATCATTGTTGACTGGTAAACGAAACAATTCAACACACATTTATCCGGTGTGATTTGGGTCTTCTAAGAACAGGGGAAGTGGGGGGGGGGGGACAAATTCCCGATTTCCTACAATTTAGCAGAAATTGGTATGGTCAGTATTCAATAACATGACGTCATTTGGTTGTGCTACGGCCACTTCATGCACTTTACTATTTCTATGCCAAATTTAGGCCGTGTAGTATTTTGAGGTTTGTGACATAACTTTAGTAGGCCTAAAATAAACTAACAATTTCAAATGTCCCGCGCGCGAATTTGTCGACCATCTCCCACAATGCACTAGGGAAAATGAACTCTCTGTGGCAGACTCTTGGTGGCGCACTGCGCTGCGAATATGCGCCAAGTCGATTAATGTTATTAAACAGCATAGGATGCCCTTGTTGGCATTTCCTAACTTTGCAGCATTGCTAATGTTGCCAGCATTGTGACTTTGTGTGCGTGTTCCCTGACTATACGCGTTTATGGCTTCCGAGTTCTGACTAAATAGCGCCCTCTGAACGAGAACAGTGACAAAATGGGGAGCTAGCTGCCAACAAAGGGCTGGATTTGCTCAGTTGGTAGAGCGCTGGTACGGTATTCCGAAGGTTGTATGTGCAAAGCCAACTCCAGTCAATTTCTTTGAAATTATTAAAATTTAGAAATAAAAAGGAAACCCTCTGCATGGGGATCGAACTATAAATGGAAGTTGCAGACGTATATCGGCACAGGTATACATTATGTTCGTTATTGAAATCCAACCCCAGTTAATTTCTTTGAAATTATTAAAAATAAATGTTTTATAAAATGAAACCTGCCGGTGGATGAACCGGAGTTGAAGATGTCGATATACTTTTGGATGCCTGCACAATGACACCATTATGTTCTACGTAAAAGCATTAGTGGCAGTTTCTTGCCAAGGGCAAAGGATTCAAAATGTTGCAGCCAAGACAGCCAACAAATATATATATATATATGCTGCTGATGAGTGCCTTATGGTACGAAACAGTCTGTTCAGAAAAGAGATATGCCAAAGTTTGTTTAACTCGTATTCTGAATTTATTGCATGATTATAGCTCTACAGAGATGTATCGAGCACTGTGAATTGTGATAGAAGACGATTTCATTGGATATATATATATATCCTTGCTGGTCATTGCTGGTAAGGTCCTCGCCAGAATCATGCTTAATCGCTTCACAACACACATTGCCAACACATTTCTACCCGACAGCCAGTGTGGTTTCAGAAAAGGAAGAGGTACAGGCGACATGATCTTTGCAGTCCGAAAGCTACAAGAGAAATGCAGAGAGCAGAATACCGACCTCTACTGTGTCTTCGTCGACTTGACAAAGGCATTCGACACCGTCTGTAGAAAAGGACTCTGGAAACTCCTGTCCAAAGTTGGCTGCCCTGAAAAGTATATCGAGATGGTTAAGCAGTTTCATGATGGTATGATGGCGCAAGTAACGGACGATGGGGAGTCTTCAAAACCCTTCCCAGTATCAAATGGAGTTAAACAAGGCTGTGTCCTTGCACCAACGCTCTTCAGTGTCGTGTTTGCTAGCATGCTCCTTGATGCTTTCCGTGACATCAACATCGGCGTGAAGATGAGATTCAGGACTGATGGTAAACTCTTCAATCTGAGAAGACTTCAAGCAAAAACAAAGGTATTCGATGAATTAGTTCGTGAACTCCTATATGCCGATGACTGTGCTCTTGTCGCCCACACCCAGGAAGACTTACAACTCATCATGGACTGCTTCGCAACAGCTTGCTCCCGCTTTGGACTTTCAATCAATCTGAAAAAGACAGAAGTGATGTTTCAACCTGCTCCAAGTAAGCCATATGTTCCACCCGTTATCACCATTGGAGATCACATCCTTCATTCTGTTGACAAGTTTACATACTTGGGCAGCACCCTGTCAAGAGAGGTCCACATAGACCAGGAAATCACAAATCGGATATCCAAAGCCAGCTCAGCTTTCGGAAGATTTCGTGAGCGTCTGTGGAATAGGAGAGGCATAAGCTTGAAAACAAAGCTGCGTGTGTATCAAGCTGCAGTCCTGACTTCCCTGCTGTATGCCTGTGAAACTTGGACAACCTACAGCCGCCACATCAGAAAGCTGAACCACTTCCACCTTTCCTGCATGCGTAAGATCTTGCGCATCAGATGGCAGGACAAGGTCTCAGACACTGAAGTCCTCAAGCGAGCGGAATTGCCCAGTGTAGGTGCTTTGATCATGAGAGCTGGTCAGGTCATGTAGTACGGATGCCTGATGATCGACTCCCCAAAAAGATCTTCTACGGTGAACTAACAACAGGCAAAAGATCGGCTGGTGGTCAATTCAAGAGATACAAGGATTGCCTTAAAGCAACCATGAAGCAATGCAACTTCAATGTGAGTAGCTGGGAAGAACATGCCCATGATCGAACGGCATGGAGAAGATTATCACACGAAGGTGCATCAAGCTTCGAAGCCCGTCGCATCAGGGAGGCTGAGCTGAAACGACAGCAACGAAAATCTCGTCAGCTAGATGCTTCCCTACGTGTCCACCCCCACCCCCAACCTAGTGTGTCCAGTGTTGGACCGTAGCTTCCTGGCTAGAATTGGACTTATTAGCCATCTGCGAACACACAACACCAACTAGTATGGAGATGTTGGCTGTCATCTTCGAATTTCGAAGGACGAACTATAATATACATATGATTATGTACTTCTCTGCTATACACAAATTGCATCTCTTGTTTACGTTAGAGTATGGCAGTGCTTTCAGAACTATGTCCCATTTGATTTCATAGTCTTTCCCTTCGTCCTTTAAGTCCCATATATGTTTACTTAGCTCTGTTTGCGCCCTCTTGCTCTCGGATCTGAATGACTGCTTGTGGTTCGCCAGTCTCGCCTTGAAGGTTGTGGACGTCAGCCCGACGTATGCCTCCTTCCTGCCTTCGCTCGTGACGGTGGCCTGGTACACTATGTTCTTGCTGAGGCACTCCCCGTTCAGCGGGCATTCGGCATTGCGGGGGCAACTGCATGTTCTACCACCGACGTCGTCCTCCTGTTTTACCTTCCGTTTGTTGATTGACTGGATCGTTGCCTTCATGTTCGGCATGCAGCTGTACGATAACTTTACTGTGTTCCGGTTGAGCACTTTGTGAAGCTTATGTTCCTTGGGGAAGCATTTGTCTATTATCTGAAGGAATTTCTTTCCAATGTTGGTACGTACGTTCTTTCCTGGTGTTATTGCCCGGTGTGTATGTCAACTGATACTTGTGCCCGCTTTTTTGCAGAGCCTCCTGGTAGGCCGGGGCAGCTTTCTCGAATGCCTCCTTGCTCGACGAGATGTTGGAGAGTCGCTTGTTGATTCCCTCTGGTATCTGTTTGATGACGGCGGGTGGATGGTTTGACTGGACATGTACATAGAGAGGTACATTACCTGGTTTCATGTATGGCTTGTACCCTCCCGTTCGCAGGTCTAATGTGATGTCAAGGAAGTTTACTGTTGCCTTGTTGGCTTCGATCGTTACCTTTAAGTCATTTTCCCGGAATACTTGGCATATTTCCTTCTTGATGTTTTCTATTTTCTTGGGGGTCTCTTTGAATACTGCCAGACCGTCGTCCCTGTATAGTCCCACTCTATTTCCGTACTTTGGTTTTAGGATCGACAGCAGATATGCTACGACCAGCTCGCATGACTCCGCGCCGTCGAAACTGCCCATCGTGACATCGAATTTGCTGTCTGCATTACGCTTTTTCCACGGTACCTGGTCGTTGAATACCACTGTCTGTTTCGCGTGGATGATGATATCTTTCTCCTTGCTGCTAATGCTCTCGTAGTTTTCCGCGAACCCTAGGGCCTTCAGGAGAAGCTTTTCCGTTATCGAGGGGTAGAACTCCACAATGTCGAAATTTATGAAGCCCGATTCTTGCTTGTTTGGGATTTTCTTATACCAGTCCAGTACGGCGTCCGTGCTTTTCCACAGGTTGAATCCCGTCGCGCTTATGACTTTACCGACGATTCTGTCGAGGATCACTTTACTTATATGTCCTATCTCTGATTTGGTTGGGCTGATTAGTCGACATGATGGTTTGTTATCGAAGTTGTCCTTGTGGTCCTTCAAAGTAACGAAGACTTCCCTCTCGGCCAATTTATCTATGCGGTCGCCCAGTCCAAGACTTTTAGCAATTCTTTTCGCTTCGCGATTGATTTCCGCTACTTCCTTTTGCTCGGTTTTCTTGTATGTTTTGGTGTGTGTCTCGATGCCTGCACTTGGAGACGATTTCGCTTCTCTATTCAGTGTACCTAGATCTGGCCTACATACGATTATGTACTTCTCTGGATATATATATATACACTGAATAAGAGAAGCGAAATCGTCTCCAAGTGCAGGCATCGAGACAGATGTGTTCTTACTTCAGTGACGTAAACGCGTACTAACTTCAATGACGTAACGCGCGTAACGCGTGCGCGCGCTTGATTCGAAATAAGGTAAGATGCTACTTGTATTCTATTTTTCGTCATTCTGCTGATGAGTGCCTTATGGTACGAAACAGTCTGTTCAGAAGAGAGATATCCCAAAGTTTGTTAACTCATATTCTGAATTTATTGCATGATATATATATATATATATATTTTACTGTCCCGGGGAACGAATAACTGCTACTGATATACTATGAACGAAGGTTAACAGTCATTTCCAAAATTGCATCTTATACTTACGTATAAAATAATATTGCATCATATACTTACCTCCCATCCTCACAAAGAAGGTGCAGTATGCGTTGTTTTGCGGAGGACTTGTTGGAGGGTTATCAACAAACCGATAACCGACGGTAGTGAAGCCATAATTGAATTGCGTGGACCCTGACGTCTGGCCATAGATGTTTTTTGTCTCAAATGGGGTGGTAAATCCTCCTCCGGGCTGAAGATTGAAGCCACTGGGTGTTTGCCAGGTACCAGTTGAAGTCTGTGCTGTGGTGCCCACAGATATTCCTGCTACATCCACAGCAGAACAGCCAAATAGTTGTGGTGGCACCGTATCTTCAAAATAAAGTAAGTCTAACTAAATGCTGGTTCAGAGCGCACACAATTCTATTCAATTGATTTTGCAATGTTTGTTCGTTGAATATTAGCCGTTAGTATTGCAACATTTGAGCAATTGACACAATTTGTTTTGACTTAGCGCGCCATAGAAAGCGATAGACGCGCGATTAGTTTGTCGCCGCCAGCGGGCTAGTCAGTTGGTGAACGCTGCTCGTGCTGGAACAACCAAGCCTACCGGAGCATCAATCCAAGGAGGCGAAAGGACGTACTCAGTAAGTCTATGTGCCTACCTACCTTTAGCGTGGGACATATAGCGGAGCCATAGAGGCGCGACTGTTGGCCGGACGCCTCGAGGGACGATGTACGCTAGCGAGCGTACATCTACTGAGGCATCGGTCCGAGCACTGAGGCGCAGGGCTGCTATAGGTAGCGGTGGAGGCGTTAGGACTCATCGAGGAGTTACACGCTCCATATAAACCAGGCTCACGAGGAGCCTACCCCTTTGAGGCCCGAGGAGACGAGAGGCGTTGCCGAGGGAACAACTGTGCGCGACATATAGCAGTTCATAAATGCGGCACTTCATAAAGTTCATAAATGCGGTGGATAAGTGCAAACTAGTGGCGGGAGGCGCTATACACTCACTAGAGGCGCCATAACACTCACTTGAGGCGCTATTTAGGGCTTATTCAAGTAAATCACTTTTATTCATAATAATTGATCTAATTAAATAAATCAGTGAAACCTTCTTCCTTTTGTCATTGCGTCACAGTCATTTTTACATGTTTGTCAGTCTGTATTGTCCGTCTGGAAGTGAGCGATCTAGTGAGTAGACTGAGTATACGTGGTGGTATATTTCCAACCGAACGGACCTGCACCTCAGCGCTGTTAGGGTTACTCGCCTTACCCGCGAGTGTTCGCCGAGGACAACCGACCTGGCAATAGTAAAATCCGCCACAGTATAAATGAAGTCGTTATGAAAAATAAATAATACGTAATAATGCGTAAAATAATACGCCTTTTGCATGCGTATCTGAACAACACACGAATATACAAGCCTCGTAAACTGATCCAAGACCAGTGTTCGTCAAAAGTGACGATGTTAAATTACATAGTTCTATATACTACAGTAAATATGACTGTAACTCACCCTGTGCTAGTATCATTGAGGGCAGAAGCAGCGTAAGTCCAGTAAGAACACCAATCGCCTTGCTTAGGAAACGTCGCATCGTGGATGAGGTTTCCAGCAATTAATGGAATGGAACAGTAGCCTACCTGTAAGACTAGTTATGTGGTCACGATGAAATAGCAGCCTGAAACAAACAGAATCGCAAGTTTTTATGTTTACAAAGGACCAATTTGCATTTCCTGGCGCCTCAACAATCACTTAATTTGAGGCTTCAAATGCACTCACATCACTCACGGTAAACCCCGCCACCGCGTAATAATTACACGAAAACCGTAGTTTTTCTGGGCATACATGTGATGTGTGAATCACATATATTATGTAACACGCGTACAGTACTATTTTGCAACATTCCAAGTTTTCAGGAGAGCTCGATCTATAGGGACTGCGTCCGCCTGGAACAAGTACAAACGAGCTAGAAATAAGGTTCGCAAATCCTCCAAAAAGGCTTACAATGACTTTGTGACTGATCTGTTTCAGAAAAAGGATAACCGTAAGTCCTTCTGGTCGTTTGTTAAATCCAAACGAAATACTTCAAACTCTGTCGATTGCTTCCTTCTGTCAGACGGTAGCAAAATCTGTGACCCAACACGGATTGCAGTTGAGTTTAATGATCTGTTTGCCAGTTTCTTTTCCGGATCTGCGGATACCAACGATGTCACTGCCCCTGCGCTGGACATCCCACCTCTGAACAATTTCAGGATAACCACAGCGCAGGTTGCCTCTGAAATCAAGAAACTGTTTGCTCGAAAAGCTCACGGTCCAGATGGCATCAGTGCACAGATGCTAAAATTAGCTTGCCCTACCATCATACCTGTGCTGACTAAATTCTATAATAGCCCGCTTGCTGCAGGATGTCTTCCAAAGTTTTGGAAGCGTGCTAATAATGTTGTGCCGGTATACAAACGTGGTGACAAAACTAACTTCTGTAATTACAGGCCTGTCTCGTTAACTCCGATCGTCTGCAAATTCTTGGAGAAGATCATTGTTCTCCAGATACTCGACCACTGTCTGGAGAACGGTCTTGTATCCTCTCAGCAGCATGGCTTTATTCCAGGGAGATCTTGCAACACTGCATTATTATCGACCACAACGGCCTGGTTGAGGTCTCTGGATGCAAGAGTGCCTGCAGTGGACTTGATGTCGTTGGATTTCAGCCGTGCTTTTGACACCATATCGCACAAGATCCTCGATAAAAAACTTCATCAGTGCTATAACATCAGTGGAGCTACCCTTGAATGGATCGGATCATTTTTGACAAACCGTATGCAGCGAGTTGTATACAAAGGTAGCACATCCAGATGGTTGCCAGTTTCTTCTGGAGTGCCACAAGGCTCGGTTATTGGGCCTTTGTTGTATGTGCTGTATGCTAACGATTTGCATCTTCACATTTCATCCAACATCGTACAGTATGTCGATGACACATTTCTTTTCAGAAATGTTTTCACCGGTCTTCGTGATCCTCTACTTTAAAATGACTTGAACAGTATTTCAACGTGGGCTGACTCAAATTGCCTACATCTGAATGCTGGAAAATGCAAAGTTATGCGTTTGTCATGGCGTCAACTACCCAGTCCTACTTACACCCTCGGAGGTTCTGCTTTGGAGTGTGTGAGTTCCCTCAAGCTTCTTGGCTGCCAGTTCCAAAGCAACCTGTCTTTGGATTCGCACGTTCAAGATGTTATCTCTAAGTGCAACAGACTCATTGGCCTGATACGTTTAGTATCTGGCAATTGCCACTCCAGTGTTTCTCTCCACCTGTACAAGACCCTCATCTTGCCCATTGTTGACTATTGCTCGCCCGTTTGGTGGATCCACAGCAAAAAGCACATCGACTTCATCGAATCGATCCAGCGCAGGGCAAGTCGTATGATACTGCGACAGAACTATATGGAGCAAAGCTACCAAGATAGACTGCAGAGCTTGGGTCTAACGACTCTGTCTAATAGGAGAACGTTTGTAAACACCAGTTTTACCACGACATTTTTAATGTCTAAGAGATTGGGTTTTATGTCGGATTTTCTTAATTTGTTCCACGTTAGTGTTAGGCACCCAGACATGCTCACTTTCCATCATTTAAATCCAAGGACTGATGCCTACAAATATAGTGCTGCTGTTCGCCTTCCTAAAGTAATCTCTGAGCTTGATGCTGAAACCAGGAACATTTTGATTTTAGAGGGTGTGGGGGCTTTTCGTTCACATTTGAGGGAGGGATTTATCCGACATGTAATTGGGAGTGTGTATAAACTAGCAGACATCAGATTGTTTATATTTTTTATTTTGAGGGGAATTCGTCTCTATACTGGTTGTTTTTAATACTGGTCTTTGGGGCGTTCCTTTTTTACTGGTTTTTACCCTTTTTTCTGGTTTGATGGTGTTTTAATATAAATCCATTTTTATCAATTTTTATCTCATCATGGCCATTTTGTCTCATTGGGGTTTTTCATCTAAGATAAAAAGCATCTTGAGATAGTACAGTCGGCCTGTTTTTATCATTACATGTTCGTATTTACAGTTGTTTAATTTAGTATAATATGGTTCTTATTTCATTTTTATTTCTTCATTTACAAATCATTGTTTTAATTTGAACAGGGGTCTGGTCAAACACATCGTTTGATGACAGTTTTTTTATGCTTTTGTTTGTCCTTGACAGCCCCTGTTCATATGGTTTTACATTTCCTTTTAATTCAATTTTATATTTATATCTAAAGATGTAAAATAAATAAGTTTAACATTTAAGCTTAAATGGCATTTGATTAAATAACTAAAACTAAACAGGAGGAATACTATTGTCGACACTTCTCATTGTTGACTGTGGCTATTTGGTATGCCATATTTTCTTTAATAATGGCGAAGGACTGTCTCAAACACCTGTTAGAACAGTTCAAAGTGATTCAGGTCATTCAGGTAGGGGCGGGCCTGAGAAAAAAGAAACGCATTACGCTCTCAATATATGCGCGTTGTCAAACTTGGAATGGAGCAAAACGGTTATTGGCCTTCGTTTTAACCACCATGCCGAATCCGACAAAAGCCTCACACGAAAGAAAACTGTTTGGGCTCATCAATTCTATAATTGAATTTAAAATTGTTTTCAAATATATAACGAAAATTCTGATACACCCTCCAGGGAGACATTGGGGGAACCCTGTATATTCAAGCCCTTACCTGTACAATTAATGCGTCTTGTACGCCAGTACCTCAGAGTATATCCCTACATTGACGTAGGGGCCAATACTACACGCCTAATATCTACTCGCCATATTACACATCGTCACACTGTAAAACAAATGTTGGTAAAATGTGTTGGTATTTTGCCCAATGTTGGTCAACATACCAACTGCCGACACTATTGGGAAAAATTCTTCCCCGGAGTTGGTCAACTTCTACCCGAATTTATGACCAACTTCATAAAGTGATTCGCACATTTTTTTTTTTACAGTGTACTATTGGCGACCCTGCCCCAAAAAAATAAGTTAGGGACATATTCCCCCGTCCCGTGGGATCGCCGCCCATAAATAAGAAATTCAATTACCTTGTGTATTATATATTAAAGATGCTCTTAATACACGTAGATTCCTCTGACCACTTTTCCGAACATGACCATGATCCAGCACATATCGTTGATTTATACAATCGTCGCACGGCACGTATTTGATGTACACTTTGGAAAATGCACCACTACTTCCTGCTAAGTAATTACGCATGCGTATAAGACTACGTCATCAATATGACGAAATCCAAGCCTAAGCAAGGGGAACAACTGTGTTATTTTGGGGTTCAGTTCAATGCTGAAAGAGCGACCAATATGAATTGTCCAAGGTTTCATGGCAATGCACATTTCGGCTACGGCTGAGTGATCACACAAACAGTGGTATAACGGATATGAACTCTCCATTGATTAAACTAGACCGTGGGTTACCAATATTGTGAAAAGAGCCGACGCAAACCTGCGTGCGTCACTGGCAAACCGAACCGTGAACTCTATTGTCAGTGCTGACAAAACTTCATTTAAATTTAAAGGTCACTTGTAACATTGAATGGATTTAGGGGAAAAGCAATTATCCAAACTTGACATCTTCATTAGAGAATCATGGTACCACTAGTCTTGTTCGTATATCAAATGAGACAACTTGGTTTCACATTACATGTGCATGTAGGCCTATAAAACAAAAAACATCATCACTTATTTTAGGGGACGATGTTATTTCTTCGATTAAAGGTAAAAAATAAAATCAAGCTCACTTTGCCGAAAACCATGTGTAGGCCTAGGTTTATTTGGTTAACTTATAATTCAAGATAAATCGGGTCTTCAGTTACACTTTCTTGTACTGAAAATAAGAGGCAACATTCTGCATTCCTCCTCTCCGGATACAAAACAAATCACATGATTTTTGTTCATGTGAATTTTGTGGTAAAGTTCTTTTATCTCATTAAAATCTGGAGCATAATATGTTCCAAGACATGGATCTAAAAATGATAGTAAATGTATTCTTAATATGGCGTTTTACACTAAAATCTCAAATCGCTTCATTAAATATCAAAACCACATAAAAAGTAAACCAGTTAGTTAAAAAAGTAGTAGTTAAAACAAATGTACAGCGTGTGTCAATAAAAACGCAGGATTCAAAGCGATTTTTTTCTGAGAAAATTATGCTACTGGTGTGCCTAATTTGACAAGGATTTGATTGTCCATAATTTCATCTTTGACAAGATTTTTGTTTGGTGGAATTTGGACTTTTGGTTCAAAAGTTATGACAAGTTTTGTGAAGCCCTTCTGAAGCGGGTTGGTCTGATTCAATGACCTTAACACAACGACCAGTTATGTACAATGCAGATATGCATTGAAGACAATTAAACAAGAACAAAACTTTCTTTGAAACAACTGATGATAAGTATCACTTAAATTTAATAACAGGACATTCATTGTTTCAAAGCATCATTAATTATTGACTAATAACATTGATTGTGGACTAAAGGATTATGTAAGCCTAATCCTGCCACACATGTCCTTCTTTGTGATCCACAAATACTTTCACCTGTACTGAATTCAAACCTTTCATTAGGTATGTGTGATTTCACAAATCAGACCAGCTTGGAATTTATAACCCTTCTTCAATGTACTCTATCTCTGGACAGGATTGTCCAAATGAGATGGGATAAAAAGCATAGTGAAGAGAAGGAAATGTAATTTGAAAAGAGGGTTACATTATGATGAATAGGGGTGGTTTATATTCTTAATATTTTTGTTTCTAATCCTGCGTTTTTATTGACACACGCTGTATTAAGCTGTGATTTACAATTCCCACTTCGTTCATGTTTCTTAAATAAGCTGCAACTCTTATCCATGGAGTAGGTTCATAGATGCTCAAGAGCACGATCACAATACCTTGCTAGGCTTTGGATGAACCCGCTTAGGATAGCTGAATTTAATGCCATCACAACTTTTAGTGTGAATGTAGGACACATGAACTGATATCAACATGGCAGATAGGTTTTAAAATAGGGTCTTGAATTCAACCATGAGGGTTCCCTCGTACCCCCGCTCTGCAAACAGGGCGCTGGGAAGGGCTGATGAGCTTCACCGAATCTTGTAAAGGAAGTGACCTTATAATATATGGCCTATATAAAGCATCTGGCTGCAGCTGTTCAAGACCGCAGTTAGACAATGTGCGCAAATGCTATCCGAAAACTTCCCATAGAAATGCACACATTCCATACCGGGTGTGATTTCTTTTTCATCATGATTGCGGACCATGTGGACAAATTTTGAGCGTCGCATAATGCAGTCATTGACCCTTTGTGAATTCGAAACGGAGCCTGAGCAAGTGACGGGAATCGGAAATTTACAACAAAGATAAGTTTTACAGGTTTTCCCTGCATTATAACGCTTTTTCAACGAAATCAAAAGCATTTATGTAAACGGCCGTTTGAAAACTTTGCAGGGTCGTGGCCGTGATAACTTGCAGGTCACAAGTCACGTAAATTCTATCCAATCAGAGCGTGAATTCATCAGCCCTTCTCAGCGTCCTGTTTGCAGGGCGGGGGGGGGGTACGAGCAAATCATCGGGGACACGTGAATTGACGATTGGAGGCGCTGTTCATAAGCGTTTATATATGTATTTATGAAGAAAAAAACACCACACATGATAAAGACACACATAGATAAAAACAGCTCGATTCGGTATTTTAAAAATGGCAAATCAATAGCACGTGATGTCATTATTTTATTACAGTCTTGAAACAGGTCGGGATGTTATAATTTCCTTTATACTGTTGTAATTCGTTGGGTGCCCGGCAGAAGGGCATATGAGCGTTCTGACGCAAAAATCATTTTCAAGAAAATTGCATTGAAAGGTCCCATTGTTCCCCCGCGCACATTTTGTATCCAATGCTCTCCCCCACGTAATATAAATCGTACAAATGTGAAATTTGTCACACGTATGAATCATAAGTTTTGGATCAACTAGTATTAATTTCTGACGAAAATGTTTAAATCTCATTAAAATGGAGGCAGTTTTCTGCATATGCCCTTTTGCTGGGAACATTTTGGTCATTTCGCGCTATTGCATAAGGGCATATGCACATATGCCCTTCTGCCGGGCACACGACGAATTTCAGTAGGTCATACAAATATGCATTGTTGATTTAGGCATCTAACGATAAGTCCACCAACATTTGGTAATTGGAAAACTTGACCGATTTCGTGTTTTTATTGTGGTTTTTGAAGCCTTCGAACCAAAAACGATCATCCTTTAATTGGACTCATTATCCCCACAATTTGACTCGGGCAGAGAGTATGTTCGCACAGACCAAGACCTATCGTATCTAGCACCTCTACAGCCACCAATTCCAGTCCATTGGGTCAGCTAGCTCCCTTGAGGTAAACGTTCTGCTTCTTAAAGGCGCCTAATTTGAAGGATTGTTATGTCCCCCTGGCCTCGCCACGTCCCAGATTTTCAATATAAATTTCCCTGTCAAAGAAAAAAATTAAGGAAAAGGTTCCCCCCTTGAGAACTGACATCGAATCCTCGTAATCCAAAACCCAAGCGTGCTTAAAATGTATACGCTCGGAGGGCGTACAAAAACATGGCAGTCTTTGGTTTGACGTCACGCTCGCCAGGATTGGAGCCATCTCGCCAAAAATACGATAAGCAATGACCTTTGGGTCTAAAAACAAAACGAGAAGCGTGTCTCGGGTACATACCGGCAAAGAAGTTGGCGCGGAATTTTAAGGCAACATGTAGTATCTGATAAATTAGAAAAAAATAAAATTAGGAGTTAGCAGGGAGACAGCAAGTGCATAGGCCCAGCAAGTGCAACCAGCACAATTGCCACAAAAAGCAACTTGATAAAGTTCATCCAGATACCTTTACGGAATGCACAAAATTGGATTTCTGCACCGTGGCCGTTTACAAGGAGAAACCTTTATACATGCAATCACTTATGTAATTTTTCAGTTGATTGATAAACGGTATAGGCTGAAAAATAGTAACTGTGTCAAAGAGAGACGCTATAAATGGGGTGGGTGATGTCTCCGAGGTGGTGCAGAGTGTGACCGAGTCCGCCGCGATGGGGCTTGACTACTTTGGAGCGGTGCTTTACTTTTGCTACTTCCTGATTTTGGGCGCCTCTTACATCCAGAGTTCAGTCTCCCCCTCAGCATCTGCAGCTCCTCCCACTCCTTCTGCATGCACCACTTCTGGAAGACTCCCTTGGCAGCCTTCTCCTGTTCCGTCTTGAGTCGCTGCCGTTCACGCTCCCTTAACTTCTCAGCCAACCTCTCTTGTCTCTGCTTCTGGAGCTTCTCTGCTAACCAAGCGTCGACCATTGTGCCGCTGTTCAACCGGGCCTCTAGCTGCTCCCTTTTTTTTAGTTCCTGTTTAGACGCCTCAGCGTCCCGTTTGGCAACATCAAGTTGTTCCTGTTTGGCCTTCTTTTCCGACCAGGCCTCGAATTTCAACGGGGTTCGCTTTTGCGTTTGATCTTCATCCTCGTCAGCTATGAGCGTCTCGTCCTTCTTGCCGAAGGCGTCATCCAGCATCTTACCGACTCTCTTGACCAATTTCCGGTCCCTGGCATCTTGTGTCTTGGACGACAGCCACTCTTCAAAAGCTCGTTCGTTCTCCTCCGGAGTGGGTTTCCTTGTTCTTTTTGCTGTCGAGTTACCGTGTAGCTGTTTGTCTTCTCTCTCTTTCATAAACTCTAATCGTTGAGGGTGCTGCACCGGTAAGCCGACCATTTCTCGGAGTTTATCGTTGAGATAGTCCATCCTCAAACTGTTGACTTCTTTGGGATCCATTTCGTGCGTCGAGTGGCAGCTGCTTCCAGAAGATGAATCATCCATTGCGGCATCGACTGTTGCAGATTGATGCGTCTCCTGATAATCTGCACTCACAGCGGCACCTGAAGGTGGTTGATTTTTCTGGTTTCCCTTGGAAGTAGAATCCTCTTCCTTTCTCACCTTTATACGCTGTGTGTCTCCAAGGGCAACTGCTTGGTCATCGTCAACTAAATGTTCCTTTGATCTCAGGGCACTTTTCAGTGAAAGAGAAGTTGTTTGCGTAGAATACCTAAATGAAGAGAGAGAAAAACGAAACGCCCATAGTGGATTTCAACTTCTCAAAAATACCACCTGTAACATATTATGGTCGAAAGCTAACAAAAATAATACAAGCCAACCAAAAGTCAATATGTCAAGGGACAGGCGATTCGAATGAACCGCAACAAAGGCAGTCCTTTGTAAACTTTCATCCTGAATTTTGACTTGTTACAAGTGACTTGTGATAGATTTGTAATAGTCGACTAACATTATTTTTACCAAAACGATAAACATTTTAATTCCGAACGTGTCTGTTTCCGTTTTTATAAAGTGGGGTTAATCCTTCCCCAACTTGTATTTCTTTAAAATGACGCTAGGGTGACCGGTGCGGTTAAAACCAGTTTACAAAAAAAATTATTCACATCTCCCTGATGCAAACAAATTTCAAAATTTGTAAGATATTTTAATGGCCTTACCGATGCGTGTCAGGTGGCGTTGGAGAAACTGAACATCCGTGGTAACTGGAGTACTTGGACATGCCAGATGCTGGCTTGGTGTGAGTTTTGTCGAAGGCGAACTTGACCGATTTGACTGACGGACTATTCGCTCTGGCCTGCTTGATGGCCGCGAGGGACGACGCGGACTTCGGACGGTCGTGGAGACGAAGTGATCGGGTCATGACGAGTTCATTTTGAGGTACTTCTTGAGGTGGAACCGACGATTCCTGTTTTAAAAATGACAGAGTTGAAGTCAAGTTCTCACAAGCAACTGCAACTCCTTCTCAGATCTAGTAACAACCTACTCGATTCTGTGGAATAAGCATTCCTAAACGTCACCTGTTCATCATCTGATAATTGGGATCTTCTCTGTGTATGAATTGTTTGAATTGGGATGAACATGACACATGTACATGTGGAAAGGCATTTTGTCAGAAGACCTAAGCGAAAAGGCATCTGCATCCAAGGATTGGGTGCACACGGTATACAGTAGACTAATACACATAATTTGAAGTTTGCCATATCGCCCAATAATTATTGTTTCCGAGCAATGGTCAAAATGTGGCTGACATTTACCAGCCTGATCCTGAGAAGGCAAGGACGTTCAACTGATTTGTCTCGGATCACACAGCATACCTTGTCCATCTTCAGGAGAAAGCTACACTCTCACATTATGGGATCGATACGGGCACGGTGTCATGACAGTGTCATCTGCAAATTTCATTCTTGTAAAGTTGCAAGTAAACCTTGCATGCATCGGGTCTATTTTTGGGAACATTTTCATGCAAATAAAAATGGACTTGTCAATGCATCACTGTTAAGAATATGCGAACTACCTACCTCTTGTGATTCAGTTGTTGCCTGCTGGCGTTGAGAATCTTTTCTCCCATCTCTCAATGAACTCCAGCTCTCCGTACTAGAGGTACTACTGTCTGTCTGAAACAGGGCAGCTTTGGCGGACCGTGGCCTCTTGTCAAAGTAGTGATGGTGGTGCTCTCGGCCACTCCATGTTGTGATCATGAGTTCGGGCCCGGGGGAGATGGCCAGATCTTGCAGGGACAGAGTGGGCGTCACGCTGCTGCCAAGCTTGGACTTGGGAAACCTCGGGGACGTTGACCAACTGCAGGGCTTCTCTCTGGTGGCTTTGTTGGCCCGGATTCTGGAGTACAGGACGAGGCGTCGCTGGGCGCTCTGTTGGCCGCATGAAACGGCCGTCTGGGCGGCAGTCTTGCCTGAGGAATCATGGATGTCCAATGAGGCGCCGTGCTGTAGGAGGCTATCCAGGCAACCGCTGTTTCCCATTGCACAGGCCACGTGGAGGGCTGTTCTTCCGGTGGGAGTCTGTGTATCTGGATGAGCTCCTTCGCAAAGCATTCTGAAATAACGTTGAGAACGCAATACGTTATTATCAACGCACATTGTACCATTCATTAAATGTTATTTTAGCCTGCTATCCGGCGCTTCTTATCAGAATTGATCGTGCCTATAATTATTCAAACACTAACACATTATTTGCCGATCTCTGTGATGTGTTTCTTGGAATTCAGGGATACTAGACCACCTGTAGGCCTTAAGTAATTAATACTGAATTTAAACGAAGAAAAGCAATCTTCAAAGATGACATGAGCTGAACGCCAATTATGGTCCTCCTATCCATTAATTTCTAATCTATATAGAATTACTTTTTTCAAAGGTAAATTAGGGCCTACCTGTCGACCAAGTAGTGGAACCCTTTATGTGCCGCTATGAACATGGCCACAAACATCCTCTTGGCCATCCCTCCTGCATCCTTCGTCATGGTAACGGACCTCATCACCTCCTTTAAGTCTCCCCTGAGTGCAGACTCCACCAGACCATCGTAACCGTACGCGATCCTGACGGGCAGGCGCGCCCCGGGCAAGACGCACAGCTTGCCCAGCGTGTCCCCGTCCGTCAGCACGGCATGGTGGCGGTACGAGAGCAGCTGGAGATCGGTAGGGATCCCGCAGACGAGCTCTACCAGGGACTTCAGCTCTCCCACCGTGGTTTGGTGGCGGACCGTGATGGGTGTCAGCGATCCAGGCCCCGGCAGCTTGGCGAAGATCTCAAAGGTCTCGATGAAGCGGCCTGTGGCATCGCGAACTCCTACTTGGGTCATGATGTCTCACAAGTGACGATCAATGTCACCTCGTCGAGGGAGGACAGAGCCGACAGGTTTCTCGAAACTCCTGAGGAAAAAAATAGTCTTTTAGTCGATGTAGTTGTGATTGATCACAGTCATCCCAAGTCATTCACTATCCAAGTCAACTCAAAAGCTATTGTGACGAATGCATTCATTTATTGTTATTCGTGGCATTTTAATCGTGAATCGACTTCTCAATTGACTTTGAGTGATCCGACTTATAATGTACTTGTCCTCAGCAAGTACCTCGACAATCAGTCAAATCTGTTCCATATCAACATTTCAAACTATATCCAGTAACCAATAACACTGAGTCTACGCACGTTTTCTTTTTTCTTTTTTAATAGCAAATCAAAGTTATTAGCTTGTTTCCGTGTGCTGTATCATGCAAACATTGCGCCACAGGGGATGTATCGATCGTTTTAAGACGGAAAACAAGTATCGATCTCAGATGCCAGAAACGTGTCAGTCATCTGTGCATTCGAGCCTTGGTCGTAATAAACGAGTACACGTAATCCTTTTGCGGTAACATGTACCTAACCAGGATTCTACGTTGGTATTTTGTTGAAACAATGATTTAGTGACTTCGATATCGAGTCAACTGCGACCTCTGATCTCACCACTCGATATATCTCAACCACGGAGAACCATAGGAGAACTAATGCAAATTCAGATTGCGTATGACTTTTTCATCAGTATCCCATCAATTATTAACCCCGTCGGCATATCTTCCGCCGTAAAGTGAGCTCTTATCTGCAATATATCAGAAATTCGACTCCACATATCAAATATTTCCCAAACTCATTGCCCCATATTAAAGTTGCGAATTGTTCAGCAATTTCCATGAACCACCAGGGTTTTATTTGAACACTGTTCGGTCACTGTAACGAGCCCTAAACAAACTGGGTCGTTGTTCTGGCAAACAAATAGCGATTTAAAAATTTAGGAGGCGACAAGGACAGGCTGCCGGGGATCGTTTTCGTTGGTAGAATAGCTGGACATGCAGCAGACGGACGCTGCTTTTCAGGTTTTTCCAGGCCAGATTTTGAATCTGGTGAATCCTGGTTTAAAACCTGAGGGGAGGGGGATATTGTTAAGCTTTCTCTTAACACATTGATCGGCAGACTTTTTTCTGTTCCAAAATGAAAAGGAGTTTTAAAAAATATAATGAACTTCAATTCAGTAGCCTTGATGACACGTACACCAAAACATCCTTTTTGAGTGCATGCACCGTTTCTCTACTACAAAACGTCTCAGAAATAGCTCTAAAACAAAATCAGATACAAGTTCAACAAACATTATAAACGAAACACACACATCACTGAATACGCACATTGAATTATTCGGGGTCGGGTTATTATAGATTTCGGGTTGGCAGAAAATGGAAGTTCAAATTTAAGGGTAATACTAATAATGCTCTGAAAATTATGAAGAAATGTGTAATTAGGTCCGTCATTCTCCACGCATATGCCCGCCTCGACCCTATCCTACACCAATATAGTGTTGCATTAGTTAGATCGTATTCAGCAGCCATATTTGGATTGTGACTCATGTGTAGCACTGCTGATCAAAAGCACATGCCCTCAAAGATGGCTGCAGTGAAAACGATCCATATTTTCTACTCTGCTAAAACGAAAAACTGAAATTAAGACTTACCATTTTCACTCTATCCATGGAGGAATAAAAATACCCCGCCGGGATGTAACTGACTGCTTTAGTCAATTGCACTCACAAGTCAATCATATCACCCATGTAAATAGGAAGTCAACCCGTGTCGACGTAAAACATCATTACAACGTCACAAAATTACTCGGGCACCAAAAAAATCGTTCCTTGTGTCCACTGATTGTCTGCATTCATCAAATAGCGCTGTGGTTTTCAGCGGCGATCTCTCAATACCGTTATATTACAGAACTCAATCGCATTAAATAATACGGCTTTACACCTGCCCGTTGAGTGCACCTTGGAGTGCCGTTTGTTCTCGCCACGGCAACAACAAACGCGCGACGTGAGCATGTCAAGCCAGACACGATGGAGCGCGGGGACAATCGACGGATTTATTTACATTTCAAAAGGGTTCAACTTGCTGGCTTTTTATTTTGTTCAACGGGATGTCAATAGATCATCGTCGTGTCACGTCCTTTGTGGGATAAACGAGTTAACAACCCTAGACTTGTTGTAGTCCCTCGTTATGTCTGGTTACCTTTCTAAATTTCAGTTGTGGGAATGTGTCACACGTGTAAAAGTACAGAAATATCATATAATTTGGGGATTAAATTTCATCATAAAGGTTTGGGCTAGGAAGGTGACTTGAGTTTCATATTGGGAAGGCAGGGTAGGGTAATATTGTTCCGATGAGGTGGATCTAGCTGTCAGGAAACGGGGGTGAGGGTTGATTTGAAGGGGGGGGGGTAGACACGCCCTGCTAAGTGGGTCGGTGGGCATGGCCCCGGAAAATTTAAAATCTATGATGTTTTCTCCTGCATTTTAGTTAATTTGAGAATAAATTTAGAAACTTTAGCATTTCATTTATTATTTTTTGGCCACATTTTATCAGTATCATAACATTAGTCAGTGGTATGACAGGGAGGGGGGGGGACTTGTGAATTTCAGAACATTCCAATAAACTGATGTAGATTCAAGCAAATCCTATTTATTCAAATACATGTACAATCGACATTTAACCTTAATATGTTGATTGTTGAAGTTATTCATTGCGATATAAATATTAACTGGACAATGCTCACTGTTTGAAGTTGGATTTCATCTTAAATTTATAAATTCAGTTTTGAGTACCATATAAACCCAACACCAAAAATATGAAGCAAATTGAGAAGTTCTGCAAGGCATCACCCACAACAAATAGACTGGCACAAACTGTTTCGTTAAAATCACTTGATTTTTATTAACAAACAAAATATCTTACATTCAATGTTTATCAACCCTTGATGTGAGCAATATAAATCCTTCAAAGGAAAGTCTGCTTTTTGTATATCATCTTGATTCCACGTGGAAACTATCTTCCCACTTGATTTGAGACCAGATAACATGCAATTGACACGTGATTGACATGTGATTGACACGTGATTGACATGCGATTGACAAATGATTGACACATAATTGACATGTGATTGACACGTGATTGACATGCGATTGACAAATGATTGACACATGATTGACATGTGATTGACACGTGATTGACACGTGATTGACATGTAATTGACTTTTGGCGACTGGATTAAAACTCAGGGAATCAAAATGTATGTGGGTCATTCGGACATTTAGGGTCCAAAGTTTTTTCCTGTCCCCGTTACCATGGTTACATCTGAACTTTGTAAAGTGCCATTCAAGTATCATTCAAAATGGTGTGCGACTATTTTTGGTTTGTTGGGAAGGTACATGTGGTTTCCTTACATAATCACTCTTGAAAACTGACTTCAGCAATGAGTCCATCAACAATTTAAAACAAACGTGAGGTGTAACAGGGACAGGAAAAAAGTGGACCCCAACTTTATAGAATAAACCATGTGCAAATGTACAGCAATGGAAGAGAGACAATTCCAACTTCAGAGGAACAAGTATAAAGGTGGCTTTTTTAGCACGACAGAAAAGCGCAAAAATGAATTGAGAACACCATAACATGTGAGCAGTGCTGTTAAAATTTGATTTAATATAATTAAACTTTCAACATTTGAAAGTTCTCTTTAAACATTCAAAGTACACTTTGCAATAGAAATCCACTCTTTTTTTGTACAAGAGATATTTTTTTATCAAGAGATTTGACCATTTCAAGGTCCAAGTGCAGACCAAGACTTATGTGTACCCATCACAATGGTAAACATATCATTTTCAACAGCGCATGTTTCAGCAAATCAAACGTTAAGATTATGAACAAGAAATTGTCTCCGAAACAAAGAAATCACGCAAATGACATCCCAAAAGTCCAATTGTGATTCTCAATATTTCAAGCCAGTGGATCTTCATAAACCTTCCAAATTTCATTTTTAATGTTTGTGCAAAAATGGATGAAATGTACTTCATTATTGAGACGGTAACAATCACAGCCCCCCCCCCCCCCAAAAAAAAATTATCTTTTGGACTTGAGTCAATAAAATGTGGTCAAGTACTTTGAAAAACAGCTCCCCCCAAAATCAACACAATTCATAAATAGTATACACCTGAATGACATAACGTGAAATATACAGATTGCTAATTGTCGTTATATAATAAGGCTATATGACAATTAATCTACTGTGCTACAGTCTGAGTCGCATGGTCCTTTTTGCTTGGATCGTTGGGATCATAATTGACAAGCTGCTGTCCCACCAGATACCTGAAATAAATCAATCCAAAAAATAAATATAGTCATTCAAAATCTGGACGTTTATATACGAGGGGTGATTGATAAGGTCGTGGCCTAAGGTAGAAGGATATGAGCTATGTTTTGACTAATAGTGTGTGCAGTTCAACTTGTTGAATGATAACACAGAAAGTTTGAAGTTATTATCTTTTTCTTGCTTTTCTGTTACAGATAATCAAATCTTGACAGTCACCGGTTCCTGAGATCCTGAATCAAAAAATGCAGCTGGGGGAGCTGACAATGGGGGTGCTCTTCCATCAGGACAATGCTTCAGTCCACAAGTCCACAGTGGCCATGGCTGCCATCCGGCAATGTGGATTCAAACTGGTCGAACACCCGCCCTATTCTCCCGATTTGGCGCCCCTGACTACTATCTCATCCCAAAGAAGTTGAACTGCACACAATATCAGTCAAAACAGTATAGCTCTTCTCCTTCTACCTTTAGGCCATGAACTTATCAATCACCCCTCCTATCTTCTTTCAATACATGAAGTTGGACAACTGCCAACATCAGGTTTGATAGCTCAGTTGGTAGAGCACTTGTACACTGTTGCAGCAGTTGCAGGTTCAACTCCCTGCTCCAGTCATTTAGCTCATTCTTATTATTATTGAAGAAATGTTTCATCACAACACAAGGTTCATCTTTTCTCAGCACTTATCATGGAAGATGAGACCACATTTCACAGTGTAGGACTTGAATCCATAACCTCTTGATACCTCTTGATTACTTTTATGAAAGTAAAAAAAATTATTATTATTTTTTTCTTTTTACTCACTTGTCATTTCTAATGTGCTCATAGAGCTTCTTAAACTGCTTCAGATGAAATACCATGGCAACCAGGATAATCACTGAGGTAACAAGACAAGGGTAGATGCGACGGACAACCAGAATATTGACGTCTTCCCCAAGGCCTGAACAAACAAAAAAATGAAGAAAAAAAATACTTTGGATTCAAATGACAAATACTTTTGCAATCGAATCAGCTAGCCGTAAAACAAGTTATTAAGCTGTATCTAAAGTCAACGGGCTTTGCATGGCATCTACACGTGTGTTCATTCACCGTCTGTCCATCATTTTGATAAGGTCATGTGTCCTCGAGCAGGCTTGTTTACCACAACTTTGCCGCCAAGCAATAAGTTAGGACATAATCCTAACAGCACATGCATGGCTGCTTTTGTTTGTTAGGTCTTCAATTCAAAACAACTCAGCTTACAATGAGTTCAACGCCTTTAATGTGCCAAACATTGTCCATCTGCTTAAATAGCTGTAGCAACACCCAAACTCTGACTAAATCTACCCTTTACCATTGTTGTTAACCAGCTTCTAATAAAACATCATCCAGTGACAATGGCATGCATTTGCCATTGTTCCGTCCTGGTTTTATAATAATAGTGATTAGAATTTTTGATTGGCTTGCCATTAGACTTTGCGATTTTGCCTGCGACCGACTTGAGATTTGACTTATGATTTGACTTGTGACTGACTTGTGATTAAACTTATGACCTAATTTGTGATTTTGACTTATGATTTCAATTCCTATTTCAGGTGTGATTGACATGTGATGTAATTTGCCATTTGACTTGAGACTGACTTAAGATTAATATGAAATCAACTCCTGAACTAACTTCAGATTTAACTTGGATAACTAGTTGAGACTGACTGGTGATTTGACTGGCGATTTAAATAGCACCTGCCTTTTTGATTGACTTGTGATTCAGCGTGTGATTGATTTGAGATTGACTTGACCACATTTGTGATCTCTACTCACCGAACAGTGGCGTGATACCAGCTGCGACGACATAAGGTGCAGCCAGTGCCAAGAGTAGACACGTGACGACTGGCAGGACCACTCTCCTTGTGATGAAACCCAAATTCAGGTTACGGAAGCCGTCTTGGTAAACCTAAGAAGCAGCAGAAGAAGAAAAAAAAAGAGAAATTTCTATTTTTATTTTTATTTCGTTGGCATCTTTTGGTATGCATCTTCACTACATTCTTATCCATCCAGATCCCGCAACTTGTTCTTCAGATTTTAGAAGACTTTTTGAAGACTGGGGACTGAGCAGCCCGGCCACTGTAACCTGACATAGGACTTGATGCCCCTTGAAACATCAAGTACAAAAACAAGATGCCACTGGGTTCCCAAAAAAGAAAAGATTTTGGAAGATTTTGAAAGGTACCTGGATGCCTACTAAGTTGAGGTTAGGCTACATTCATTGTAATCGATACAAAGCAGACCACGATTTGAAGGGTAGACATGGATCTATCTGTCAAGTGATGTGGCGAGTGGTATGGGAGGGGGGGGGGGTGAGTGGGGGGGGGGGGGGGGAAGGGGGGATTTTCTTACCTGTTCCAAGACGGTCTTGAGCCACCAGTTGGGCCCCATCATTGTGACGGCACACATGATCTTGGCATGTAGGACCCCAAGAGCCCAGTCCTAGAAAACGAAGGGAAACGGCTCAAACAAATGCAATTTTGAGCGTAAAGTTTGCAGAATCACCATGTGAAGGGACTGTTTTGTATCTGTACAAGGACCAGAATCTGGGACGCTGAGTTGGCAATTTGGTAAATGGATGGCCACTGTGACCACAAGTAGGGGCTCTGTCTGCACAGAACACCAGGAGACGCTGACTGACTATTCAGAGTGTACTGCGAGCGTATTTTCAAGACTGAACACCCTATCTCCTTCACGTCACGTCACGTACGAACATTTTTTTCTTCAAAACTGCATGTATGGATTCTGGATGCCTTGTTTATTATAAGCCCAAATAAAACTGTATCTTGTGTTGTAAAGGGACGACAGAGGTTCGTACATGTAATAAAAAATCCTTGCTGAATAACGCGATGTCAAAATCTCATGTTTGAAAGGATTGATTCTACAACAACAAAAAATTCAAATTTTTAAGCACTGCCTCACGTGTTAAATATATCGACTGCAGTCCATATTTAAAATTGGTAAATATTGGCACATTTAAATTACACAATTCAAGGGGTTATGATTGCGCAAGGCCTGATGGGAACCAACATGGCACAGCAAGATCATAACCATGGAAACGAGGTTGCTTGTGCATGGATACCACACTGACTACTCCTGATTATCTCAACAGCATATTCACTGAAACATCAATTTAACACTTCTAGTGGGCATAGTAAAGATGCAGAATTTGCTTTTGACGTTGGTAGAAAGAAACTGACCTGCCAGGGAAAGAAGACAGGTGACTGATCCAGCGGGACACGGATGGGAACCACGACCACGACCTCAAAGAGTAGACCCAGAAGGAACGGGATGATGCCGAGTAGCATGAAGGCAACCAACAGGGACTTGATCAGCTACACAGGAGAGACCATGACACAATTAAACAATCTGTGATCTGCTATCACGCAAGCACATGCAAATATATGACCCACACAACAAAATGAGTCTGGATTCAAAAATCAAACACTTTCGATCTCAGGCTGTGCATGCTCCGTGGTAATATATGGGTCGATGTGGCTGGCTGCCAAAGGTGCCTTTACATGCCAGCGGCTCGACCACATTGTAGCCGCGTCCTTCGTAACTCAGCTTCTCAGCTGCGAGTAAGGATGATTAGCTCCCCCAATTATTCATCACAGCTACTTTTTGAGTTGTAATCCGTATCACAAACCGCACACAGTGGAACTCACTCATTGTTTTTACACTCATAATTTCCACATTTATCATCAAGATGTTAAACTGAGTCAAAGAAGAGCTGCGTATGCTCTCTCTTTTGCACATGAACAATTACTAAGAGAAAATTACGAATAAAACCAGCATTAGTGACTATTTTTTTTACAGTTTGAAGATAAAAAATTGTCACTCACCAAGACAGTATAGATCCTAGCCTTCTCCAGTATCAGCTCCATGCCTGCGGGCATCCAGGACCAGACCATGGTCAGTAGCCGGCAGAACAGCCAGCACAGGTACAGCCCGCAGGCCGCGGTGTACAGCTCATGGATGACCACACCCTTGCCTACCCAGAGAGACATGAAGAAACGACCCAGGAAGACGGGGAGCGTCAGGCAAAAGATGCTGGCCAGCAGGAGGGATAGACAGAGAAGATGGACCAGCAGGACTATCTGTCATTCAAAGAAAACAAAGATTGAAAGTTACACTAGGCAACTTCCACAGGCAACCAAACGCAACAGCATCACAAGCTAAACCCATTAGCACCTGAACTACATTGCATTACATTGCATTACATTGCATTATATTGTATTACATTGTACTACATTGTACTACATTGTATTACATTGTATTACATTGTATTACATTGTATTACATTGTATTACATTGTATTACATTATGTTATATTGTGTTACGTTGTATTACATTATATTACATTGTATTACATTGTGTTACATTGTATTACATTGCGTTAAATTGTGTTACGTTGTATTACATTATATTACATTATATTACATTGTATTACATTGCATTACATTGTGTTTATTCAGTGATGAATTCATAAAACCATACAGTGCTTAGGTGGTTTGGTGTTCTACTGGAAAGGTCACCCCCAGTTTTTGGCCGGACAAGGCCCAAAGGCCACCAAAGAAGACCAAAATTTCATACGTTTTTTACAGAATTATTAAAAATGTCAGTTGTCCTGGCTTACTCGCAAAGCAAAGAAGGACGGCTTGTTGTAAGGCTGGAATCCCGTGGGTCCCATCTGGTTAATCATGGCGTGATGAGCAGCGTGCAGCGCCATGCCACCTGCAGGTGCAGCAGCAGCAGCACCACCAGCAGCAGCAGGGGCACCAGCCACGGCAGGGCCTTCAGCAGCAAGCTCAGGAGGCGGGGGACCAGCTTGTAGTGGATGGTCATCATCGCCAACGGCAACATCCTGCATCAGGATCGCATCCATGTCTTCTTCTTCTTCTTCTTCTTCCTCCTCCATAATGACATCAGAATCCTCATCCTGACCGCTAGACACAACATCCTCGTCTCTATAAACCAGCTCATCAATTTCAACATCAACTCCCCCTCCTTTGGCTCCGCCTACCAAAAAGGTGTCCAACTCCGGCACATCCTCTGCCTCATTGTCCGCCTGGCCTTCAGCCGGCACTTGGTGGGGATAGCCTTCCCCCTGGGGCGGGGGTTCATCCTCCCCTGGGTGGGGGGCAGCAGCCTCCTCGGGTTCATGGTCTAGATGGGGGAGCTGCTGGTCATGCTGAGGGGTCGGTTCTGGGTTCTCTTCGACTGGAACGTCACCAAGTAGATACGATCGCATGTCACTACGAAAAAATAAAAGTTTGCAGAGATGAACATAAACTGTGTGTCTAGCAAATACATAGGAACACATTGATTTTTCAATTGTTTAAGCAAGGAACCTTTCTGAACCCCTCAAAACCTTTCACTGTGAAGGAAACCGTTAGCGCAATCTATGTACAAACTTTCAAGGGACAAAGAGTGGTTAAGCACTACCTTCTTTAAACCTGCAAAAAAATCCTCTAAAACCCCAGATGGAATTTACTGGATCGGGGTTGTCCGGGTGATATTTTCAACTTACAGGAGGTATGCAGCGCAGATGGTCCAGACCCGGATGGCATTCTTGAGCCACTGACGGGTGTGGCCCTGCTCCAAGAGTGCTGGGAGAACAACCTGCAGGAGCAACAACTCCAAGGACAGCTCACTGACCGGAGAGTCACTGAAGAAAAGGAGAAAACATGAAATGGTGATGTTTTGGGAATAACTGAAAGGGCATCTCGGAGGGGCTATCCCAGTTGCATCCCAAGACATTGGCAGTTTGTGTAAAAGATATTGACATCCTTGGATATTTGACTCCTGGGATGTCATCTTGCCTTGGGGGGGGGGGGGGGGGGAGGCAACTTGTGGCAATGAACAGCCCCACCTATTGTCCGACAGTGTCTTAAGATTGTCTGCATTGAACAGCACCCCAATAGTAACTTTGTGTCCAACTTTCTGATTTTGTGGTGGCTGGGTGGCCGGATAAACGTTCCTAGAATACCTTCCAGCAAGGAGGGTCTGCTACCAACTTCGTTGTTGAGCACAAACCACTCCCCCTCCCCCATTCAAATTGATTGGCGACACCCCTTGATATTTAGTACCTGGACAGGTGTATATGATATGGCAAGAAGGAAGGGAAGAGATATCGGATAATGGTGACCGGTAGCCAGAGAACGAGGAGAACCACGCTGCCGAAGACAATGACAGAGAGGAGAGACCGTCGGACGTGTCTGTAGATGGGTAGATGGATCATCTCTTGGATAGGGTTGAAGTCTGGGTCGTTCAGGTTACGCAGAAACCAGAGTACTCCCGGCCGCAAAACCTGCAAAAAATGATTGGATGAAATTCAGAGACACTGTTGTTGAAAACATCAAACCAATTCATTCATGTGACCCCACTTGTAAAATGGGTCAAACGTTGTCAGAGTTACTTTTAGGTTTACAACAAGCTTGATCAGATCTTGGAAGCTGCAGGCCAACGAATGAGAGTTCACTTTATATTGACCTTTGGCCCTATGAGCTCCGTGCGCCACCGAAAGAGGGCACCCTTTTACCTAGCAACGACGTCCCATGGGCGGGACATTTCGCTGGTTGATGCGAACCATTCCTAGTGCGTGACGCACGTACACCAGGGGATTTGTACTATGTACACGCAGTGGCATGGCCGCGCTTTGTGGAAAAGGAATTGCAGTCAGGCAAGATGGCGTCCATCGATCACCCCCAACTGTGCTTCCTTTGCCGGTGAGGGGGTACTTGTGAACGGAGCGGATAGCTGTAGGTCAGATGAAGAGGTCACCATGGACATTTTTTAATGTTTGATGCAGGCCATCATGTCGACAGCGCTACTTTTGTCAGTTGAGCTTTTTTTGAAATTTGACCTATTTTGACCTTTGACCCCATAACTGTAGGTCAGACGAAGGGGTCACCACGGACAATTTTTAATGTTAGACCAAGGCCAACATGTTGACAATGCTTCTTTTGTCATTTGAGCTTATTTGAGCTGATTTGAAATTTGACATTATTTCAACCTTGACCCCACGATGACCTTTGACTCCAGTTTGGTCAATGTGACATGTTGGGGCTGGGCTACTGATACTTTTGACAAAGTTTGGTTGAAATCGGTCAAAGTATCTAGGAGCAATAGACAGTGAACGTTTGTTACTAACTAACTAACAAACTTACTAGAACTAACCTACGGACTAACAGAGAGACATGGGTACTTGTAGAGCTGCTATCGGCAGCTAAAATTGGACTACACTACAGATTGCTGGGAGCGTATTATGAGTTTGTTCACCTCTCTGAGTAGCAGGATGAATGAAGCAAAGTAGAAGACATAAACCATGCCCACCAGCCAGTGTAGGAACATGGAGGTGCCTGGCGCAGACTGGAAGCTCTGTAGACGATCCTGAAGAGCCGTCTCAAACATGGACTGTGAGAGAAATTCATCAGTTAAAAGAATTCACAACTTACACATCAATTTACTGACATCCTACAATTTCAATGTCTGACACTGAAAAATGGACAATTGTTATATTAATATTAATAATTGTTGTATTAATATAAAATGTGTAGGTTGGGAGGAGGGGTAATTCAAGCAGGAAGTTACCCAAGAAATTTTCCATGTCAGAGAATAGCACGCTTTGTACTTTGGGGTGGAATTAAGTGATTTCTGAACTTGAGGAAAGGTGTCTGAGGTTCCATACCTCAAATATGGCAATACATATACATGTACGTCAGAAAAGAATTTCAAAAACCAGTTAGAGGTCTGCACGGCAAGCATCTATGATATGTTTACAGATCATGAAAAAAATAATACTGCGTATTGACCTTCGGATTCTGACCATTCAGTGAGCGCCTTCTATCGGGTCTTTGGCAACCTGCTGTTGTATGAGAAAAACATGGCAGCTATTGACCAATCAACAGCTTTGGCCGAACATCTGCTCTAAAGGCGGCTCCGATTGGCTGGCATGCAGGTCACTCAAAATTTGCATTCTCGTATATATCAGACATTGTAGTGTTGCTCTGCACTCGTGAACGTCTGATGCTCAGATTTAAAAGAGGTCGGTGTCTGTCCTTACAAAAAAAAACCAGGTTTTCTCCTGATCTATCAAACGTAAAGATTTGGGGAAGGGACTTTTAGGAAGGCATTTTCTCCCTTTCATATTTGACTGGCCCAACTCTTTTCTTACCAATGAGCATATATCCAGCCACCATCCACACACCAGGGGTAGGACGCCTATCTCTGTCACTACAAGAAGGAAAACCTTCAGCACGATGTAACACAGACCGAGGATTCGCTTGGTACGATGAAGCTTGAATAATCCGCTGATGAACTATTGTTATATAGGCAGATCAGGAAACAAAATATTATAGTGCTCAGATTACAGGTCAAAATCTACTTGCAAAAGAAGGACGGTATCATGGAGACACTAACTACAGAAAAACATTTGGTTACACAGAGATGAAAATGACATATGGGAAAAAAATCTAAAAATGGGCCGAACAAAAATACGAGTCAGAAATCTGGGCCGCACTGCAGTTACACATGTACATGTACACACATTATGTACAATACATTTCATGCCCAATTTTACGATGAGAAAAACGTTCAGTGTTTTCATAAAATTAAAAAGCCTAAATTACGGTAAGAGTAATGGACTTGTCAACAACGAAATTTACTTCTTATTTGAGAAAGTCGAGGAAAAAGTCCGAAAGACAAGGGCACCATTCATGCCACCATTCAATCATGTCTATGATTCAACCAAACTCCACTAGAGTATGTGATTCCACTTTTTATGCGACTGTAACTTTCTTGCCAATACCTATTTAGTGGTCCCATTGTTTTAGCTGGGTAAAGTCCCTTGACAAACACTCCAGCGGCTCATTATATCCATCGCCGCATGCAATTTTTACCCGGGATGCTGTGTATGAAACTTGTTCCCAGCGAGGAAGGCAGCTGCAGCTGGCGCATGTAAAACTTGATCGGCGAGTTTGGACTATTCAAATATTCAGTCAAGTGCAGTTTCGAACAATCGAATACTAAATTATTCGAAAATTGACAGACATAATTATTATTTATCAATAAGAGGGGAAACTTTAGTGTGAAATTCATTGATTTGAAAAAAAAAGTGAAGGAATAATTGAAAATTGAAAATTTTGCGGAATGTTAAGTTGTACTTGTGTAATTTGTGAAGGACAATATATTATTTTGTTTACTTCCCTCTCATTTTGTAAACTATGAGTTCAAAAAATGCAATTCTTTTCCCCACTGTTTTTACTGTTATCAAGAAATTGGAAGGATACATGGAAGAGTATAAGGGAGGAACAGAGCGTGACGTAGCCCGACATTGTGGTGAGCAGCCCCTCAAAACGAGACATCTCGGCAAACTCATCCCAGCCCATCAGAAGCATGCCAAGACGACCGATGTGGTATGGGCAAAAAGCTGCATTAGGGCAAAACAACAGATTATGCATTTTCTACTTTCGCTAAGTAATAAAGCCAGGTGGTGACCTCAATTATATGGTAAATCCACCTGCATGACTAATTGATATAATTGATTGCTACAGGTACATGTCTGTATTCTAAATAGTTACAAAACAGAATATGGATTAAAATAAAGATAAAACAGTGCTCACTGACCGATGAATCCATTGGAATAATTCTGGCAGTAATTCCAAAATAACGTATGGTCATGAGAATTATTTTGGCATTTTTACCGACATGATCAGTTTTACTGACGATCTGATTCATATTTATTTAAGCAATTTGTAAATATTACTAAGAGCTCATAGGTATGATAATGTATTAGGTTTGAAAGCTAGCGTTAAAGTTAAGTTATTTTTGAGTTTGAAAAGTACATGTACACATAAATACTAAGGTGAAGTATGAAGGATAATTTTGACCAAAGGGCGATTCTTCAGAAATTGAAACTAAAATATTTTTTTGGAAAAAAAAAATATTTTGGAAAAAAAATACATGTGATGTTATACAAATGATTATTGTTTACTAAAGTGTTGCTAGTAAGTAAAGATGTAAATTTCTTAAAATGTTTCATAAGTTGGTCTTTCCGTGCATAAATTAGCAGAATTTTAATTCTAAAATATCACACACGTGACCGATCAAAATGTCACCCACGTGCCACAGAACAATTCCCATTAAGTAAAACTATCAAAGCAGAGGGTGTACATTTCTTATGCATTCTGTAAATCACAAAAGACTAGTCCTTATACTTGTATACGTGTGCGTGTCCTTAGAACTTTGGAGAAAAGCGGGGATTTCCGGTATGGGCCTGATAACATTTTTATGACTGCCACACACTTGGCCAAACTTTGATGACCCCTCCTAATATTTGACACAATTTATGAAAGTAGAAACTATACTCTGAGTCTCTGAGGTAGGGAGTAAAAAGCACTAACCCTGATGAATCAGTGAATGTAATTTGTCAGATGTATTTAACAAGGGGTAAGTAAAGCTTCAATAATCAGACGAGCCCAATTTTATGTCACACGGTGACCAAAAGAAAGGCCCTTGTGCCCAATCTGCCAATGACTCTAATGTCCTGCTCTCTTCATTTGAAGCTTTTTGGCAACCCCCTAAGAAAGAGCAAGCTTTCAGATCTGATGATACTTTAAAACTCATCTCCAAGTGTCTTCCACCTACCAAAGACAAAGATGAAGAGAGCGTTCAGCGAGATGACCCACAGGACATGCTCGAGGAAGATCAGGGATCCATCGAGGCCCAGCATCCGCTCCCACGTCAGCTCCTCAGCGGCACGGTCCCATTCCAAAGCATTCCAGTTGATGTCATCTACAAGACGATTCAAGGGTTAGTAACAATACTATCGATGTTGCTTGAAATACCACAAGTAGATAGGGTTATCTTAAAGATGGGGTTATCTTAAAGATGAGGCTTCACCTCAACGGCTTCATGGGGAGGCAGGTTAGCAGGCGCTCCTGTGCTAACATCAACTCGTGAACACACACGTTTACCTTACATAACTAGTGTGGATATTCCTTTGTTTCGGTGTTAAGAAAAATCCGAGAAAATTTTTTAACTCACACAATTTTTTTATCACGATTTCTTTGAGTGTTCCTCTTCATTTTGTGACAAATTACCCTAACCCCAAAATGCCTCTAAACCTGTTTTTCAGAGAGGGGGAAACTCTGTGCGGACCTGGGCAAGTCCACACAACGTCGCTGCTACCTGCACTGTGTGGACATCTTTTGTTCAGAGGTCCACACAGTGACTTCTCTGCCTGTCCACACATACACACCATTTGCGCTGCAGAATAGCGGTGATGTACATGTACTGTCCATGCTATTGAGTTTCACGCTTAACATTTGTATTTTAAGTGCCATTTTCCTTTCGCAACACAAACGTTTACACCTTTGCATGACACAATGACCAAACAAAATCTGTCTATGTGTATTGATGGAATAATTGCTTCAGAAATTTCTGATCACTTGCCACTTGTCAATATTCAGCTCAAAGCAACCCAAAATTTCAAGCTTTTTACGGAGGACTCTAGAGAAATAAAACATTAGAAATCAAACAAGTTCTTTGAACAAACCACAGCTCTAGAAGGCTTAACTGTTTTTATTCTGTTCACCTTGAAAAGAAAGCAGACATTCTTGAATGGAAAATCAGTAATCAGGTTTTATCAGAATATTTGGATGCAGCTGACTTCAAGTACATTTTGTTTTTATTTTTGGCTCGTACCTTGACCGGCATTTTCTGCTCCCGGCACATTATTCCCAGCATTCTCGGCAGCTGCAGGTTGCCCCGCTCCTGCTTGATTGCCATTGGCTGCTGCAGGTTGCCCCGCCCCTGCCTGATTGCCATTGGCTGCTGCAGGTTGCCCCGCCCCTGCTTGATTGCCATTGGCTGCTGCAGGTTGCCCCGCCCCTGCTTGATTGCCATTGGCTGCTGCAGGTTGCCCCGCCCCTGCTTGATTGCCATTGGCTGCTGCAGGTTGCCCCGCCCCTGCCTGATTGCCATTGGCTGCTGCAGGTTGCACCGCCCCTGCCTGATTGCCATTGGCTGCTGCAGGTTGCCCCGCCTCTGCCTGATTGTCATTGGCTGCTGCTGGGGCTGCTGCTTGTCCCTGATTGGCTGGCGCCTGCTGATTGGCAGCTGGCTCCTGGTTACCGGGAGGCTGTGCTTGAGGTGCGGCATTCTGTCAAGCAAAGCAAAAACGAGTCAGTCAGTGGGGAGTCAGCCAGTGGGGGAGTCAGCCAGCCGGGGAGTCAGCCAGTAGGTCAGTCAGCAGTCGGGGGGTCGGGGAGTGGGGGAGTGGGGGAGTCAGCCAGTCAGTCCGTCACGCTATTGGAGAGTCAGTCAGTTAGTGATTCAGTCAGTCAGTGACTCAATCAGTGGATGATAGTCTGGCCCTTCCAGTCCAACAAAAAGATCTGGAGATTCTTCATAAGATGGAATTATTTGCGTCAGCTGTTAATTCAATGCTGGGTTTTGCCCTTCATCGACAGTTTTTTACAAACACTGTATGCTCAAGTGTTGTCCCGAGTGATTGTGAGAAAAAAAATTAACAAGCCTCCAACCCACAACCTTTTACTGGTGCAGACGTCAGATTCAAACCAGCCAGCCGTCCTCGGCAAGCTCTGTGGTCGAGGGGTAAGACGTCTGCACTAGTAACCAGGAGGTTGTGGGTTCGAATCCCACCCGAGTAAGCTGATAGTTATTTTTCCTCGCACTCACTTGGGATAACACTGTGTAAATGTATACAGAGTTTATAGAAATAATGTCAGTGAAGAGCAAAACCCTATATTCAAGATCAAGAGATGTCGCTTGTTTGGAAATAAAAGGAAAGTCATACCGGATTATTGGCTTGTGCTGCAGCTGGCTGTTGCTGCTGCTGTGCTACTGGTGCTGCTGCTGGTGGTGCTGCTGCTGCTGGTGGTGCTGCTTCCCCTGCCCCATCTATTGGCCCGTTTCCAGCCCGGCGTGCATCGTCTTCAAGCCACTCCGGCCCACCACCGTGTGTCACCTGCTCCCGAAGCCAGACCAGGCTGACAAACGCGCACAGGGTGGAGCCAACCACAAGCATGCCTTGTAGGATGTCTGTCACAACACTCTCACTGCCAATCAATAAACAAGAAAAACGTGTAGGATTACTGTGCACATGTCCATTGGAAGGCAGACTCAAACACTGACCCCCCCCCCCCCCCCCCCGAACACCCCTGCCCCCAACCAACCCCCTGAATAGTGCATCATAGGTGCATCGTGTCACTTACGTTTGTGATACAGCGGGTCAATCTAGTGTGTCAAACAGGCTAGGGAGTGCGTTTAAAACTTTTTTTTATTACATGTAGGTTTTTAAATAAGGGAATAAATGTGTGCTCCGGAGGTTTTTATCACTCTGTTTAATACCACTTAGAGTCTGGGTGCTGATAATTACCCGAGCCGGAGGCGAGGGTAATTATCAGCACCCAGACTCTAAGTGGTCTTAAACAGAGTGATAAATACCGACGGAGTACATATTTATTCCCATTCATAAATACCTTTTCGGTAAAAAAAATCATATAATTCGTTCAAAACATCCCGATTTTGTTCAACAACATCACTTTATGCTTTTTGAAACATCCCTCCTGCAAAATTATGGAGTGTTCAGCTGGCGAGTAAGATGAAAACAACCCTTTTATGGAGATTGACGCGCGCGTATCATGTTCTACGCGATGTCGCGCAGAACGCACCTGGCGCGTTGCGTTTTAAATTTAGACTTATAAAATTCTAACTCCCTGGTAGTGTTGCGCATGCCTACGTGAGGATTGTGAACGTTCAACCAATGAAACGATAAGAGGCACTGGATTTTTAGGAGTCCACATTTTATTGTGACACTGGAAAAGTGTTTAAGACCAGCTAGCCATGTCTTTATCATCCGTTTAAGACCGGCCACGTGACGGGCTCTCGACCAATAGGAATGCGTAAACTGTCTTAGGTATTTATGAATGTGGGTTTATTTTAATTTGTAAAACTAGGATCATACAATTTTGCTGAATAGAATTCAACATCTCCCCAATGAAAATTTCATGTCCAGAAAAAGTGTGGTTGCAGTAGTTGCTGCTACATCAGACTCGAACCAGCGAGCTGACCCCAGCATGCTCGGTGGTCGAGCGGTATTAGATGACTGCACCAGTAAGCAGCAGGTCATGGGTTCGAGTCCCACCAGAGTAAGCTTGTAAATTTATTCGCAAGCCCTCAGACAACACAGAGTATACAGTGTTGTGAAATACTCTGGCAAAAACCAATATAAAAATCTACTTCTCCCTAGCCACTGACAAATCCATCTTACAAAAAAAGGATTTAACATATATATTTGGGGGAATGGCTACTCTTCAGTGGATGAATACTCACAGTGACAAGACATCAAATGGCAGCGTCAAGAGTGGAACCAGTGATGCTTGGAATAGGCACCGGTAAATGCGACCTGCGTGACACGCACAATAAAAGATGAGTATAAGAGTAGCACATTGTAAGGTTCTTACTTCAACTGAATGGAATTCTTTACCTTCCAAATTTTAGTCTGCTAAACTGCAAAATACTCCAACGAAGGGACGAATTAGGCCAAAAAAACCATATTTTTTTCAAAATTCTTTATTCCGGCCGAAATCGGCTAAGTGAACAGCAAAGAATGTTTTGGCAAAGTTGTTGCAGTCGAAATCAGTTTAAATCAACAAAATCACGACAATCAATATAGGGAAAATTTCCCTTGAATCGTATTTTGAGCTTTCACAAGAGACAAATTCAAAGTCTATCACGTTGTTTAATGGGGCAAAAACAACGCGCGTGCGGAATGTAAGTTTTCACGAGGAGACAAATTCGCGCAAAGGGTATGGGCAAAGGGTATTGGCAATTTGCCAAACAGGAATGTGGGAGTTTGAGTTTTCAAAAAACAGACAAATGTCTTTGGAGATTTAATTAATCCGCAATTAATTGTTGTATTATACTGCCATTGGTACATCTTTGAAGTTTAAGATTTCAGCTTAGACCCCCCCAAAATTTCTGCTTCCAGTTTCCCTACCTACCCTATTCTGACAGCCCCTACCCTAATTTTTTTATGGGAAAAATGAGAAAAAAAAACACCCAAAACCATCAATTTTTACCTTTTACCCTTGATTACACACAGACTCTATATGATTGTACACAAAAATGTGCCACAAAAAAGGGTCCCTACCTACCCTATTTTCAAATGCCATGCAATCGGAAGCAGATATATTTTGTTTGGCCTTACTATCTGTATTGAAGTTAAGTCAGCTAGTGCTCCAAAAACAGGCAAACTTGTTATTTCAAAAAGCGACCAACTTAAAACTTGTTTTGTTTTCAAAACCACTGTTCAACACCCTTCAGGAAAACACTGACGATGTGTAACTGACTATGGCTAGCAATTACACAATACACATGCACCTAATGGCTGAAGCTGACGCCCTCTCCATAGACACGTGTGTTCCTGCCAGCCGTAGCCCCGTATTAATTCTGATGCAGCCTAATACTTACAGGCTGTTATAGGAACCACGCCCAGCCAGGCAAAAGTGACCAGGGTGTAATGTAGCCAGCACTTGACCGCTGTTCCCATGCTCTTGGCAAGACCGCGGACAATGTCCATCACGGGCAGTCGCTTTGGCATGTCCGGCGAATAGACTAGAAAGACAAAGGAAGCAAAATACATGAACAACATTTCTTGTTTTTTGCAAATTCTCGCTTTTTTTTCCAGTTGACAATTGACATTTTGTGACGTCAAAATTGGGTTTCTCAAAAGATCATTCAGTTTCTTATTTAAAGTTTGGAACCAGAAATTCACTCAATAAGTCACACAATGTACATGAAGGTTTGGTCTCTTGAAACTTTTGGAAAAAGTGGACACACAAGTACTTTTAGCCAAACTTTAAATTTGTACTGCTTTGAATATCACAATTTGTTTTTTTCCCCCAAGGGTTTGTTGTTGTTTTTATTGTTGTTGTTTTTAATGAAGAGTGGGGCTCTGTTTCCTGTTTGTTGTAACTGTCCATTACATTTTGCCTTTCAGGAAAACTCCGCTAAGTGTACAAAAATCAGACGTTCTAACTTAAGATATATTTTGTTCAATTCTCAATAGATATGACCTGTATTTGAACATCAATGTTTGGTGTAAAGTCCTTACAACCAAGTGACAACTTTCTGGTTGCTTGGCTTTCTTTGTCTGGACTTGCTTACTTGGTGTGAATGAGAAGCGGTGCATACATAATTCACAGTATTCCTTCTTGCTGTGTTTCAACCACTGCACCAGACTGGAATAAAGAAAAAGACACATTAAAGGGAAGATACAACATTTGCAAACATAAAAAAAAAAAAAAGATCAAACTATCACGAAATATCTTACTGATTGTTAGGGAATGACAGTCTTAAGTATCCTGTAAAATCGTGGCTCCTGGTGTGCTGACATTTTCAAGAAAACTTGTATTTTTCCAACGCTGGTCGGCCGACCAGCGTTGGAGAAAACAGGCTTTTTTTTTAAAACTGCTCCTAATTTTTCACACTTAAGTTATTCTGCATTTTCTTTGCAATAGATTACACACCTGTGAATGGGTACAAGCCTGCTGGACTGATTCTCTGACCTTACAATTCCCCAAAGACTATAAATTGCTTCGTTTCATCTTAAGTGGGGTCAGGGAACCAGACTACAAGAACATGGTTGGTTTTCTTGGATTTCCCAGCATCTCCAAACCCAAAATGTGAAGCAAGCCAGTTTAACAATATTTGCTATAACATACTAATCCTCCAAATCCATTTATTTCTGAAAATTGCAGCAAAAGCAAATGTTGTACATTCCCTTTAAGACTTTCAAATTAGAAGGGCGGCAACAGGGGCCATGGCCCCAAGCAATTTTTTTTAATCGGAGTCAAGACACCTTTTTGTCCTAAATTTTCAGGAAATAAATCCAAACGTGATACCTCCCTCGCAAGCCATCAGCAACACATACATGTTCCTTTCAGTATTAATATCACAATATTGTTTCTTTGTTCTCTCATCCACCCTCCCCTGCATCTTTCCACACCTTTCACACCTAATCCTCCTTTTGTGTTTCTTCTTTCAGCCCTGCATGTTTGTGTGCACCCCATGTTAATGTATGTACCTCTGTCATTTCTGTTTTAGCCTCTGAAGAAGAACTTGCTAAGTTCGCAACGTCAGGCCACATTAATTTTAAGATTAATATGGAAAAAGGGCACGATATAATTGTACTTGATCCCCTTCCCCTTTTTAAAAACAAATTACTCGAGCCCTAACTCTTGCCCCTCCCCCCAAAAAAGTTGGTTCTAGATCCGCCCTTGGATGCCAACAATACTGAACGAGACATCAAGATTCACCCACACGACCTTCAAAAAATCATCTCCCTATCCATGCCTATCACTAAAAAATTAAGTGATAGGCCTAATTTTATGTTTGTCCTTTCAAACTGACCTACATTGTACTTTCAATTTATACAGTTTCACCAGCTGTCATACAATCGTGAATAAAACATTTACAGATTAAGACAGTAAACAATATTAACAAAAATTAACATGTATTAAAAAATAATAATTAACTCATTAACCCCAAAAGAAGGCTTTTAAGAAATAGCACTGAATAACTACATGTATATATGCCAATTAAAACAATCCATATATTCTAGAATTATGAAAACTATTATACTTGTGAATGTATAACATGTAAAAGTACCAGTATTTTTACAATTTGAACTGTGTAGGTCTCAGGATGCTGGTTTTATTTAGCCGTGTATATTGAACATCTGGACATTCTCCAACTTAAACCTCAACAGCGAAGGACATTTTTGAGGTTGCGTGGACAGAAGTGGAAGACTGACCCTCCTCCATCATGTTGGCAGTCATGGCATTGTGCTTTCTGCTCATCAAAGCAGCAACTTGTGAGATGCAAGTGGGATCCGACGGCATCGAAAAGGCTAACTTGGTAAAAACGTCTTAAGCCCGGCGCATACCTTTCCGTTTTTGCCGGTTCACCAGATCACTGGGCCATCGTACAGAGGTGTGCGCTGAAAATTTGGACCAATCTGACCGTCTATCAGGCGACCAGATGAAATCAAAGATGCTTGATTTTTACTTATCCGATTTCACCGGATCCAATTTCATCAGATCCGATTGCACTGGACGCAATATTTATGTTCACCAATCAGATTCACGAAGAAAGTCACATGGTTGTCATCATGTGACTGGTCATCCTGTGACTGGTCATTCTGTGACTGGTCATCATGTGACCGTTTACTGGACGGAATTGGGGATGTGTGTGGGTGACGTAGTAAAAAAAAAAACGTACCGGTGATGGGGTGATACGAGAAACCATCATGGTAACAGACAATCTACGAAGACCTACCTCATGGTGTTTGACCAATCACTGCTGTGACTATAATGTTTAACTTGTTTTTTTTGTTTTTTTTTATTCCTTGTTTTTCAGTGAATTATTTTTTATAATACAATTTATTAAGGAAATAAATGCTTGGCCAATTTTAAACAAATACGGCTAGGGGCCTAAACGTGGATAATGGCCAAAGCCGAACCAAACCATTATCCACGTCCAGACCCCTAACTGGTTTTAAACGTACTTGTTTAATACTGGCCAAGCATTTGGGGTTTAAAACCGCTCACGTGACCGGCTCTCGACCAATACCTAAACGGTCATAGGTATTTAAGAATGTGAAATATAAGTAATTTATTTACTTCAATTCATTTAATCATAAAAACCATCTTTTCCTATTTTAGGGATCCTACATGCTGGATTTGGCATGCAACGATGCTGGGACCGAATGCATGAAATGCTTCACTGTTCACAAGTTCGGACGACCATATCTGTGTACGTATTTCTGTATCATCTTAAGGGATGAAATCGGGATTGAATTCAAAATACACGCACCGTTACATCAGGAATTGTCAATAAACCATCTGACCGGAATACATGTAACATTGTACACATTGTACAATACATACATGTACATGTACATGTATGTAAAATACCACAAGACTTAACTCCATCATTACATGTTGCAATTTTGACGGGAAAATAAAGTCTGTTCAAAAACATTTAAAAAAACTACCCCATTGTTTTACTGCCACATGTAACAATCGTTTCTGAAAGTGGTCTTGAGACATAACGATTTTATAAACATACATGTGTATGTACATTGTAATATTTTAACAACAAATTTTATTAAGGATAAGATGGACAGGCCTATTCAAATGTTTCCAAAATGTTTCAGAATCAGACTTTGGACCAATAGATGTTGAATGAAAATGGCCAGATTTTCTAGGAGACCATCAGTCGTGCAACACTATTTTTTCACTTTAACTCGTTACCGGTACATATGTGTTTTCCTTTTGCAGATACGTTTAAATTTTCCAAGGACCACTCCATCAACTTTCAAATCACTGTCACTACCGCGTTACAGAATTACGATTTGGCTTTTACGCAGGGTAAGAGGTCCAAGTATACATGTACAAACTGATTTTGTGAAAAGTCAGTTCAACAATACCACAAATTCCCAAACACAATTAATCCTCATGTATAATCTAAAGTATTTTTGCAATGGCATCCATGAGAAGTAAACAAAAAAACGTGGAAATCAGCGGATCACAGGAAAAGTTGCATGCCTGAAAAAGGTGCTCTGCATGGTTGACATGTATCTTTGGTTTAGGTTTTTTTATTTTGAACTTGGTGTTTCAATAAAAATCGTACAAATGCTGAAAAATATTAACCAATTGAAATCAAAATTCCCTGCTGACATGAACCAGCCTTTCAATTTTCTGCCGTAGTTAGTAAAGATTAATTTAAGGTATGCTAATCGGAGTGAAAAGCAAAACTTTAACAACAAACAAAAATTAACAAATACCAAATAAACCTTGTCAAACACTTCAAGCTCAACCCTTGTAGTATCCCTTTTTTCAAATTCTCTTGAATGAGCTCATTGGTGTTTTGAGTACATGTAGCTAATGCCATATCAACGAAAACTTTATTTTGTCAGCGCCTTTTTGTAATTTGTCTCTTTATTTCACTGCAGAGATGAAGGTTAATTAACTTAAATGTAATGCAGTTACTGTCAAATTGCCCTTATTTATCCAACAGGAGAGGCCAATGAACCATTTGATTTCTGCGGCTATTTAGCCTCCACCTATGAGATGGAAATACACAGTGCTTGGGATGGCAAGTTGTGCGCACACAACAACTTCTCTGGTGTGTCTGTGCCAGCCGAATGCGGCCAACCTGTAGCCTTGGTGTCAGTAGTGAACCACCTTGCAGACGAGGCGATGCGGGGACAGCAGGTGCTCTACTGCATGCCCAAAGGCTCAGATTAACAGTCAGGTCCATCACAAGTTAAACTACATCACAAGACAAGGCCTCAAGTAACAAGAGACGAATGATGACAATCATCTCTGCTTATAAAGACAACGTTAAACATGTTAAAGACGTACTCTCCATGTTCGTCGACAAATTCCATTTATTGTTCTCCTGAAAAGTTTTTCAACTTGTGTGTTTCATTAATAGCTGTAACCCTCTAAAAAATACTGCAAGTATTGCAATCCCCTGGCATGCTGGAAGTATATACAATCAGTTATTAAGCATACTTTTCAGCGTACCTAGCCAAAATCAACAATGACCTCATTTGATCCCTTCATGACCTTTGACCTGAAATGTCTCAAGTCATCTCAAGTCATCCTACCAAAAGATTGTCATTAAATTTGGTTGAGAGTGAAGTGTGAGTTTCCATGACAGCACTTTTCAGTTGACCTAACCAAAATCAATGACCTCATCTGACCCTAGATGACCTTAGACCTCAAATGTCTCAAATCATCGGAATCCCCCCTACACAAAGATTATCGTCCCCAAGTTTGGTCGAGAGTGAAGTCTGACTTTTCATATGACAGCACTAAACAGTTGACCTAACCAAAATCAACACTGATCTCATTTGACCCGTAGATGACCTTTTGACCTCAAATGTCTCAAGTCATCTGAGGTCCCCCACCCAACAATTATTGTCACCAAGTTTGGCTGACAATGCAGTCTGACTTTTCATACGACAGCACTAAACAGTTAACCTAACCAAAGTGGAACACACGGACCTGTGCTAGCACATACATGTACATGTACCTGTCACACAGAAGGAATACGCTATTGCAACATCCCCCTTTCTGGCTTAAAAGCCAGGGGGGATAAAAAAGGTGATTACTGTGGCTTGCAGAAAACAGAACGGTTGATCTAGTTATGTGTAGACTGGTTCCCGGTCCCTACATTGCACATTATCGATCCTGATAGGGAGCAGAGGACTGAATTAGCGTATGGCCTTTGAATTCAAATTTTGTGAAATGATTATTCCATAACTCAACGTGGGCCACAGCTGAGTGCGTATTGTGAATTGATCGGAAAATAGCAATTGGAAATGAAAATTTAAGTTTTGGTAGAGGAACTTGAAATTCTAAATTTCAATTGAATTTAGTTTTCAGGTGGAGGACATTTGGTGGAGGAATTTTTGTTTAAAATTCTTTTCTTTCCATATTTAGCACCAAGCAAAAAAAATGTTGCATACTGTTTAAGTATAGGCCAATTAATGCACCTTTATTCTAGTTTGAAGCAGATATTTAAGTTATTTAACTGGACGTGGAATACAACTTCATGATTTCTTTACTTTTAAATATCGTACAAGGGGTCGTTCACTAATAAATGTGTTGCAATGGTAAAAATGAATTGATGTCTAAGCTCTGTGCTATTTTCTCTGATTCCAAACCTTGAAAAACATATCCAAACTTGCAATTTATATTCATCAGGTTTTAAAAATTGATATCCAATTTTTAATGACATTTGATCTTCTCATAGTAAAATTACTATCCCTCTGCTATTTGGAGTTTCAACCTCAAAATACATTTCTCTTTCCCTATTTTTCTAGCGATACAAATGTTATTCTATTGTCAATGAAACACAGAACCACAACTCAGGCTGACAATGATTCAGGCACACTGAGGTCCAATGGTTACAGTGTTCGACACATGTGCCGTGGTATGTGGGTTCGAACCCTGACAGAGAACATGGTGCTTGTGTTCTTGGGCAAGACACTCTTACTACGACCATTTGCCAACTCGACTGGAACCATCTCGACGGTTAACCAACTGAACCAACTCGACCGATGTACTAACTCGACCATTGTGCATTCAATTGGAAAAGTCCAGTCATCCGTTGTCCAACTCGTCCTTTGTAAAAGTACCAGGACTTTTAAACAATCTGATTATATGAGTAAAATATTAGGCCTACTACAATAAATATTTTAAATATAATATTTATTAAAAAAAATTCACTAATTAAAAAGGGCTTAATTAGGAAAAAAGCATCACTAACCTGATGCCATGTAAAACAATACGTATTCTGGAATAACGATTAAAATTATACATGACATGTACATGTATAATGATGTTAAAAAAAAAAAAGTACAAGGACTTAACAAAATGATAATTATAAGAAGCCCTTTGATTTCAGTAAATTTACATTGTGGTCAACCAGAGCTGGTCAACAAGTTGTGTATTTTGAGCATCTTGACATTCTCCAACTTATGTTGGACAGCAAAGGACATTTGCAGTTCTGAGGTTGAGTGGATAGAACACTGACCCTCTTCCATCATGTTGGCAGTCATGGCTTTGTGCTTTCTGCTCATCAAAGCAGCAACTTGTGAGATGCAAGTGGGATCCGACGGCATCGAAAAGGCTAACTTGGTAAAAACGTCTTACATGTAATCATAGTAACAGGACAATCATCTACCCTATGGTGTTTGACCAATCATGGCCGTGATTAATGTGCAATTTTTTTTATTTATTTTACTTCAAATTCTTGCTTGCCAGTGAAGTATCCATTTTCTTTTCATCATTAATTTAAGGGTATAACTGGTGCTTGGCCGGTTTCAAACACTATTTTTAAGACCGGTTGGAGTCTGGATGCTGATAATCACCCGAGTCGAAGGGTCACTATCAGCATCCAAGTTCCAACCGCTCTTAAAAATAGTGTTTAATACCGGCCAAGCACATATTTATTCCCATTCATAAATACCTTTTCGGTAAAAACAAACAAACTGTTCTGTCCAGAAATCAAAACAAGTCAAAAATGATAAATTTCCAACAATTTTGTCCAACAATTTTACTTAATGTTTTTCGAAACCCCCCTCTACATGTACCGGTAGCTATGCTATGGTATGGCCCTCTTGTGAGTAGTCGTAAACAACTCCTTATGGATGTGGTGCAGAATGCAGCTGTGCCAGTGTAGTTTGAATTTAGGACTACGAAATACTGACTCACTGGTAGTATTGCGCATGCCTACATGTACGTGAGGATTGTGAAGGCACCACATTTCATAGGAGTCCAAATTTCATGTGACACTTGAAAAGTGTTTAAGACCAGCCAGCCGGTCTAACACCTGGTCTTTATCAACCGTTTAAAATTGAGCACGTGACGGGCTCTCACCAATAGAAATGGGTAAACTTTCTTACATGTACACGTAGGTACCGGGTATTAATGAATAAAGGGAATATATATGTAGGCCTACTTGGCCGGTTTTAAACAAGAACATTTAAAACTGGCTAGGAGCCTGGACGCGCATAGTGGTCTGCACCAAATACATGTACATGTACATGTACTTTCAGTCAAAAAGTCAAAACAAGTATAACATTTACAATTTTGCAACGATTTTGCTCAACAGTTTTACCTTTGTGACACAGCCCTCCGGCCATGTCTATGGTATTTGCCTCGCGTGCGTGGTGCTAAAAATGTGTTTTATGAAGATTGGAGCACGTGAGGTACAATGTACATATTGCGCGATGAGGCGCAGAACGCAGCGGTGCAGGAATAAAGTGTTTAAACCCAGCGGGTGTTTTATCAGCGGTTTATAACCACCCACATGACAGGCTCTCGAGCCTCAACCGATCAATCGGAATTGGTAAACTGTCTGAGGTATACACATAAAATAAATTATATTTATTGACTTCCATTCATGTAATCATAAAAACCATCTGTTCATATTTTAGGGATCCTACATGCTGAATTTGGCATGCAACGATGCTGGGACTGAATGCATGAAATGCTTCACTGTTCACAAGTTCGGACGACCATATCTGTGTATGTATTTCTGTATCATCTTAAGGGATGAAATCGAGGTTGAATTCAAACTACACACTGCCACACTTTCCAACGGACCACTGGTGGAAATTGATACAAAAATTCCACTTTTCTTGAAAATGACAGCACACCATGTGCCCTGATTTCACAGGATGCTTGAGACTTTTATTCACTTCCAGTCAACTAAAATATTTCATAATAATTTGGTAGTTTTGTTTCTTGATGTTTGCAAATATTACCTTTAAATTACATACTGTATTTTCCTTATAATTTTGCAGATACATTTCAAGTTTCCAAGGAGTGGGACCACTCTGCTAACTATCACTTCACTACCACTACCGCGTTACAGAATTGGGATTTAACTTTTACGCAGGGTAAGAAGTTAAAAATAATCAAACTGATTTTTTTTTGGTTGAAAGCCAGTTTAGCTAACAACGCATTCACAAATGCAAATCTATGCACGATTTTTTGAAATTTTCCAATTTTGCAGAAGTTTGTAGGAATCTGGAATTTCCTGCTTTGCATGGTTGACTTTATATCCTTGGTTTAGGGGTTTTTCATTTTGAACTTCGATTTTTAAAAAAAGAACATACAAATGCTGAAAAAAAGTAAAATAATTAAAATCAAAATTGCCTGCTTTCACGTGGCCAGTAAATAACAATGTACCTTTCTATGATTCATCGTTAACACTGATCAGAGGAAGCCAAGGACATTGTGGTCCAGGTTTGCTAATCAGTGAATAATGCAAAACTTCATAAACACAAAATAAAAACTAAAAAAAAAAAAAACACCCAAACTTGCAAACCACTTTAATGCGACCTTTCCCAACACAAGGTATCAACAGAAAGTTTATTTTGTCAGCGTCGTTTTTGTAATTTGTCTCTTAACTTGAAGAGATCAACAGCACTGAGATGAAGATTAAACGTACTGCAAGTTACCATGGAATTGCCCTTATTTATCCAACAGGAGAGCCCAACGAACCATTTCACAACTGCTACTATTTAGCCTCCACCTATGAGATGGAAATACACAGTGCTTGGGATGGCAAGTTGTGCGCACACAACAACTTCTCTGGTGTGTCTGTGCCAGCCGAATGCGGCCAACCTGTAGCCTTGGTGTCAGTAGTGAACCACCTTGCAGACGAGGCGATGCGGGGACAGCAGGTGCTCTACTGCATGCCCAAAGGCTCAGATTAACAGTCAGGTCCATCACAAGTTAAACTTACATCACAAGACAAGGCCACAAGTAGCAACAAACGATGACGTACTCTCCACATTCTTCCACAATTTATTTGTCTCCTAAATTTTTTTTAACTTGTGTGTTTCATTGACTGCAACCCTCAGAATAAAAAAGGCATTTATTGAGGGCTGCAGTAAAACAGAATGGCTGTTTGAGTAGATTGGTTCCTGGTCCCTACATTATCGATACTGATAGGGAGTTGGGGACTGAATTAGCTACATGGCCTTATGTAATTCAAATTTTGTGAAATAATTATTCCATAACTTAACGTGGGCCACTGTTTCAAGCAAACCTCAGTGCCTGTTGTGAATTGATAGGAAAATAGCAATTGGAAATGAAAATTTAACTTTTGGTAGTGGAACTTGAAAATAGCAGGAAGAGTAGGCCCTGAAATGTTCAATTTCGATTGAATTTAGTTTTCAGGTGGAGGACGTTTGGTGGAGGAATTTTTGTTCAAAACTCTATTATTTCTAAATTAAGCACAAAGCATAAAAAATGTTGCATACTGTTTAAGTATATAGGCCAATAAATGCACCTTTATTCTAGTTTCAAGCAGACATTTAAATTATTTGACTGGATGTGGAATACAACTCTGTGAGAACTTTTATGTAACGTACAAGGGGTCATTCACTAATAAATTTGTTGCAATGGTAAAAAGAAATTGATGTCTAAGCTCTGTATTATTCTCTCCGATTCACAACCTAAAAAAAACATTAATCACAATGCAACTTATACATGTACATATCAACAAGATCTGAAAATTGACATCCAGTTTTTAAATGGCATAATTCTATTCTATTTTGAATGAAACATAGAACAATAATTCAGGTCGACAATGATTCAGGCCTATATCATGTATATGTTTGTTCATTAGGGGCCCAAAAACATGCCAAAATAAGTTAATTTTTTTGCAGACACCCAAAACGAAAAAAATAAATTCTTCTTTAGGCCAAAAAAAAAAAAGTCTCCGGCTTCTGGTATGGAGCTTGCCCAAAAAGGGGTGCGGCGACATGGCTTTTTTTTTTTTTTTTACCTGATTTTTTTGCTTCAAATGTCGGCTGATGACTGAAAATGGTGCCCGACTAAACTTAGTGCAAACATATGGGAGTCCAGAGAGGCCACATAAAGCTTATTCTCGACCATAACCCAATCTAAAAACACGTTAAAATTGTGCAGCAGCAGGATTCCAGTCAAACCAGTGAGTTTGGCGGTTTTGAGACATCATCTTTCATTGGAAAAAAAACTTTTTCATTTTGCCGACGCGCATGGCTACGGCGACGCGCGCGCATACCAGAAACCGGAGACTTTATTTTTTTGGCCTTAAAACAAAACACTCAAATATTTAATTTATTAGGAGAATAACATTAAATCAAAGATTATAGTGAGTGAAACTTTAACATTGGCCAATAGCAATCTTACCAGTCTTGGTGGATGAATTTAATGCTACCAGTACAGATGCAGGGATGAAAGAGAGGCCTATCAGAACTCCCCTCTGACCTGCACACTCGACATATATCACCTGTAAGTTTAGGACAAAACAAAAAAGATACACACCTCAAATTTTGGAATACAGTAAATGACAAGCATGAAGTATGGCAGGGCCACTGTTCCCCATAACTGGGACCCAAATACTGGACTACATACATGTACATCCCTATATTGGGCCTTACCAGCATGCATTGCGACTAGCCTGACCCTGCAGGAAAACCATTTCAGTTTACACTCAAACGTGTACAAAACGAGCCTCAACATTTCCTCAGGAAATTACATGAAAAGTAGACATCTGAGAAGGGAGTCCTGGCACAATTGCAGAATACCCCGCCACTCGACCTATGCACCTCGTAGCCGGCTACGGAGTCACGGTTGATTGCCCTCAATAAACCTTCTCAGCGCTACCTGTACGTACCAGGCCTACACATGTCACACTCCACTGCACTACCACTCCGTATCCGCGTAGCCGGCAACAGGGTAGTTGGTTTGGACTTAAAATTAAGGAGGTGAGTGTGCTTCCATGTTGCACTGATGTGACAAAATAAAATTTGCAAAGTTGCAGCAAAGACAAAGTATGTCATGTAATGATGTATGTAGGCCTTACTCCTGTCCTAGAACTATGATGCTCCGCGTGAGCGGAGCCTCATACATGTAGACACAGAACCCCGCAAAATTGTTTGCAGCACGAAACACCAATTAAGTACAAAAACGTCCATGAAAAAAAACAGAGACATTTCCCACAGAACCGCTGCACAGTGTGCCCCTAAACTTCTTACAATACCTCATGACATACTCACGTTATGTGCGCCTAACAAACATCGCTGGATTCTGTCCGTTTTTAGGCCAAAATGATAAAAAATATGCCCTTTCCGCACTGAGCCAATCTGACACTTAAAACGTGCACGCAGATATTGTGATCGATCGATGATTTTCGGTTCGCTCGATCGGAGCGCGCCGCGGGGGTTACGGTCTTGCACTTTTACGAATGTGCATACTATCATTTCGCATGTACCATACCCCCCACGGCGCACTCCGAGCAAACCGAAAATCATCGATCGATCATAATCTCTGCGTGCACATTTTAAGTGTCAGATTGGCTCAGTGCGGAAAGGGCATATTTTTCATCATTTTGGCCTAAAAACGGACAGAATCCAGCGATGTTTGTTAGGCGCACATAACGTGAGTATATCATGAGGTATTGTACGAAGTTTAGGGGCAAACTGTGCAGCGGTTCTGTGGGAAATGTCTCTGTTTTGATGGACGTTTTTGTACTTAATTGGTGTATAGTGCTGCAAACACTATTGCGGGGTTCTGTGTCTATGAGGCTCCGCTCACGCGGAGCATCATAGTTCCCAGGAGTATGTAGGCCTATGTCAGTCACTATGTGAAAATCAGAAAAGAGAAATTGTCTACACGTCCAAATGAGAACGACTGGTGACAGTGGGCCACAGTGGGCCCCATAGGGCAAGGTGGCGATTGGGCGAAATGACAGTGGGGCGAAATGACAGTGGGGCGAAATGGCAGTGGAGCGAATTGCTAGTCATGCTAGTGGGGCAAAGGGGCGAAGTGGTAAAAGGAGGGGCACAATTACAGAATACCCCGCCACTCAATCTATCCACCTCGTAGCCGACTACGGAGTCACGGTTGATTGCCCTCAATAAACCTTCTCAGCGCTACTTGTACATGTACATGTTGTATGTACTATGTCTATGCGTCATGCTTCATTGCACTCCCACTCCGTATCCGCCAACAGGGTAGTTGGTTTGGACTTAGAATTTTTTCAGCAACTCCCATTCCTTTTGTGTTGCTTTGTTCTCAAGCATATTCAAGGGGCCCAGGGGACTCCCACTCCATATCCGCGTAGCCGCCAACAAAGTGGTTGGTTTGGACTTTGTATTTTTTCAGCAACTCCCATTCCTTTTGTGTTGCTTCGTTCTCAAATAATGGACCCCCACTCAGTATCCGCCGCGTAGCTAGCTGGCATGGACTTGAATTGTTTCTTTTCCATTGATTCCAACCTCGTAGCCAGAGAATTTAGGGGTGTATTTCCGAGTGGCGGGGTATTCTGCAATTACTCCAAAGGAGGGAAGGGAAGTCATGGAACTTGGAAGTGCCAATTTATTTTTGGCAGTGTATATTTTGCCGGAGACGGCAAACCTTTAGTAAACGTTAGTTTGCCGGATATGCACTGAACATGCGCAGTTACTGTTTTTTTGTACTTAAACATTTTCCGGTGACAAATTTTAGTCTGGCTCCATGCCAAAATTATCGTTGTAACCTCGTATTCACAAGATGGGATTCAGACCATTTTATAATTTCGGACTTTATTTCCCTTTTAAAAAAAATCATCCAGAGCCACAAATCTGAAAAAGAAAATGTAATACTCTGCAAAAAAATGTTTGAGACATGTTAAAATAATAAAAGAAGAATATTCTTGTTTATTTGGGGATGAGAAAAAAAAAACTTAAAAATGTACTGCGGTAGGAATCGAACCCGAGTCATCCCGCTTACTAGAGCCTGGCTTTGCTTAACCACTACACCAAACGTGCTACACAACTTTTGGTAGGAATTTAATACATGTTATAATTCAGCCCTATCTTAAAGAGTACAGCGCCCTCTGTTGATATGGATTGCCGCCGGCAAACCTTTAGTAAACGTTAGTTTGCCGTCATTACCTCCGGCAAAATATCCACTATCTTATTTTATTGACTTGATCAGTTGATATTTTTCAGTTAAAAATACGGCTGCCGAAATAAGTCATAGGCCGATTGCCACTTTGATCTTTAGAAACGCCGATTAATATCGCCAGACAAAACTGCCTAACAGTGCAATAGAACTACCATCTGGCGAGTGTTCGAGACCATAAAAACACATTTTAAATAAATAGCAAAAAAGGAATACCTTCGCTGCTTTCCTCCATTTTCAGGCTGTAGCTGTCTGCGCAAAATAATGTGCTGGTACCCAGCGGGTGGGGCAGCGCGACGAGAAATCTTGTGTACCAGTGAAAATATGTCCTCGGAAATCATGAAGGGCGCCCTCAAGAGTTATCACCTGTTTTCACCGGCCAACCAAGGTCTCTCGTGTAAACATTTCTAAAATTCTAGTCGAAATCGGCTCAGATAATTCTACAAAATATGAGGAAGCAATCAAAATGACTGAGGTTGCAAACTTAGATTTCGACCCATTGGCGTTGGAGGTCACAAATGAACTGAACAATGAATCGAGGAGCAAAACAGGAACTTGGGAACATGAGGATTTAGCTCAGGTACGAGTCGTCATTTTCGTCAAGTTCATTTCAATTCCCAAACGATAAAATTGGAATGCATACTTAAAGGTAGAGTCCATCATTTGTAATTTGTGCATTTTGTTCGTTTGAAGCAACAAAAGAGTTCAAAATCTAATGAAGGATACTGAGCAACTAACCTGATGAAGTTTCAGCTAAGCTTCAGCTGTACATTCCGAGAAAAACAGCATTCTAAGATCTCAATTTCAAATCAAAAGTTGCTGAATCATGTTTTGAATTGTTTTGTATTGCAACTATACGCGACGTCGCGCACTGATCCGACGAATTATAACAACCGCGCGCGCGTGTGCGTCGTTCGAATACTTGTGCGCACTGCGCTGAATAACAAAACGAACTACTAATATAAATTTTCCTACGGTGCTTCTTAAGAATCACCGTTGGAAATGCCTTCTTTCGTTGATTACTTCAAAATGACAGCTTCCCAGAAAGAATAATTTCACAGGGAGTTTAGTCTCCTTACTATCTTTCAACCAAGTTAGTTTTTCAACAATAATTACGCCAGTTACTTTTCGGATGGCTGCAAATGATGGACTCTACCTTTAAGTTAGGGGGGCCTAAATGTTAACACGATTTGATACTATATTAACACGCTGAGGAAACAATGTTGCATCCTGGCGCCACTTTTTTTCATCATATATTATCTCAATGGAGGTAAGTTATTGAAAAAAAAAGTTGAAAAGACTTCAATCTGGGACTGAGATTGAGAAACATTTCCAATTTTGTTAGAAAATACTTTGAAAATGCACTCGACTCTCCAATTACTAGAATTTGTACACAACCAATGAAGTGGCGTCTGGATATTTAATACTACATTTTTTCCAAAGTTGAAATTCGGCTATTGTTTCGTACCAATTCTATTGCTTTTGTTAAAAACATTTTTTAAATGTAAAAAACCATCAGGCATTTTGCATTTCAGAACTAACAGTTAGGCTAGTCCGAGTAACTTGGACCCAACTTATCGCCTTTTTTAACATTTGGACATGGTCTGGCGATAGTCGCCAGACCATGTCCAAATGTTAAAAAAGGCGATAAGTTGGGTCCAAGTTACTCGGACTACAGTTAGGCCAACAGTGAACCTGACTATTTTCAAAACTGAGGACCGTGCTTTGAACTTTGAAGCCTTTTAATTTTTTTTTCATTTAGACCTTTGCTTAAGTGAACTTCAGAAAATTTCAATGCTGTCGTTATTAAAATAATATATTTTCTGATTTTATGACTGACATACGTCAGTTGCTAATACCTTCCCAAACCTGTTTTAAATTACATAATGTTTTATGTGGGCATGTTCTTCTTTCACTATATAGTATAAGGTACATGTATTTCATACTTATTCGGTAGTTTTTGTTTTTTTAATGTTTGCAAATGTTCTATATTCCCTTTTCGTTCTGGGATACTTTTAAGCACAAATACATTTTTTATGACATAGTCAGGTGGCTTAAGGTTGGAAATATGAGATTATAGTTGTTTATAATAATTTCACAATAAAAGTTTCCTTATAGATAAACTTGGGGATTTCCTTGAACTTGTTCAAGTCCCCCACGTTAGGCGACCCTTCGCCTAATTTGTAGCCCAATTTACTGACACCTCATTTTTGCCCCCCTTTATGTTTTCTGGGCCATCATGATGTTATCATTGTTCACAGAATGTTCCATATATTTTTATTTGGATATACTTTTTATTAGGGTTACTGTTACAGGAAGTATTTTTATCTTTGACCTTTTTAATCTTTGTATTGATATTTTCACACATTTTAACGTTACAATTACGTTTTTTCCTCTAATTTAACTTTATAATAATACATGTAGTTTATTTTTTAAACTTGTAAAGCGCCTTGAGCGTCTTTTTTAGACGGATTTTTGCACTATATAAATGTTCACTATTATTATTATATTTCCAGGTGAGATATAAAGTTCTCCGAGGCCACAAGGATGGAATCAACTCGTGCCAATTTTGTGTGAATGACACCCGCATCTTGACGGCATCAGATGACAAAACCTGCTCCCTCTGGGTATAAAGATAGCCCCATAAATGTGGCCAATTTACTGGACAACCTCCGTAAATAAAGGCCACACTTCCACCATGTACAAAAACATGTAGAACTTTGTCAAATTTTCATTTTCACATTTAGGCTTAGTTTGTAGTTTACTTTTGCTTTAGAAGCATACTCACCCTCTTTACACTTTATTACAGGCTAATCAGAAAGTGCTGCCTTTTTCAGATGTCTAATTTTGGTGAAATTTCATGTTGAAATTTTGATACACAAGCGTGTGCAAACGAATCTGGTAATTTCACGAAAAATAGACATCTGAAAAGGGCAGCACTTTCTGATTAGCCTATAAAGAGGGTGAGTATGCTTCTAAAGCAAAAATAAACTACAAACTAAGCCTAAATGTGAAAATCAAAATTTGACAAAGTTCTACATGTTTTTGTACATGGTGGAAGTGTGGCCTTTATTAACGGAGGTAGTCCAGTAAATTGGCCACATTTATGGGGCTAGGTATAAAGACAAATCTTCTTTGCCATCACATGCTGAGAAAGCACCCAGTCTTAGGATTATGCATTTAACACACAATGAGGAAAGAATGTTGCATCCTGACACTACTTTTTTCATCGTATGTACTATCTCAATGAAGTTCAGTCATTTCAAAAATGTTGAAAAGACATGACTCTGGCACTGATTTTGTTAGAAAATACTTTAAAAATGCACTTGACTCTCCATTGACATTGTACATAACTAAAGAAGTCGCGTCTGGATTCTACATTCTTTCTATTTACTATTTTTTTCTGTAAACCCAATCGTTGCAGCGCTAGTTTCAATCCCTCATGTTTCTGTTCAAACGTTCTTCATATGCATAAACAGTCTAAAACTTAAAATTTTAAATCTGGCTGAGTGTTCACCTTGAAATCCCTGGGATTTGTTTGCAATTAACGGCCCTGAATTCTACAAAATTGACTTATTGCTTATAGATTGGTAGGTATTCATAAAAACGTGTGACATTGTTGCGGGGCAAAGTGGTGTATACATGTACCTTGATTTCTCAAACCTGTAGAATGTGGAGACGGGCGACAGAGAGGAGAAATATGAGGGCCACCCATCCTGCATCACTCAGTGTCACATGAGCCCCGACGGCAGCAAGTTTGTGTCCTCCTGCTGGGACAAGAGAATCCGAGTCTGGGACGTGGAGACGGGAGAGGCTCTGGTGAGTACGGGACTGCAGAGGGCGCTGTTTATTCTACTCACTGGAGCACAGTGAGGGCACGCTCTTGAAGATTTTGATTGCACCAAGTGACGATGACGGCTTGTATGGTTTTGAAACAAGCTCGATCGAATCAGATGAAGAGATCACCTTGGACATGTGTTAATGTTTGACCAAGGTCACATGTTGACAGCGCTACTTTTGTTATTTTGAGCTTCTTTGAAATTTGACTTATTTTTACCTTTGACCCCATAACTGTAGGTCAGTCGAAGAGGTCACCTTGGACATTTTTTGTATGTTTGACCAAGGCCAACAAGTTGACAGCGCTATTTGAGCTTATTTGAAATTTGACGTTATTTTGACCTTGACCCCATGATGACATTTGACCCCAGTTTGGTCATGTGACATGTTGGGCCAGGCTACTGATATTTTTGGCAAAGTTTTGTCGAAATTGGTCAAAGTGTGTAGGAGCAATAGACAATGTCAAGGTTTGTTACTAAATAACGAACGGACTAACGGAGAGACATGATGATTTACTGAGCTGCTACCCACAGCTAAACAAATGGTGGAAACCCAACGTTTCAAACACTATGCTCTTTGTCTGGTTTGTTGTACACATCCTGGCAAGTTCTGATTTGTCCTCACAAGTCCATCACAAGTTGTTCATCACAAGTCGATCACAACAATTACATGCAGTTCGAATTCAAATCATAAGAACTCAAAATAAACTTTAATTTGTTATTGTTCATCCACTTGTTACGTGTGACCAGACATGTGAATTGACTTGCACACATATTGAACATAATCACCACAATAAAGCTGCTAATCAGACTATTTAAAATGATATACATGAAGTAGCTAACCAACAGTGGGCCTAACCTAAGTTAGCTTCTATTTTCTGTGCTCGGCCTTTGTGTGTCTCGCGCTTTGTGTGTCAAATTGGACTGGTATGAACCACACGTCATTCTGTTTTTAAATGGTCTTTGCTTTTACAGTGGACAGGGTTGCAGGGTGGCATAGGAACTTGCTGCCAGTTCTCACACAACGGGAAATTAATCGCCTCAGGCACAGATCTTGATAACTGCTTGAACATCTGGGACGTGGAGAATGGCCAAATTATCCAGTCAGCAAAAAGTAAGTGATTTTCTCTGATTTTGTTGATTAAAGCTTGATTAAGGGAATGAATATGTGCTTGGCCTGTTTTAAACATATACGTTTATTTTTCAAGGTACTGACAGTGTTATCAAGATAACCTCTGTGGGCATAAGGGAAAAGGGCTTAAACCAAAAACAGTGGTAGATTTTGTGAATATTGTGAAATAGCCAGATTTATAAAATCTGTTTAATTGTAGTAACTAAATAAGCGTTAAACTAATATTTATGTTTTAATATTAATCATAGGTTTCACAGTTAACCTGATGAATCGAATAACAAAGGCTTTTCCCCCGTCATTGTTGAATTCACTGGTTATTTGACTAACTTTGCAAAGCATTTGGCTTCAGCTCTGTTAGTTCTATCCCCTGGCTGAACCTCATACAACTCGTTCATCATTTCTCACATTGTGGTATCTAGAGCACCATGGTAGCAGCATCACTAGCTGTAAGTTCTCGCCAGATGACTCCAGAGTCTGCACGACCTCCATGGACAAGATAACCAAACTGTGGGATGTAGCGTCCAAGAACGTTACCATCAAACTTGGGTGAGTATTTTGCACTTCTTGACACCTCTTGCTACCACAATAAAAGTTATTATAACATTATTTATGTTGTGCTCATGTCCACCAAAAAGGTGCTCAATCATGTAGCCCTGGTCATTGGGCCAATGAAAGCATTCCAAAAGCTGTCTCAGCTCGATGCTGCCATATGGGCTCCGTGCACAAGTACCCCTTCAACGGCCAGAAAAGGAGAGTTGGGGGAGACCTAGACTGGTTCCCGGTCCATCCACTACATATTTCAAATGATCCAAAGTTATTGGGGGCAGGGATTAGTCTGGGTGACCATCGCAAGTTAAATTCGAACGTTTTTGCACACCAACGCCGCCGACACTCACGCGAAGATGCTGTGGCTTATAGCTTTTGCACATCAGGAAGTCGTGCGTATTTCATTCGAACCAGTACAGTACGCTCACGCTGTGTGTCCCGTCCACGGAACTCTCAAAAGTGGTAAAAACGTGCCCTCTTTTGTTGACGCACGGAACCCATAGGTGCAAATGGCAAGTTCGATAGTCAACTGGTAAGACGTTTTCTCTAGTAAGCAGGTCCTGGGTTCGAGTCCCTACCGAGTAAGCTTGTGAATTTATCTCGCAATTTTTCTCGCAATTTTTCTCCACAGTGGCCACATCAACATTGTCTCTTGTTGCTGCTTCAACAAAGACGAGCGACGTCTGTGCACGGGATCCTGGGACAAGCAACTACAGGTCTGGGACGTGTCGACAGGGACATACCGGTCAGAGGGACCGGTGACTTTTAGCAAAGGTCATGAAGGGTCAATCAGTGCCTGCAAATTCAGCAGCGATGGTGAGTAAAGGAGATTTGTTTCTGTGAGAAATGGGGATTTTAATTATCCAGTGCATTATTTTTATGTCCAACAGTAGTAAACTCATTTTTATTGACCTATATTATCTTGTTTTCTTATCAGGCAGCATGTTGATATCTGGTTCCTACGACCAGACAGTGGTGGTATGGGACGCTGAAAACTGTGGACCAAAGCTGACACTCAAGGTAATTAGGCACAGAACAGTAGACCACACTACTAATGGGTTAATCCGTGTCAGTAATCAGTGGCTGGCAAAGTGTGCAGTCTGCTTCTTTAACCATTTTGCAACCTGTACTACTTTGTATTACATTGTATTTATTCCCAAAGGAATACTTTAAGCTACTGAACGCTTGGGCAATTTCAGGCGTTATAGGCAGTTACAGGCAAGGTAGTTTGGAACGGTTCATTACACCAATTTCAAAATTTTACCAATTTGTTGTGATTTTTTTGTTTGATGTCGCTTGTCCAGGGCCATACAGATTGGGTGACAGACGTCGACATCACCCAAGACATGAAATGGATTCTGTCCGGCTCACGGGATCACACCATCCGGCTCTGGAACATTGAGAACAGCGACAATATACCCGTGGTTCTGGAAAACAAGAAGAGCATGGGTCTGAAGATTGTCAAGGTGAGCCCCTCCGAGTCGAACAAATCAAACGGGAACATAATCTGTCTTGAAGTGCTACAAGAAAGCTATGAAAATGCTATGGGAATGTGACGCTTACTATGAGACACAGGGAAGACAACAGTTTTGTTCAGAAGTATAAGTTTCTTTCTTCTGTAGCCTATAGACTCTTTGCACAAGTACCCTCTCTAGAGTGATAAAAGGAGACTTTATAGGGGGTTTCCGAAACCTTTGCTTCGTCTTCGGCTTCGCCTCCGACCTCTAGATCGCTGAGAGGCAATCCAAACAAAAATATTGCAACTTTTTGCTTCATGTCAACCGATTGGATGTTCCTGAAGCATAACAGGCACCAAAATGTAGCTGGGGTTCCAGAAGTTGGGGGCCTAAAATCTCCTGAAGCCGAAGATGAAGCCAAAACCAGTTGTTTCGAAGATGCTGTATGACTCCTGAAAGCACTACCATTGTAGGCCTCGAGTCGCGCTCACATGAAGACACTAAAGCTTTGTGGATTTTATTATTTTATAATTGACCTTCTGGTTCAAATGTGGCCTCTCCTGGGTAAACTCTTGGATTATCCTACTCCAGTTAATCCAACTTAGATTATCCTACCTAGTGAACGTAATCTTACCAAATACACCATAGATTTTCTTGTGTCTTTTCTCCTTTTCAGTGCAATGATTGTGGTAAGCCGTTCTCCATCTCCCAGCTGGATGATCCTCAGGAACTCAAGATGTGCGTCTTCTGTCGTCTACAGGCCAACCGGCCTCTGCTTAACCTAAGCATTGAGGAGGATTTGAACATGCCCGAGTTTTGAATTTATAATTGAGAAACGGAGGTTCAAATCCAATTCAGGAATGACCTGAATTCTTATTGGAGTGCAGTGAAATAGCATTTCTTAGTGTGAAAAAAATATGTTTGCCATCAAACCAAAGAAAAGCTGTTGTTGCTCATGGAATAGTCTTAAACAATTAAGTGTGTGGTGTTAAATAAATAAATAAGGCTAAAAATTGTCGTCTGTAGAATATTTTATACATGCATGTGACCTTTCTTTTCATTCCGTCCACATTACATCTTTGTGAAATACTGACATTCCAAGCTTGTGAAGTTTGTTAAATCTATATAAGTAATGTATTTTGAAGGGAATTTTACCTGTATATTATAATTTTTGGGCAAACTTCCTTTTGGAGTGTCGTTTGAAATCGTTTGTAAATAAAACTGCTGTCTTGCTATTGGAATTGAGTTCATGTTAAGCTTATTTGATGGAGGTTTTCGATTTGTATGATATATTTTGGGGTTTGTTGGAAATTATTGAGCTAAAAAAATAATAAACTTAACTCAAATCAATGTATAAATTGATAGAGAATCAATCGATAAATCAATAATGGATATTAACAAAATCGGAATGAATTCCATACCTGGACATCACTTGACACCCTGTGCACAAACCCTATGAGACTGGTCTGAAAAATTCTAAGTGTTTCTCAGTAAATGCTTCAATATTTTCCCTGCTAAATTTGACTTTATAGCCTGTTTGTTATCGCTTTCTGATGGCTGGTGTGTCACTGCAGGAAAAAAATAGTGATGTCCATGTATGGAATTCTTTCCAAAACCATGTTTTGTCTTACACTGCAATTTGTACTATACATTAAAAAAAAAGATCGCAAATGATGATTCCAGACAAAAAAGACTACCAAAATTATCAAAATTAATCCTCTTTTTTTATAGGCCTGAATGGAATGAAAATGCGACACCTTTTGGCAAATTGAATACGACTCCCTCCCTAATTATCATGAAAACGTAAATTCTGCATATGCCGCGCGAAATCAATTTACATGCTAATTGTGCGCCATGACTGGACGTTTAATTAAGCATAAAGGCGCGTCAGTATTTCCCATAAAAGAGGCACAAAGCTGCGTGTCTGATGGCCCGGCTTAATTCCTAACTGGGTTCCGACAGCCACAGACATGCGTCTCATTAACTTTATAATCCAATTAAAGGCGAACAATTCAAAATCTAGACCGGACATCTGGGTATTGTTATGGCAGAATACGCACCATTAATGGCATCTGACAAAAACGTGTCATCGCCCGGCTCATTAACAGCCCTGTGGCTGCCAGGAACACTTTGAAGACGTTATTTGCATTTAGTGGTCTCGGAGGAACTGTCAATCACAATATCAGTGCCTTTGGATGATCTGTGCGCCTATTGTTATCTCGTGTACCACCGATTGGTAACACTGATAGAACCGCAAGATGTTTTTTTTGTTTTGATGCAGTGTCATTTCGGCAGGTTTCCACCCAAACTGATCGGGTGTCTTTTCATAGAGCAAGGCAGCATCCACTCTATATTACACACCTCGACAAAACTTCAATATCAGTTTATATTTGTATGAATTTATTTACGATAGTTTTGATGCAGCATCGATTAAAATGTGTAATTTCAATTCCGAATTCCATTGGTACCAACTATGGGTAATCGTCTTATTGAAGTAAAACTCCGTGTCATATCATGCTAACAATTTCATTTTACGTACAACTGCAATTATGTCAACTCATCGGGCCTTATTTCTGATTGACTGTAGAAAAGGTAAACGAACAATCTTCTGTCAATCATGTTATCAATTTAGTCTTTGGATATTAGTCAAGCTGCAATGTATTCATTCAAGGAAGTACCGGTAATGCTGCCACGATGATGATGAAACTGACGGACCAAGCGACTTGGCCCAGCGTGCGTCTAGAAAATATTGACGTTTCCCATCACTTTGGCTGTCAGTCAATTTCCGCTCGATTACCTCGAGACAATCATCCTTCCTCAATACCTGTAAAAAAATCTCCCCCGGATCAGCCACAAATTTGTCCCTGTAATCTCATGAGCAGCGTGGGACAGGATCTGTTTGTCTTGGCTCTGTTATAGAATAATCAAGCGGTGATTGTTCTGGAGATGCGGTCTCGTTCATCTCTCGTGCTGGGGATTCATATGGGGATATCGCGCACGCGCGTCCAGCTGCCAATCTTCCTCATTTGGGACAACCGAGCACGACTGCGCAGGTCCGCGCATGTGCGTTTGTACAGTGGATCAGGTAAGCTTGGGGAAATCTCGTCACGTCTGTGCCGCAATGTTTTGACTGGCGCCGTGGTGGGCCAGGTCGCCACCACCCTCTGTTTGGAAGAAGAGCAGGGTATCTGATCGATCACACATTAATTGCAACATTCATCACTACACATAATGACGATGGGTTGGGTAAAATAACAGGGCGATTGGGATTAATCCAAGGTTGTGATCATCATGAGATATGTTAGTTCTGACGATGTGGTTTTTCTGTTTATGACAAAGAATCGTTTTCCGATCCATGTTCATTCGCTAAAGCACCTTGATAAAAGTCTGATTCAGGTGGACACGCTGGTTTTTTTTGAACAACTGGGCATAGACCTTCTCCATGGCAAACTGTTCCGTTTGATTCAGTTCAGGTTTTGTTTGTGGGTTAGTTTCGATCTTTTTTCTTTTTAGAATTTAGCTAATTGTTTAAGTCCTTCAGAATATCTGATAAGCCTACTGCAAATCTTTACAACCGTGTTTCAGAAGAAAAAACTGCAGGCACTATGCAGAGCTAGATTTCCCAAAAGGTGATTTAAATAAAAAATAACAATAAACACAAGTAATAACGTCACATTTGGGTATTATTTTCCTTAGAAGCCATATAATGATATCAGCATTTCTTGAGAACATTCTCTCCTAACATCGGAAGGATTAATGTCATTGAAGTAACAATGTACGGTGATGAGGCGATGAGTACCAACCATTGTCCGCGGGCTGATGCTAGCGGACTGAGCAACCCAGGTAACGGGGGCGCGCCCCGGTAACGCCCGGTGGGCGCTCACTGGGGAGTCCCGCTACAACCCTGTTGTGACGGGGCTTTAGCCCCAAAGCACGGTAATCCTTGTCATTGGTAGGGCTTGGAGGCACGCAGGGAACCGAGGTGAACTCCCTCGCGACAAGGGGTGAGGTGAGGTGGAAACTAAACTAGTGGAATGCGCGCGGACTCAAGGTAGTCTGGCTGGATATCACCCATGGATGGATCATTGGAGTGTAACTAGGAAATCAAAATGTTTGTGAAGACTGCAACAGTAAAAACAGACTTGATTTAGTCCTTCATTTGGTAATCAATAATTTTGTACCCTTTTGCGGTGAAGATGATCACTGGATTTGGATGACATTATTGAAAAGTTATAGACCATTTCAAAGTTAAGTTGTTAAGAATTTGAATAATGTGGTCAGGTGACGTAAACTTTATATTACACTTCAAAATATGAGTGGGACGTGTGCAATAATAGGGCAAACGTGAGAACGACGCTTCGGGCGATTGGTTTGCCTGCTTATGTTGGCAACCGGAGGAGGTTACATTCGACATCGCAATGATTATCTCGAAACAAGGTTTTCTATTGAAAGCTGTAATGTCAAACTTTAATGTTTAGCTGATATCTTTTCAACCGATTACCTGGACATGCCTATGATTCTCCTTAACTTTAAGCCCGGTTCAAGCCCGGTTCATACTTCACTCGAATGCGAATGCGAAGCGAATTTGACGTCATGGCACCAAGGGCGGATCCAGAACACAATTTTGGGGCCCCCAAAAAGTGGGTCAAAAAAATTACGGCGTGGGGTTCGGGGCCCGCTAGGGCCCCGAAAATTTTTTGGATTCTAGATGCTCTGTGGTGCGATCTGAGGCAATTTCTGACCACTTCAGCCAATGTTTTTTGAGGAAAAGATGGTGGTGTACTCATTGCCTGCCTTTATTGCGATGTCACATAAAAAAAAAAAAAAATTGGTTTCGTTTTGGGAGGGGGCCATGGCCCCCTTTGGCCCCCCCCCTGGATCCGCCCTTGCATGGCACGTTCGCTGCGAAATTCGCCCGAGTTGAAATTATATTCAACTTGTACGAATTCGCAGCGCGAATACTTGCCATGACGTCACAAATTCGCGTTCGCTTTCACTTTCGCGACGAGTATGAACCAGGCTTCGTACTTCACGCGAATGCGATGATGCGAGGCGAATTTGACGTCACGAAGCATTCGCGGCGAAATTTGCCCGAGTTGAAATATGTTCAACTGAATTCGCAGCGCGAATACTTGCCACGACGTCACAAATTCGCGTTCGCGTTCGCTTTCGCGCCGAGAATAAACCGGGCGTAAGACTTGTGTTTTCAAACTTGGTTTAACTGAATGTATTGTCTATGTATATGTATACTAGTGCATTTTCCTAATTTCTTTTACCTTAAGCCCGGTTCATACTCGGCGCGAAAGCGAAAGCGAACGCGAATTTGTGACGTCATGGCAAGAATTCGCGCTGCGAATTCGTAAATTTGAACATATTTCAACTCGGGCGAATTTCGCAGCGAATGTTTCATGACGCCAAATTCGCTTTCGCATGCAGCGGCGGCGGAACGGGTTTTAAACTGGGGGGGGGGGGGGGGGGGCACTTGTAAACCAAAAGGGGCACTCCGCACTCGCAAACCCGTGCTGAAATGTCGCCACGTTTTTTTTCACCGGACACTTGGCCTCCGTAAAATCAAATAAGGGGGGGGGGGGGGGGGGAGGCTGGTACCATCTTCCAACATAGGGGGCGCTCTTCAAAACCAATGATTATATGCTAAATATACATTATGTGCCCATTTTCAGGGCGTCTTGTATGGGTTTTGGGACTTGGTTTTCATATTCCGCGTTTATATCAAACATTATCTATACCATTATTGGGAAATGGTTAGTTCTAAGAAAAAGTAAGATACTTTAAGGGCATTTTTGATTTATCACGAGGGGACACTTCAATGCTCGAGGGCACACATTTATGACCACAAAAGGGGCACTTGGGCAAATCTGGGGGGGGGGGGGGAAACGCCCCCCCCCCCCCAGTTCCGCCGCCCCTGTTCGCATGAAGTATGAGCCGGGCTTGAGGGCTAGACATTTCAGAACTCTACTTAAGCCCGGTTCATTCTTCACGCGAATGCGAAGCAAATTTGACATCATGAAACATTCGCTGCGAAATTCGCCCGAGTTGAAATATGTTCAAATTTCACGAATTCGCAGCGCAAATACTTGCCATGACGTCACAAATTCGCGTTCGCTTTTGCGCAGAGGTCGAGTACTAACCGGGCTTTATACTGCTTACTAGTGTTTATAACTTGACTTTTTAAATTTAATTCATTTTTTAAACCTGCTGTTTTGATGTTTAAATTTTGAGATACATGTACATTATGTATGCGCGATTGATCATTGTAATTATGAAGGTCGCTCAAGAGAAATTTGAATCTTGTTATTAGGCTTTACTAAACCTTGGCTACTTCTCCGATTTCGGCTACAGGAGACTTGTGTTCCCTGACTTGAGGAAATTCGGTCCATATTCCGTTACAGGGTAATGAAATAACTCAAATCCTAGTGAGGTCAATGGTTAGCCATGACATTGGTTTATTGGACACACCGGCTCCTCAAAGTACTCCGGAGCAAGTGATGTAGGCAAAGCCAGAGACGAACCCGACATTTCAAAAGATGGCCTTGTGTTAGTTCGTGGATACCACTCAAGGTCAAAACAAAGCGTCTCCTGGATGATCTCTTTCCAGATGACTTGTGCAAGTTTAGTCGTCTTATCTGTTAGAGAGGCTGGAGGGGTGTAAGCTAGACCCGGTTTAATGACATCCCAATGTCCTTTATCGGTGAATGACCGGGCGGGCAACATATTAAGGTAATAGGTATATCAATCATCCACCTGTCAATCTGGATCAATCAAGAGAAACACACGACAGCTCTCGTCTTTCCAAGGAGAAGTCACAACAAAAGTCACGGATTGAGCTTGGTTCACTCCTTTAATCTTCTTTAATCTGTTAATGTCATATTTTCTTTAAACATCCATAGAATTTAATTGATAATGATGTTGAGATAGAAACTGTTTAACCATCTTGGCAAAATAAGCCTCGGTCTCGCTCCTGGCCAACCTATTTTTGAACTTGGGGGCAGCAAATTAAATTCTTCCCAAATGTTTATTTTTTGTAAATACCAACATTATGTGTCATTTAATGCACCAACACACTTTAAATTGACTTTTTGTGCGCCTCTTTTTCTCAACACATGCCGCAGTGACTTCGAACCAATTTCGGCATCTCATCTTTCATGACTGTATAATCGTTAGTGTCGAGCACCTTTTCATAATGCCTGGCAAGCGTTTGTGCCAAAGTGACGACATGCAACAGGTTGATGTTTACGGATATTATACATCAATATAATAAACACATTTAAAAAAAAACACAGAGCTCTTCGTAAATGTTAACGGCGGCTCGATATTATAACAATTTGAGTAAGAACTGGAAAGGGTTTTCTTATTTATTTTAATTAAAATGACTATTTTTTTCCACAATTCTTTCTTTCTCTGGAGTCCCAACCAGAAAAAGAATTGTTGTCTTGGCAATATCACTCATCTCCTATCCATTCTTACATGTGGGATCAAAACGAGGCTCACATGAGAGCAACCAACTGGCACCTAGTTAGTTTAAGGTAATAAGCACTCAGTTAAGGCTGGGAACGCGGCGGTGTGGAACGTGTTTATTGCAGGGAATGAAATTGAGTTCTGCATTTGTTGCGGTGAATTCGAAGTATATGAGAATAACATGGCGCACATATGTCATTTTCTGCAATAAAAACAGACAGGAAATCATCTGATTGGGTGAGAAATTACATCCCTGTAGAGAAAATTCAATGAAATACACAGTTCCAATAAATATTTTATAATTTGCACACAACGGGAAAAACTCAAAAAGTGTCATCTTCTGAAGTCCTGCATGCACAGATATACATGTAATGTCATTATAGTGCAACGCACATAGGCTATAGCCAAGAATGTATGCTGATTACAATTTCAATTACAAGAAGCTCGATAAGTACTGTTAGAGTAGTCCGAGTATCATCCGTTGTTCATCGGAGCCCGCTCCAAATTCACCGTCTGATATAATTATTTATGTGAGCATGCAAATTTTATGCGACCCGCGCGCCAACCAATCGGGATCGACTTAAGAAATTGTGACGTCATTTCGATCAGAAATGTGGACTATAATAAACTGTTGACTGGTCAATTTGGCTGCCATGCTTTTTGTTATACAACGGGTTACCGAAGATTCGATAGACGGCGCCAGCTGAATGGTCAGAATCTCGAGGTCAAGACGCAGTCTTGTTTTGCATAATTAATCGCCGAATCTGCTGGTATATCATAGACCCTTGCTGTGCAAGGGGATACTCCTGATCCGTAGACTATAATAACTGTTGTGATTTAAAATAAGATGATGCTGGCCAAAAGTGCGATTCTAATATCTGTCATACATTTTCAATGCCATTCACCTCAGAAGTGGCATTAAAATGGGCCATATTATTTTGGACAACAGGTTTTTAAGATTTAAAAGTTCCCGATTCTAGTGTTTGTGAATTAAATGCGAGACAATAAAGTTCTCCTGTTAACAAAATCTATATCCGTTTGACATTGCTAGAAATTACCAGTTTTAATCATTATTGACTAACAAAAGTCTGACAAAAAGAGAGAAATATTGTTTAAAGAGTTGAGTTTAGAGAATTATTTTCGCTTTGAAATAAAAATCGATGTGGAACAAATCCCAATCGGATTTTGTCGTGTTAAACAGTTCCGGATCACACATGCCAACTTGCATCACTATGCAAAGCTGCTCAGTGCTAGCAACAAGACGATGAAGCAATCGCTAAGCATCCTGAAGAGATCCATAATGCGAATACTGTCCCGGGTATAAGGGAACTCATTAAGTGGCGATCACCCGCCGAGGTCCCCGCTACGATTGCCTTGCCTTGGCTTTCCGTGGCGACCCGCTGCGAGCCGTTATGCCGTCCATTCAGCCGGCAAAATGGTTTGGCCGGATCGAGCCACGGCGCTGTCCACCGGTGGAGGAATGGATCGACGGGGGAGGAGGGATGGTACGTCTGGTAGGCCTACCCCCTCTGAAAGTTGGGCAGCTGAGGATGATACAAAAAAAATGTTAATCACTTGATTCCTTCTTTATCATCCTCCATGCTTGATTTAATGGAAAAAAGGTTGCATCCTGGCCACTTTTTTTCATCATTATTTCATCTCAATAGAGGTCATTCACTGCATGTAAAAATGTTGAATCTGGCACCGCACTAAGGAACATTTCCAATGTTCTTAGAAAATACATTGAAAATCTTCTTGAATCTCCATGACAACCCACAAAGTGGCGTCTGAATACTACATTATTTCCGAAACAATTGAGCAGATGTTTGCCGGACAAGGAAAGATGGAGGTTCTTTTCAAATTTTGCAGATTAATATTGTAAAAGCCCACGGCTAATATTGCAGTATACAGATAGATCACTACATTTTATAAATAAGAGTCTTGTATTCAAATTTATAAAACGAAATACGTGTATTATGAAGAAAAATGCGAAGATACCAAAAATTGAATATTCACACACTTTGAAACAGGAGATCATATAACCATGGTTATACCGTGCAGTAGCATCAATTAATACTGCAACATGTTCATCTTATTACAAATCAAAAATACATTTTGACGTTTCTTTTACTGAATTTCCTATAATAAACACTAATCCTATACATCAATAATAAGCTGCACCTCACGGGAAGCAGATTTCCCCACCCTACCTTTCCTAATCAAAACCTGACTAAAATACTTCAGACACGACCCTTGTTTTCATAAGGCATTCAAAGTCAAAATCTATCAAAATCAACATGGTCAACGTGGACCGGAGGGAGTGTGACCGATTGCTTCAACGGCACCTGTCACTGATGAACACTTATTGTACTGTGCAGCTTGAGTCGCATCAATGCGAGGAGGCTCTTTACGCGTAACCTCGGCGCAGCGTGAGGCATGGGCCCAGCAAAGACACCAAGCAGCGAACGCGACGGACGGTGAGAGACTGGGAGCTCTAACGGGGAGGAAAACCATGAATAACACGGCGGCCGGGTACCCTCCACTTGTAATAAACCCGGTGCGGAGATCTCATCAGCCCAGTCCCGCCGAGGATATGCTACGACACGGATGGCTGGGAGCGGACACTCACCGGGGATGTTGACAGGGATGCGCTCCGCTGCGCCCCACGAGAACTCCACGAGCATCTCGCTGGAGTTCATTCACCGTTACCTAATGTTGCTACTCCTTAGTGTTACACTACTACCCAATGCATCAGCCTATAATACCAGTAAGTATACACCATCATCATGTGTGGTTTCTTGCGCCTCCCATCCCTTTGCTTATTTTTTTCTTCTTCTTGACGATGAATGGATGGGTGTCTTGTGGTGCTCATTAGTGGGGACTTACTGTGACAGCTCCTATTTTCAGGTGTGCCGTTGATCCGTCTAAATTGGACCTGGCAGTATTGAGCTGCCGGGTTTATTTCTGCGAGTGGAATGCTATCTTCTTTGTTAGAAAGTAGCAGGTTAAAATGCCATGTGATGGCCTTGTGGACATATTTGGAACGGCTTGGCAATTTTTCAATGGATAGTTCACACGAATTCATTTTGTACTGATATTTTCGACACAGAATGTGTCATTGTACAATAATATCATTCTCCTGACGACGGGCGGAGCATACTGTTTGAAACGTTGAGTCCCCGGTTCTTCTCAGAACCACACATACTCACAAAAGAGATTTATTCACATTGTGCTACCGCAAACTTATCTGTCTTACAATAAGTTCTGCAGATAAGCACTGTTTGCTTGCGGTGCTGGCGAGCATCCTCACATTCAGTGTGTTTTATCTTGTTTCATTAAGTAACTATACAGGGTGAGTCAAAAAAAGCGGAACCCAAACCCCAAACAATATATTTCATATTTAAAAAAATATGTAGCAACAAAAATAATACTGACTGGAAAGCCAATTTCATAAGCTACTTTTAGATGGAAAAATTACTGAAATTGGTCAATCCGTTCAAAGAATATCACCATTTAAACTCAATGACCCCAAAACCTGTCTCGTCCAAAAAATGCGATTTCAACAATCGTCGTCACAATTGTCTTCAAACATCACCAGCGATGAAATCTTAATTTAAACGATAAGAATATGCAACAAAGTCCTTTTGAAGGCCTGTCTTTTCAAAAAGTAGATTTTATACATCATATTGCTTGCCTAACCAGGGTTGTTAATCAAAATATTGTGTACTACAGTTTGTGACAGTTGTTGAAACAAGTATTCTGTGTCATTTTCTTTGTTGTTCCAAACAGTCAAAACACACAATAAATTGCTTTTTTGGACGACACAGGTTTTAGGGTCGTTGCGTTTAAATGGTGATATTCTTTGAACGGATTGAGCAATTTCAATATTTTTTTCATCTCAAAGTAGCTTTTGAAATTGGCTTTCCAGTCATTATTATTTTTGGTGCTACATATTTTTTTAAATATGAAATATATTGTTTGGGGTTTGGGTTCCGCTTTTTTTTGACTCACCCTGTAGCTTGGTTTACCTCTGATAAACGTACGTGTAATTTTTCACGTTTTACCAAAACAAATGTTCAATGTTCTGTTCTCCCAACACTGTTGTATTTTCCCATAATTATGCTACCTAATTGAATTTATCACCAGTATTCTGATTCACCTTATAATTAAATAACTTGCATCACAAATTTAAAATGATTGAAAGCCCTTAATTATGGGTTTTGGTTTTCGATGTGTACGTTATTACGTGTAATTCATTAAAATTTATGCATGTTGTTTCCGTAAATCAAAAAAAGATATTGCCCCTTTTCAGTTTCATTTTTGGAAAACGTGGCATTTATTCTGCCAACAAAGTAAAGGAAATTTCACTTGGTACAATGTTGTATGCTTGAACTATACAATCTGCAATTTTGAGTCCAAAAATTCTCCAATATTTTTCGCTGCTCATCCAACTTCCAAGTCTTATCCAACTAAAACGTGACAGCATTTTTCGAATATGTGAATTTCTCACCCTTTTCGGGATCCAAATCGGAACTTTATATGACTTAAAATTATTTTGCATACTCAATGGTAATCCTTTATGATCCTTTCAGAAGCCACGCAAAATTAGTATGTAGTTTCAATCAGTGATTCCTTCAATATTACATCAACACACATCGCCGTTATGAAAAGTGATACCTTCATGCATTCCATTGCAAAATAACGAGAATTTCTTCACCCCAAATTTCACAAAAAAGTTCAAAGAACCGGTTCAGAACCGGTTCCCTTCAATACTACAATCCTCAAATGCAGGGGCCACAAAACTCTCAATTTAGAGAGAAATGGACGGTATACATGTACAAATCGTGATTCGGCCGGCGTAGGCAATTTGGGGGCCATTTACACCGTCGGCATTGTATACCGTTATGTTGTCACAGATCGCTTAAATCCCACGACGTCCAAGTCAATTAGGCTGGAGCCTCAATAATAACGGCGAGTTCAAACGGGGATGATAAAAGTAATCCGGTAGAGTTGGTATGTACCATAAAGTATATGTAAGTCATGAATTTATTGAAGAAAGTGGCACAGTGGAGAAAATAACACTTTAAAACGTGCACGTCTTAATAACCGATACCCTTTGTACAGGGTGAGTCAAAAAAAGCGGAACCCAAACCCCAAAAAAGATATTTCATATTTAAAAAAATATGTAGCACCAAAAATAATAATGACTGGAAAGCCAATTTCATAAGCTACATTTAGATGAAAAAAAAAATTGAAATTGCTCAATCCGTTCAAAGAATATCAGCAGTTAAACGCAATGACGCTAAAACCTGTCTCGTCCAAAAAAAAAAATGTGTGTTTTGACTGTTTGGAACAACAAAGAAGATGATACAGAATACTTGTTTCAACAACTGTCACCAACTGTAATACACAATATCTTTATAGGCCTGTTTAGGCAAACAGTTATGATTTATAAAATCATTAAGTTTACGGCAAAGATGTTTTGTTCGCAGTGTATCTGTGTCTTTAAAGATCGGATGGGTAAATTTGTTTTACAAATAAAACCTAGCGAAGAATTACCTAAATGGACGACAAAACTCTTTGGTTATATCTAATTTGAAATACACGATTAACAGTCACTGAGATTATCATTAGACAACATGAACATTTTAGTACCGCAGATACGTGATGGTATTGTGTCTTTGATGATATTAGCATGGTACATGTATTTGGCACACAGTCAGAGTATGTCATGCGAAAGATTACAGTTGGCTATATAGGGCCATCGCAGATTTGTCCTTTGAAAAATGTAAGTAGAATAACAAGCAATGGCAGCCATTTTGAAAAAAAAAATAAACTTGCTTATTTACCTTTTTTTTCCAAAGGAAAAATCTGCGATGGCCTGTATATAGGCAAATACATGTATCTTTCTCACGACATGCTCTGACTGTGCGCCAAATGCCGTGCTTGTATCAGCGAAGGCACAATTCCACCAAATATTTTCCTTAGGCCATATCTGCCCGTTATTTTCTCGCTCAACTGCAACACTTTGGGCTCCCCGTTATATTTTAATTACACATTAATAAGGTTTCAATATACTCGTGCATACATCCTTGCATGTCAATGCTTATAACATTGCCAACCGTTTCCAATTAGTGGTTATTTAAGTCATGAAAATAGTCTGGTCATACTATATAAGACCGCTAACACAATAAGAAATGTATGTTCTTGTGTTTTGGGGTAAAGCACTCTACGATACAGTGTCTTCTCAGTGTAGAAAACAGATTACGTTGAAATCTCAAATTGTTCCATAAAAAAATGATCTGATGACCTTATGAACAGGGGTATAATTTCGAAGCACTTTATAAGACATTTGCATAAAGCGCTATACGCGAACATTAACCACAGTATCATATTATCAGTCTTGGTTTCATTGTCACTCAGTTTCATATTAATCTTAAGATCGGCAAGAAAACAAGATTATGCGAGGCTCGCAATGTTCACTACAGGTGTCCATGGCGTTTCTCCTGGACCCAACAAATAAATACAAAACTGAAACAAGCCAAAAACACATTCCTCTGGTCTCTCTCCGTCTCCCTCAAGAAAAAAGAAAAATCGAAATGCCAATCAACTTTTGAAACTGATTAGGGTGTAGTCGAGCCGGACAGAAAAAAAAAACAACGGCCGAGGACAGTGACTAAACCTGAGCAGTCTGGAGTGGGGCTAGGGGAGGGGAAGAAAAGATGAAGACAAATGAAATCATCACCTTCTTGTCTGGAGTACTCAATCCATCGATTGTTAGGTTGTCATCGCTCATCAACTTCCGAGAGACCCCTACTTTGTGACGGACGCAGGCCCACAAAAGGCCCGGGCAGGCCCAGTGGGGAGCACGGTTGGTGCTTGGTTACCCGTTGCGAGATCCGTTTATTTAGTTCTTCTTCTTCGTCTCTTGGCGCGGACTTTACAAAACCTATTCCACAAGTGTTCCTTACAAAGTATAAAGAGTGATGTAAAGATATATCGAGGTTGGGAAATGTGCTCAGGTCCTTGAAAAGGCAGGAGGTGGTCTAGAATTTGCGCCCAATGATTTTTTTGGCGCGGACATCAATAACACGAAGTAGACATAATATATCAATATTGACGGCAGACTGAGCAAGCACACATTTTGCTGAATAGTTTCGACAGTATAACTCTACACGGACAATTAATATCTCACCATTGTCTGTGACGTAGGTCTGATTGAATATGTGAAAATATCTTCAAAATATTTTTCCAACGAGTGCACTAGAACTGGCATGAGTTTTCTTCAAGCATTTTCCTAATGTTGATTAGCCAGCGAATTATGATTTAATATAGGCTAGTTGAATCTCATTCAACAAATTCATAAAAATAGTTTCCAAATGCAATATAAGAAACATAATTATTATCAGTCACTGATGCTTGAAGCTTAGTCCCTACCAATTGGAGACAAAACACTTTGAATCAAGATAAAACAAAACTTTTCTTAAAGATAAAACAAAAAGCTAGATGCATGTACATACAATGAAAACCGTTATCACCTCTTAGAAAGCAATTTTTGTGCGAAAACAATAGGTGGCGCAATAGGCCAATTCGCAAGAGGCAGTATGGGAAGGACATAAATAGTGTGCACGCGCAGGAATCGTTTCCGCGCTGGCAATGCGCAAAAATCGACAATTTATTGGACCCGCACGATAATACCTGGAAACGTTAATACTGCTTCGAGAAGGCAATTCCCAGGATGCAACTAGCGAATTTTGCTTACTAGACCAGCGCAGCATATGGAAGTGTAGATAGGACATGGTTAAAAATAAAATTAATTCGTACGTACGAATTACTAAACCGTACGTACGAAATACTAATTCGTACGTACGAATTACTAAACCGTACGTACGAATTACTAAACCGTACGTACGAAATACTAATTCGTACGTACGAATTACTAATTCGTACGTACGAATGACTAAACCGTACGTACGAATTACTAAACCGTACGTACGAATTAATAATCCGTACGCACGAATTATTAAATCGTACGCACGAATTACTAATTATTTCGTACGTACGATTTAGTAATTCGTACGTACGGTTTAGTAATTCGTACCGAACGGTTTAGTAATTCGTACGTACGGTTTAGTAATTCGTACGTAGGGTTTAGTAATTCGAACGTACGAATTAGTAATTCGTACGTACGGTTTAGTAATTCGTACGTACGAATTAAATTTATTTTTAACCATGTCCTATCTACACTTCCATAGGCAGCAGGATTTCTGTTTATAAATAGTTTTACAGGAGAGACGCTTTACTGGAATAGTGTGCAATTTCTGCTTACTATGCTGTAGGATTTCTGCTTACTATACGCGCCACATGATTTATTGACATGTCTTTTGCTCCATGCTTTATTCTTCGCAGCCTTCGTGCAGCGAGACATCGACGGCGAGTGTTGGCAGTACGTCAACCACCGAGGCGGCAAGATCTTCTCCCATGCAGGCCACGGCAGATACGCTGATAACACGGACTGTAAGGTGACGGTTACAACGAGTCCTGGAAGGCGGATCCGTGCCGTGTTTGAGAGCTTTGATGTGACCGAATCTGTCAACTGTTACCAGGACGAGGTAGTTAAAGACCTGTTGAATTGTGACTTCAACGTTGGTGTACCATATAAGGTACACGAAGCTGTTGGGGCGACGCAATAATACCGACACCAAATACCGAAGTGATGAATGTTAAAAACTGGAATAAAACTCCCGCAATTGTGGGAGTACACTACTTGCAAAATTAAAGAGCCCCAGCTCGCTCAGTACAGGTTTTGTCAGTGTGAATGTGTACCAAAGAGGAATAAAGTCCTGTCCTCGCGGGAGAGCGCTCTACATACAAGGATATACCTCAGATGACAAACCTTACAATCCAATCACGTCAATCTCGAGACAATTTTCAAGGTCACAGGTAGCCGAGAATTAATTTATTTAGATAGATTGTCGCTTCATCTCAAAATGGTGCAAGACTTGTGATTGACTTGTGAGGAATTTTAAAAATCTGGAGTAACTTCTCACAAGTATACAATGGACGAACAATGACAAAATGCCTGGTCAGTAGCAAATTACTTGTCACTGGAGTTCAAGCTTTACTGAGAGTGGATGAGTGACTGTTGTGACAAACTCTTTTTCCTTGTGATGACGTCTGAAGATTTATGCCGACTTAATAACTACCCTGTCGTAAAGGACCTAATAAATTCCCTAACCCTTATGGAACTACACAACAAGATTAGAAGAACACAGGACGGCCATTACAACATGACAAACTTACAAAATGTGACCAGATTATCTGCAATGTCTCATTTATTCTTTCAACAGGTGATCGTGTACGATGGCCGATTCTTCTCCAGCCTGATGCTTAGCGGCGCCCCGTACGGTCTGTGCGGGACCGACTTGTCACCCCGTTACCGCGAGCTGGAGACGACGGGAAACGTACTGACCGTACGCTTCATCACGGACAACGTGCTGTCCAGCAACAAGGGATTCTCTGTGGTCTACACGACATTTGTGCCTGACGAGACTAGAAAAGGTGGGTCTGAAACCCCAACCCTAACCTCCAAAAAATTAAAGGCCAGCAGGGTTTTGGGGGTAACTTTGCTGGATTGAGAAAAGTGGAGTCCAGATGGGTGTTGACACCCATTGACGATTCAAGTAGGCCTACATGAATGTTCCACAGGGGTTTTTTTTGTACTGTGGCGATGCGGAGAGGTTCCGGGAAGGTCTGTCAAGCATGAGATTTTCAGACCTTTGTCGGAAATCAGGCCTTTTGAATCTAAAAAATATCAGTTTAGAAAGAAATGCATCTTTCAGACCTTTCATCTGAGTTTGAGACTTTTGTTTCATACAATTTCATACCCGTGAGGATTAAGGACGGTTTGCACACTGAAAAATTGCCCGGGTTTACCCAAGCAAGGGTGAAAATTGCAACTACCCAAAATTGGGTTGTCCTTTACCCAATTGTTTGGGTTAGAATTTCTATCGAATTCAAGCAAAACTTGTGGTCATACCAGACTAAATTTAATTTGGTCTTGTATGACCACAAGTTTTGTTGAATTTAACAGAAATTATAAACGATTGGGTAAAGCACAACCCAATTTTGGGTAGTTGCAGTTTTTCACCCTTGCTTGGGTAAAATTAGCCCCGGCAATTTTATTTTTTCTTCTCATGTTTTTAGAAGAGTAAAGTCCAAAACGCCATAACGTACACCCATATGCGGATGTCGTTTGGGAGAAAAAAAATCGCGGGCGGGCCTTTGCAACAAAGCTCACGCCCCTATAAATGTGATTGGTCCAAGGATGAAAAGCATGACTGAATTGTTTATTTCTTTCAGGGAACGTGACTCTTGTAGTTGTACAAAATTATGTGAAGTTCCATCATGGAGTTAAAACATCACCGACAAAATTCCGACTGAAACATAAGACGGATACTAGAAGAAATGTACACGCAAGGTTAAGGTTTATGTATGTCAAATGAGCGCATGTTAGGCATTCTGTCTCCCATCACATATTCGAGAAGGGTGTACATTTCCACTTTGCTGTGCAGCATTGAAATGCATCCTAAATATCATGGGTGAAGTATGCAATTTTAGCTCCGTGACAAAAAAAAATGTTTACCATTTTAAACAGTGTCTATATACATGTAGGTACAAAATAAAGAAAAGAAGGTACGAGGATATGAGTGTGTAGGGTAAAAACAATCCTATTTCATACAAAATGTAAATTTTGTATCACATCGACCCTCTGATGTAAATTGAGCATAAGTCGGAGCGGGACCCTAGACCGGGCTGCAAGGCCAGGATTGACTGACAAGAAGTTAACAAGCGAGAAGAAAAAACGGACACTTATACCACGCATGACTGCAGGAAGACTGCGCGGGAAAGCTTCAAGAACACATACACGGAATAATCGATGGCGAGCTACAATCCACACGGCAAACATCGCCAGACTGGGTATATACACTAACATCTACACAGACTACATGATGACATTGCGCGCGCTCTCACTCCATTTCACCAAAACGGACATTATGTGGAAGAGTTTTCAGGAGCAACTTGAAACGTGCAGGACATCCGTCTTTCAGCGAGAAAACTCTAGTGTGATGGACCAGTGCTTCAGCATTCAAGTACGCCTGAACCTGATGAATAAATACAGAATTAATCGCAAATACTGATTCGAGACATCACTCCAAAACCGGCTCGTCATCATCGAGGTGTGTGCATTATGATCAAGGACATATTTCCCTGATACGTCCGCATCTTCACAGCGCAACTATCTCATCCAAGGCAATGCAAGACCAGAGCTGCTTCGTAAGGTACCTCGCACGTTAGGTAGGACAGAATGGCTTTAAAGGAAGGAGAACTCTTTGACGATGTTGATCAGGCATAGTATTACTGTGCATGGGAGGGAGTATATAAACATTGTTTGACAAATCAAGCAAATGTTATAACAGTTTGGGCCTACTGAAATATTTGACTTGATTTGATTTTGACGTGGTTTCTCAATAAATTCATGAAAATAAAGTGGAACAGACGTATAACTCAGTTTCTACAGTTGCCGCTAAATAACAAATTAAGGCTGCTACCCATTCGAGTTTAAGCGTAAAATTACACCAAACCAAAAAAAACCACTTTCGAGTACATGTATTAATGACAAAATTACTCGACAGTATATCTTAAAATTATTAAGTATGTCACATTGAGGTGTGCCGAGTAATGTGGTTTTCTTGCACGGCTGTACGTGGCGGCAAAACCAACAATTTCAACTTTTTATCCTAGGCGACAATTCAGGGAGGATGTAAAATAAGGAAAACAAATCAAAGTGAACACTGAATACAAATTCAAACTACCATTTGATAAACGATGTCTCCTCATTATTGTACATTAAATACAAGCCAATCAGAACTATACTTTGACACAAATCGGAAACGATATTGAATCCAAATGGATCGGTTAACAATTTTGAAATTTAGACTTATAAATGTTTATGACCGAGGTCCCCTCATTTCGAAAAATAAATCAAACATATAGACTTTGTAATGCCATTTATACCACAGCGTTGCCCTATAATAAAGCGAGCACAGTCGATACCATAGCAATAATTAACAAAAGATCGTATATCAGTGAAGGCCAAATACAGACCAAACGCGTGTACACGTCTCTTCAAGTAAGTGACGACCCCGTGTATGCTATACACAAATTTCGTTTCAATTCCTTGTAGACGAAATTCCAATAATTATCCAAAATTGCGTCTCTTAGTGCCAAGCCATTGTACAGGACACTGGGCATCTATTCTCGTTCGACGCTGGTCATGGAAAGGAGCACTGTATCGATGTCGATGTTAATTTGAGATTCGTCAATCCAGGTTCCCCCCCCCCCGCAGCTCAAAGATATTATCTCGTTTTTTCTTTAAACTGCGACATTCACCAAAGAGTAAATGATATTTTCAGAGGCTGCATTATCTTGCACGACATCCACATGGTGAATAAGGCGCCAATCTTCTCAGAAAGGGCCTTGCGTTGTGGAAACAAATCTTTCCCCGATGCCAGATATTTGAAACAACGTCAACAGATTGGAGCGCAGATGTTCCATTCGTGAAAATGAAATATCGAGCACATTGCTGCCGACCTTCTGTGAGCAATATACGGCCAATTCACAGACAGAGAAACACCTTCTGTATCGACAGGTCCGACACTGTCTGCTAACACGCTTCCGCATTTAATTTGCAGTCTCTGGTGAGGTTTTTACTTGGATTTCGAAGTAGGGTTTATCCGCGATGTTGTCTCCATCAATGAGTAAAAAAAAACTATCAATAGACTGTTTAACTCCAATGCTCAAGCACAGATTTTAAGTGGTAGTTATCCATCAGCAGCCTCTCATTGTGGTGATACCGCTACGCAAGAGTCACCATCCTCATCCAAAAGTCTTCGTCTAGAATGTTTATAATCTCTACTATGTGAATTAAAAAAAATTAACTTCAAAATGTGTATTTGCCCATGAAATTCCACGATGCAGTTGTCTTCTATTTTATTCAACAGGGGTTGATTGGACGAGTAGCGATCCAGCAGCCACTGAATATGTAACCAATGCGCCTCGGCGACGGTCACTGTAAGATGTACAGAAATAAATCTTGACAGCTAATTATCCTTTATTTCTAATTCTCTCTACAGCGAATGACAAGTGTTTTGAGTGCGAGGATGGCTCCATGTGCATTGATACCGGCCTGACGTGCGACTCGCTGTGGAACTGCGCCGACGGCAGCGACGAAAGCTTTCAGCTTTGCTCAGGTAGTTCTTTGATTTTTCCCCCTGGACCCAAAGGGCGAGCCTATTGTCCTCTGACTGACTGACTCCCCCCCCCCCCGACTGCCAGACTAATACTGACTGAGTCACTGAACCACATCAACCAAAATTTTTACTACGATTCTTTCAGATAACCCCCTCTTATCTAAACAGTCAGACAGTCGAAAATCAATCATCTTCCCTGCCATGCCTTTGACACATGCAAGTCATATTTTAGGGAAGCACTGTGACTAATCAAACTCAGTCAACAGACAAAAGCAGGCAAGTGGTACGCACAGCTGGCTTATCAATTACCTACTGTCAAAGGAAGCATAGCTGTATCAGGTTACATACCCAGTCACAGCCAGTCAATCCATGCTTTTAGGCTGGAAGCTCTTAACTGTTGAAAACAGTCCCTCATTCATTTTGACTGCAAAGACAACTTGGCACAGAATGTATGTCTATAATGAAAGACGGTTTCCTCAAAATTTCATCTAACTGTAGCCTGGCGAAACCAAGAGAGGGACATAGCGAAGGAAAAAATCGTTCAGTTTTTGAGGTGGGAGGAAAACTTATTCAAGTGGTAATATTCAAGGGGAAACCCACGGAATCCTACGGACTGAAATCTGTCCATCCACATGGCCTGGGTGAGAGTCGAACCCGGGTCTCAGAGTTGGAAGGACATACAGAAAAGTACCCTTGCACCAGATACGACCTCATCTATGAGACGATCCAGTGTATTGGCGTTTTCGTACCTGATTTGTACCTGATCTGCTGCAGCTTTATCACCGTTTATTTTTCATGCTTCGAAGCCACACTCAGGTGCTGCAAGCTGTAGTGGCTGTCCTAGTTGATAATTGCAGCCGATAAGCCTTCTTTGCCAAACGACTTGCGCCAATATGATGTGGTGCTGATGCAGCAATTCATGTTGATGGTGCATGTAACGTACTGATGCATGCCGGCGCTGTTGTTGCATGCAGCTGGCGTTTCTGCGAAGATGCAGCTGCAGTTGCTTCCGTAACATCTTGTCTGTAAATGCCAATTCCCGACCGATGTTGATATTCAACTGACTCTTCTCTTCTTTTTTTTCCATCACAGTGGGACCAACAGAGAGCCCTGCTGCCACCCAGGGCTGGCTTGGGTGGATGGGGACTCTTCTAGCAATCACCGTAGCTGCGATCATCGTCTTTTTCCTTCTTATCTCCATCGTGGTATGTTGCTGCTGCAGGCGGAAAGGCCGCGGCATGGCCGTGGGTCGCGGCCAGGCAGACGGTGCTGGACCACGCGGTGGAGGTGTCGCTTCCTCGGTGCCGTGCAGTAGCAACTCCAGCTCCAGTAACAGCAGCGGTAATTCCAGTCCGAATTACGGCGAGATGAGCGTCCGAGGCACGCCCGTGACTCACGGCGGGCAGGGGTACTCGGAACCCGCGGGCAGCCACGTGTTTTACGGGTATCCACCGCCTAACGGCAGGGACACGTGCGGGATGTACGGGTTCCATGGAGGCTACTACCCGATGCGAAAGGACAACCAGAGCTACTCAGGCGAACGGGACAGAGGCTACGCAGAGCCGAAGTACGGAGGGGGAATAAATGGTCACAGTATTGTGGGAATGCCGGCGAACTGATAAGCTGTACTTACAGAACGACTTTACCTCACACAAGGTGGAATTGTGTTGGACACGACTGAACAATTCCCCCGTAAACTCTACCGAGAGAAAGGGGTACGCCCACTTTGGACCATCAACAAATACAGATGTAAATAGTGTACAGAAAATTATTACAACTAAAGGAAAATTATGTAAACTTTTAGAAAGTTCTTTAAATGTGGGTAATATTGAAGGTATACAGCAGGTGATCAATAAAATGATAAAAATTTACATACACCATGCACAGATATTTATTAATGGCAGCCATTACTGGGGGCTGTAGCATGCAGAACACTTTGATGAACCATTTGCAAGTAAATGGTCCATCTGAAGATGGGGTCTTTGAATATACTGGCATAATTTTTCCAAATTTCTCAATGAAATTCTCCCTTATCTGAGATGTCTACCGTGAACCTATGGTCCCAATCAATTCTATCCATGGATGAGATTGCCAATTTCATCAAGTCTGAACATTGGATGAAAGGTTGGAAAGATGTATTACTTTCTATACTGTGATAATGTCTTTCTCTCTGATTAAAAGTCTCATTTCAGACAAAAGTCTGAAAAAGCTCATGCCTGTCTATCTGAACGTTGAAGAGTTTTCCCCCTGTTTAAATGTATATATTTTGTGGACGAAGTCTAAAATGCCTCCTTATTTATTTTCATAAAATCACACTGTTTATTTTCATCAAGCTTGCCTTTTTCTTTTTTTCCCCTTGAAAACTGTACTATATTAAATGTGGTTGTAATTTTCATGGATATTATTTATCTATTTGGATAAAATTGAGTCCCAAATAAGAACAAATTCCGGTGTGCATTTGCTTAATAAACTGAAGCGACCAGAAATTGCAGAGAGTTTCTTTTAAAATAAAAATGGTATATCTGGAATTTATTTTTAAGCGTTCTACTCTGTCACAGCTTCACAATATTCAAACATGTTTTCAGCTATAAATTACATGTACAATGAACATCGATTTTCCTAAACTGGAATAACTGTCACTAGATATACGAGAAAATTGTTATTTGGACTGCAGTTGTAAAACAGTACTTCGTTTACTCCCAGTAAAGGATCCAATATCACTTTCATTCCAACTTTGTCTTTTGGTTAAACCATTAAAACTCTGATTTAGGTCAATATTTTTGTATCCGACGTTCGGAAGTCCAGATAAAAGTGGTAGGATTATATTGACAATGTATCCAATGAATTACTTAAGTTTCCACTTACTAAGATTATTTCATTTAAATGGCCATTAAATCTGCATCCCTGGGAAGAACCGATAATTTATTTTTAACAAAATTAAAAACCTTTTTTGTAAGAACATGTTGCTTACAGAAGACTTGAACTTTCGATGAGATATATTCACTGCACTACTAATGTCGCTCAAAAAAAAATGACACTTGAGATTGCAAGTTCTTGATCTGCGACTCCAACAACATATGCATACTTGAAAACTCCATAGGCACCAATTCCATAGGTTAACCAATCATAAAGCACGGCCTGAAACATTGGCAGGCCGAAAAAAGAGGTGTGCATTTTAGGTTTTGAATCCTCTATACTGCTCTCGACTTGTACTTTGACCATTGTCATGGAAAGGAAATAAATGTTTCAAGTTACCAATTTATTATTTCAAGAAGTGTATGGCCTACCTGGCTCCAACAAGCTGAAAGTGATGAAGGGAAGCCACTCCCAATCTCTCTCTCATACCTGTCATTTGATTATATCACGGCTTGCAAGAGGTCTGTAAGGATTCAACAGGTGTATAACAAACAGGTGTATAATTGAACAATGTCAAGCAATAACCATGACTTGCAATTGATTATTCATTTATTAAAAACACACTGAACAGGTAACCATTCCAGTAAATCTGATTAATATCACCTGGAAACCACTTTTCCTCCCCAAATAAAAACGGACTCCCCTTTAGGTCACTAACAAGTGTAGATTAATTATTTCCTTATCAAAATCTTCAAATGACTTCAAATTAAACAAGTGATCACACCTCAACCCAACCCCAATCCCACAAAAGTGTCCCCTAAGCATTAAACAAATCTAAATTAAAAAAAAAATTGTTGTTAAGAAAAATCTTCCCTTTTTGTTAGGTTACAGAACAGCTTTCAACAAAATTGTCATAAATTTTAACACGGCACATGTATAATAGGTTTTTAAATGTGATCGATGTAATGAACATTGCAAACCTTGTTAAGTGGAAAAAAATGATCAGGAAAAATTTGACAAAGTTCCAGCTGAACACAAATGAATGAACCTTTCATTAATCTAACTTCGTTAGATACACATTTAAAAAAAAAAAAAGGATAACAAAAATTGGTGTGAGCATCTATGTACTTTACCCTGCCCTGGGTAGAAGGTTGACCTAAGGTCATGTTGGGTCATCCTTAAAATTTAGCCGTGTCTGCGGTCTGGAGCCTTCAGCTCAAGTTGCGCTTTTTATCTTGAATCTTTAACTTGGCCCCAGCTGCAAGGAATAGCCAACTCTGTCCAATTCTGTAATTTAAAAGAGAGGAAAAGGTCACAGTACAACTGCACAATGCACAATAGTTGGCAATGTTTGGGGCTCCACTTGTGTGTAACAGCGTGCGTGTAAACTTTAGGTATGAATTGCTTAAACTTTCAATCCATTGCAATTTCATTTAAAATGATCAACACCATAGATCAGATAATTTTTTTTTTTTTCCAAAAACTATTCAGCTGTCCAACCTCAACCATCCCGGATGCCGCCCCCTGCCCCCCATAAAAAGAAGAATAAGGCCAAAAAAAAAAAGTCTCCGGTTTCTGGTATGCGCGCGCGTCGCCGTAGCCATGCGCGTCGGCAAAATGAAAAAGTTTTTTTGTCAATGAAAGATGATGTCTCAAAACCGCCAAACTCACTGGTTTGACTGGAATTCTGCTGCGGCGCAATTTCAACGTGTTTTTATATGGGGTTATGATCGAGAATAAGCTTTATGTGGCCACTCTGGACTCCCATATATTTGCACTAAGTTTAGTCGGGCACCATTTGCAGTCATCAGCCGACATTTGAAGCAAAAAAGTCGGGTAAAAAAAAAAAAAAAAGCCGCGTCGCCGCACCACTTTTTGGACAAGCTCCATACCAGAAACCGGAAACTTTTTTTTTTTGGCCTAAACAATCAAGTTCTGAATTCAAATATGTACACTTCAAATCTGTCTTCAGCAATGACTTTGATGAAAAGCTACTTCTTCGAAAAACGCATTGGAAAATAAGTGCTTTTATTGAAAACTAAATAAATATCTGCCTTTGATTTCTGATTTCAATAAGACAAACATTCCGTCCGTGCACTCAAGCACCTTAACTTCTGAGATAATTTACAGGCAGTTCACAAGGATTCTTTAGACAGGTGTTTAACATTGAGCCCATTAACTCAGCTGGAAAAATAGACGAAAACTTGAGGTTCTCTAACCAACTTTCCAAATGGGACAGAAAAATTCAAAATACATAGTGATTTAAAAAATGGTCGCTAAAGCATTTTGCACATGAGTGCTGGAGGACTCCAGCTTTTTTTCCCAAGATTTTAATACCTTCGAAAAAAATCATCTCCACATCCACCTGGAGAGAGACTTTGGACCTGCGTTGGAAACAAAGAAATGGGTCAGTCAGATTTGCCAATATCAAAGAATGTCAGTAAAAAAATGAAGCAACGCCTTTTCACACAATCTGGATCAACTTAACTAACATTTTAATGTAATCCTCCCCTTGGTTACTTCTAGAACTCTACAAGAAATCTTCAAATTCAGTGGTCGCTATGGAATAAACAGTAAAAAATGACAAAATAAACAAAAAGAACAACTTGGGTACACTCTTAATTGATTTAAGGTTGAACAAAGAATTTGACTAGACACAGGATTTGAACCTGCAACCACTGAAATGCTTGCCAGTGTGCTACCGACATAACTATCCAGCCTTTATTGGCAGTCAGCATTTTCTTTTTTGTTCACCGGTTGCTGTTCAGAAGCCATGAAGCCACATGTGACCAGGAACGCTACCCTACCCAAATTCTTTTTCAATGATGCAAAACTTGGAATTGGTAATAGGGGCAGGTACATTTTGTACACCAGTCTTAATGTCCAAGGTTCAAACCCTGTTCATTCTCTTTCTTTGTTGACTTTGTATTGAGGGAAACATTAATTTATGAATTAGACATCTGGTTGCAAGTCAATGGTTATGATACCTGGGAAAAAAACCCAAATATATATTCAAGAAAGGCCTCAAATCCATTACCAGTGTTTGGGAAATCGGCTTGGGTCGGATTAGATGATATAAATTGTCAAATATCTACATTAATCAATCAGCAATTTCATTACTGCTTCACATCTAGAACTTAATCACTACATTATCTGTGCACTGATTTGCTTGACAGTCTCTTTAACAACTACATGTAATTGGTCAATTGGCATTTCGACTTATGTAACTGTGCATACACATGTACAATAGCATCATTAAAGGGACACTAGGTCCTGGAACAGCCCAATTGGGCTACAAAACGCACTTTGAACGAGATGATGTCAATCGGAAAGAACATTTAAAAGTAGGATATAAACATCCACACAACTATCCTTTCAAAACTGGGCGTTTTTGTGTTATTCCCTGTATTATGCGTGCGAGAACGAATTTCGGGGTCCACTTTTGCGACCCCATAAATTCGAGCTGTTTGGATGCTAGTTGTGATTTCATTCGTAAAGTGTTCGCCTTTTGCGGACGTTGAAGAAACATCATTTTTTTTGCATTGGTGATTGGTCACCGCTGTTCCCGAGACACACAACGTGTATATCGTACACTGTATGTGAACAACACGAAAAACGTATTCGTACTCCGTCGTGTGCGATGTAAACAACCGGGGATTTTTCCTCTTTTCTCGGGAACGGTCAGACATTAGGTTGGTTTCCTTTCAACCAGATGTGTGAAATAGGCTAAGTAAACAATCCAAAACGTGAAATTTTCGGGGATTTCAGGACCTAGTGCCCCTTTAACATGCCCTCGTTGAAAATGCTGACAAAAAACCTCAAGATCATTACACATCAAAGGGTTCAATTATCTGGAAACAAATTCTGAAAACAAAGTAAATCATGTCTGTAAATATGGACTACTTACATTATATAACAAAAAAAATAAAAGAATTGAATTTTAGTGCTCTCTGCATTTGCAGGAAAAAAAAATGAAAAAAGTGAATAATGACTTTTTTCGAAGTGCAGGTAACATCTTGTCATTACAGGATGTGTATAACCCAATAATGTATTTGACACAAAATCACACTAAGCAATCAGGAATAATTATAATTTTTTTGTTAAAATAAAAAAAATTGGCCCCACTACATTCAGTGCACCTCAAAATCCACAATGTTCTATGCAAACAGTTTTCACGCTTCTCACTACTTTAAAACTTTCTGCCGTAAACAACTACCAAAAGTAAATCTACTACTAGAAATAATAAGAATTGATATCCAAGCGATTACTCAAATTATTCCTCAAATAATACACATATAGGTATCTGTGTACATGATAGTGAAAATCAGTTAATTATGTACATGGACATTAAGAACTTATATAATATCCTTGTGGTAAACTAGACTGATGCTGCAACATCAGTTAAAAGAATTGCTGTATTTTGGTGACGTGTGTTGGAAACACCTCAGTAAAGGGCTTCTTCTAATGGAAGTTGTCAGATTCGTTAGTCAACACTTTAACCCTAACCACTCCAAGTCCATCAAAATCCATCCCCATGTTTTGGGGGATTTTAGGGGATTTGGTCGAGCCAGCTTCGCTAAATGTTGGTGGAGTCTGATGGACTTGGTCCAGAAGGCCTGAGGAACCTCTGGTGGAGTCCGATGGATTTGGTCCAGTAAAACAGGTGCTGGCCTGTTGTGGATATGTGATTGCCCCCAGTGCAAATGCATGCCTCATGTTGGTTTATGTACATAATGAGATGCATATGCGTACACTGTACACAGACTGTTTGTAAGGTTTATTGGGGGTCCATTTATAATCTTGGCTGGTGGCCTTGTTTCTTTCCTTTGCTTACAATTTGACTAAGCCTTAAAAACATGCATCAATTTAGTAGGTTGACTTTGATGGATTTGGGCCCCAAGTACAGAGGTAATTCTGTTAACTGCAAGCCATCTGTACCAACTCCATCAAAATCCCCAGCAACTCACCGGTTGATTCTGATGGAATTGGTATCAATACACTTTGCACACTTAGATGCTTTTGGGGGAGTTTGATGGAGTCAGTCCTAATGCATTATGTGAAGCAGAGTGAGTGATGGATTTTGATGGAATTGGTCCAGTATATAGTAAAAGACACTAGGGAGTTAGGGTTAAGAGCCAACCAATTTCCACTTGAAAAATATTCATTCATTCTGAATTCTGTTTCAACGATAAGAGCAGTCCTAAACAAGAACCTCTTTCGAACTCATCACGAACGTCTTAGGCATTCACTTCTGATTGAGGAACGTGTTGAATTTGATGTACTTTGACTACACATACAAGACCAATTTATAATTTGTCACAACAACAGTAACATCTTTATTTCACTTTGCGGTCCTGCATGTAAATCCCTTATGTCAACTATTGTTTTTTTAAAACATAAGGTGCCCTCAGATCGACTCACGATTTGCTTGCGCCGCGACGGAAGTGTCAGCATCAAGCAGACAAATAATGCTCAGGTCACAAAACTGAGAAATGTTGTGATTCTCGTGGAATAACTGGCATCTCGGCCCAAAATAATCATAATAACGCTCACGTCACCCATGAGACAGTCATCTGACTTCTTTAAAAATAGTGAAAGCAAGTTGGTTACAATCAAACGACATTCCATGGCCACACCAGCTGTTCATTCAGCCGTTTTCAAGCGTGCTGATTGGCTACACAACTGCGATTGACTCCCGCCTGTCGAGAACACGTCGCAGAAGTTGAAATGTTTTTACTCTTGCAACTGTTGATTTATTGAGCGCCGACCGATGCCGATCGTCTTAATATCGTCGCAGTTACACTCAGGTCGCACAAAATCGGCGACTAGTTTGTTCCCGACGGTCGTAGCTCAGGAAAAGTTAGATCCTGAAAAGTCAGTGCTATCGCAAGGTCGACCTGAGGGCGCCTTTATCCTGTGTCAATGTGACAAGATTCAATGTGCCTAGTTGCCCAACAATTTCTAGCCAATAGTGAAAACATTTGTTTATCCCAATGCAGAAAGCACAGAATGCAGATTCTGCTGGGGCTGGATATCAGTGCATGTAATTTTCTTCTCATATTCCTCGATCAATAAATCATGCAAGGAGAAATATAAGAGCCGACCCAGCCAAATGAGTGACAAGTCCCCAGAGGAACATTTTACTAAACAGACCATTTTTTACAATGCTTGCAAATTAAATATCAACAAGAATATTTAATGTTTGTACCCACATAAATATGAACATATTAACCAGTTCGCGCCGGGATTATTTTGACAAGAAAGGAACAAGGTGCAGGATTAGTTTACACTGGACCTAATGCCAGGCAGGTTGAAGCCATCACCCTCAGGCAGCACACTCATATTTCCGGCCTCGCTCGCTGCAAGCGGGTCGCTGACAGATACTTCCGGCCTCGCTCCCTGCATGTTTATCTGTCATCCATTCCGAATACCGCAAAATGTTCGTGTGTATGTACACGGCTTCCCGCACGAACTGGTTAAAGACATAAAACTAAAAGATATGTGCAAATGAAGAGCAGCGTGTGCTCTTCCTACTGCATATGAATAAAACATAATACGTGACAAAATGTTTTCAAGACTGGCTTTGTGAGATCCAGGTCCAATATCATGGCTCTGCTTACTAGAAGCAAAAACTTTGCATTGTTAGCGGTGAGTTAGCGATGTTCATATGTTCAGTTGGTAACTAAGGATTCTCCGCTTACAAGAATAGCAGAACTTCTGCCTTTTGTGTGTAAGCACAAAATGGAACATTCCGGATTCAGCCATAAGCCACACCCATTTTAGGTATGGGTAATTTGACCAAGCTACTATGGTCACCTGAACAAAACGTTTGATCTAATTGGTCAATGCGCAGTTTGACTGACAGACAGGAAGGATCCATTCTGTGGTCAGCAGGGCCACGGAATTGGTCCCTGGTCTCATATACAAACTGATAGGCAGTGAAACTCTCGTCAACAGTCAGTCAGTGGTCATTACTTTTCAAAATGTTAATCAATGTTTGAATGGACCTGCCTGGTTGTAGCACAGTTCCCACACTGCTTCATCATATCTTCTCCTGGATGAAGGGATGATGCAATGCCTCCTTGATCTGGACCCTCTTGCTGGGGTCCAGCATCAGACATTTCTCAAGCAGGTCCTTGAGTTGGTTGACCTTGCGGTGCTGGTCCTCAGGAAGCCGGCTGAAACCCACCAGGTCCCCCATCATGTCCTTGCTGGGGTTCATCACGCTGAAGGTTGTTACCTTCTCCTGTGTAGTGATGAATATTCAATATACTATCCATTAACCTTAACCTTCCCAAATCCTTCCAAAATGCTCTTTGCAAATTGGAGGATTTTGCACGATTGAGGCTATACAGTAAAAAAGTGTGGCTGATTTTGGAGGACACACCTGTGTCAAGGCCTTGGGCCGGACCTTGTATTGTTTTTCGCTCAGCTGTGCATAACTTGAGGCCAAAGATTATACTTGAAATCCAATGACGCCAAAGTAATGCTACTTGCTTTCCCTCTGCATGATCCAAATGCAAGAGATAAAGCCAATGCCAGAATGAAGCCTAGGTTTAAAAAACCTCAAAGTGAATGCAGTGTTGGAGCCAAGCTCATCACAAGTCCTCCAGTCTCAAGTCAAGTTGTAAGCTTTTAAATTGAACTATGACAAAAGAATTCCTTTGTGATCATCGATCCCCAGTTAACTTGTGACTGGACTTGTGAATGAACTTGTGATTTACATGGGACGGGAATTGTGACAGGACTTGTAATGGACTTGACTACAAGACAAAAAATGCACACAAAAAACTCACCCTCTCCGTGACTTTGTCCACCTCAATGTACTTGAAGTTGAAGTTGCTGTCGAAGTGGCTGTCCTTGAGCAGACCCTTCTTGATCATCTTGTTGGGCATCTTACCCTTCGTGTCCATCATCACCTTCAACATGTGATTATTGGACTTACCGGGGAAGAGGATCTTGCCCGTGTACAGCTCGTAGATGGTGCAGGCCGTGCTCCAGAGATCGATGGCGTAGTCGTAGGTCATGCCGATGACTGGATGAAGGTGGGGGAGGGGTGGGAGGTTTTGGAGACAGGGGATGGGTTTGGTTTTGGGGAGAGATGTGACAACAAAAAGAGGACAACATAAGACAGTGGAGGAGACAAGTAGAGTAATGGATGATTTTAGTTTGGGGAGGCAGAGGGCAGAGAAGATGGGAAGAGACAATAAAAAGAGGACAATTAGGGATGGGAGGGTGCGAGAAAAAGAAGTAGTCAAGTTCAAGTGGAGGGGAAAGGAGGTGATAGAGGCAAAATATTTGTGAGGAATTGTGGAAGGAGAGAGAAATTGATTAAGGATGTAAGGAGGGCAGTGATAGAGCCGATACAGGCAAATAGAAGACGTTAATGGGATGGTAGGTTTATGGGTAAGATGGTGGAAAAAGTTAGCTCCAGAAATATTAATAATTAAATAATAATACCAGAGTCTTACATAGTACACATATCTACCAACAATTAGGTTCTCAAGGCGCTGGTAATTACGTTTATTTCTAAAGACAGGTAAATGAAGTTTATGAGAAATGTGAGACCCATTATGCAGCACCTTATAAGGGTTTCCAAGGTGCTGTGGCGCATATTGCAGCCACTGCCAGAAACACCAGGGCAAACACCTTCTCTTAGCGATAAGTGTTACTGGGTTCTTTAACGTGCATTACACAACACACGGGACCTACGGCTTTACGTCCCATCTGAAGGACGAAGCAATAATAGTATAAAGGGCCTTGCTTAAGAGCACAAGCACCATGCTCCCCATCATGATTCAAAACTGGGGTTTTTCTTCCCCCACTAAAATGAAGATTTTAGGCACTTGGGAAATTCTTTATTTCATTACCAGATTATGATTAAGAACTGCAAATGAGGACAGGTCACTGACTACGATATGAAACTCAAAACGACTTACTTATTTCTGGAGCCCTGTAGAAGCGGCTGACCAGGTATGGGGTGATGTCGGCATCGCCAACATGGCACGCAGAGCCAAAATCGCAGAGTTTGAGGACCGTCTTGGATTCGTTCACCTAGGTGCAATAACAAGCATTACAACATCCATCAAGAATCTGTTAATCTGAGAACAGTATCTGAGAACAAAGTCTGGGCCAAATTTCATGGCTCTGCTTACCGTTTGCAAAAAATCGCCACTCATAGTAGCAGAAACATCCGTGCTTATGGTAAGCATATTTCACGGGTTAGCAAGGAATTTAGGCTTAACTGTGTGTACATACTAAGGATTCTGTGCTAACAGGGTTAGCACAGAATTTTCTGTTAGTACAGAATGGTGATTGTAAGAGCCATGGAACTGGGCACCAGGATTCTGTGCAGGGTGCACTGAAACAACAGTGACTTACGAGAATATTGTCCGGCTTGATGTCAGCATGGAGTATGCTGCATCGCTTCAGGAGTTTCAGAGCCAGGAAAAGCTGGGAGGTGTAGGACCGTACCGCCTTGATGTGCAGACCGACGTCTTTGCCGTACCGCTTCAGAACTTCACGCAGGTTCATGCTATGAATAGATCCACACAATGGTTGATTCGTCAGTTAAATGATCGAAGTCTACTCGCATGTCAGAAATCAAGGGTTGATGATTGAAAATATGATTAGATTTGTTGCAAAACCAGAAATGTTAGATTTAGTTTACTGTAAACCTGCTCAGCTTTACTGATATTATTTTAGGTGGAATTTTTTTTCTGTCCAATGACCGTGTTATGGACATCATAAGCAAACTAAGATAAGGCCAGGGTTTTGCCTGAATCGGCACGTGCATCGTAGACGGACTTTCCATCACTCCATTATATTCTTGGTTTCATCAGGACGGTACAGGAAGTCTCAACGGAAGAGCAAGCATTAACAATATCTGACCTTCTCTGCATTTTTGCTAGAAACCTTTAAAAGCATCCTGAACTATACAGGAAACCAATATTTTTGTTACAAAATCTGTTCATTGGAAAAAACAATCTGAGGTTATTTTACCTGAGTGGTTCAAAGACGAGGCAAAGATGGTTGCGATGGAAGAAGTGTCTGAAGAGGCGCACACAGTGGAACTTGTCCTCCCTGTCAGTATCGTTGAGTCTCTTCAAGTACTCCAGTTCCTTCAGACCCGTCTTGTGCCTTGGGGATAGATGAAGAAAACAGAAACAAAATTAAAGTCTCCAAGATTTTTGGGAGCCTATAAAATGACAGTAAATGTTTCACTCACAAAAGCCTGTGTATAAAAGGCATGGTGCATGTGTACAATGGTCAGGGCGCGCCACTGATTTCATCTCGTGCACAAACCAACTGAAACTTTCCAGAGGCATGTCCCATGTCTCTCTAAATGGTTTACCATAGGGACATTTATCTCCTGGCAGATTTGATAAAAAGTTCATCTGTGTTCACAAGAAGCCTGCGGCATGGTGATAGAGGTAGGGCTATATATAGCCCTTGAATCCATTTCAAAATTTAGGAAACGTTAGTATGGGTGGTTGCTGAAAGTTTGGATTAGTCAAGGTAGTCAGTTTGGGTTAGTTACAAGTAGTTTGGGTCAGCTTGGTTAAGTCACGGTTATCAAGGTAGTTAGGGGTGGTTGGGGTTAGTTGGGTTTAGTTGGGGTAACCAGCAATAGTTAGGGTTAATTGGTTAGTTGGAATCGGTCGGGGTAGTAAAAGGGGCATTTAGGGTAAATTAGGGTTATTCAGGGTAGTTAGGATAAGTTAGGGTTTAGTCGGGGGTAACTAGCAACAGTTAGGGTTAGTTGGTTTGTTTAAGTTGGTCAGGGTAGTCAGGGTAGAAAGCAAAAGCCAGGGTATATTGGGTAAGTCACACGACAGTTAGTGATACAGTAAACTCCAGCTAAACCGGCACTCTCAGGACCCGAGAATTTGTGACCACTTACGCGAATGCCGATATATGCTATAAGTCATCATTTTGCCGACTTACATGAATGGTCTTTTGCGCACATGATTCATTGCACTAATTGGCTTCGATTTACCCTGGATTATCTCCTTGATGCTCGAGTTGAATCCAGCAAATTAATCCTCGAATTGTATCATCACGTTTGGGGTATTGATAGTGGAGACCACAATACATATGTACGTGCACAGTAACGAATTAAATGCGTGCGTGGTCCGGTATATACCACGCACGCATTGACTGCAGCAGTAGCCATTCAATAAGACGACCCCCAAAATGGACAGAGTGCATACGTACAGCCTAGAGGGGGTACTGGTATTGATATGCTCATGATGCATATGCAGTGTATGTAGCAAAGATCCTATAGCGCCGCGTAGTGGTATGCAGTAGGACACCCTTTTTCGACACTGATGCATGGCAGCTATCACGGGCCGTGCGAAACCACTTTTCACTCGACACTTTGCCAACCACAGTAAAGGAAGTCGATGTCAATGCGTAATTTGTTGAATGCCGACTTACACAAAGGATTTTGTAATGCTTTTTATGGAAAGGGGACCGAGAGTAACACGACAACTTGAGCAAAATGGCGAATTATGAAAGCCGACTTAGCAATAAAAAAATCAATGGAAGTGCATTACGGACAATCAGGACTGTAGTCAGACGGCCGACTTGAGCGATTTGACGAGTTGTACGATGTCGGTTTAGCCGGAGTTTACTGTAGTTTTGTTAGTCAGAGTAGTTAGGGTTAATAAACCTACATGAGCTCATTGTTTCTGATGATCTTGATGGCCACGTCTTGCTGCGTCCTGGCCGAATCCCGTGCCCTGATCACGTTACTGAACACACCCTGCCCAGTGTAACCATACACGTTGTAGCGCTTGTCCAACAATTCCCCAACACGTACACCTGCGTGAGATTAAAAAAGAACAATAAGTCCAAATCGGAAATGAAAAATAAAAAAGCAGTCAATCTGGATAACTGTTGCAGAAGCTTTTAAACAAGACAATGTAGGAAAGGACAATAGATTTTACATTAACACTAACTCCTAGCGTCTTTTACTAGGAATCCGTCAATCACTGTGCGTCCAATACAAAACTGTACATGACATAATGGAATCCACCACTGACACACTGGCTGACATTCATGGACTTGCCAACCATGGCATTTATCCCAATTGCAGTACAGGAAGCTAGGCAAAATCAATAGGATACCCATAGCTGCCAACTTTTCAAAATCCCAATTAGTAATCAACCCGCGCGGTCATTTTCAACTGCTCGTTTTATCAAAAGCTTTACCAACATCGAGTACAGGTACATGGTTTACATGTACACATACATGTACATGTGCATACCCTTCTTGTTGTGAATAATAATGTACTGTAGGCCAAAAGATAATTTAAAAAAATTTAGAGGGAATATACATCATTTGCTTTTGCTGTAATTTTCAGAAATGGATGGAATTGGGGGATTGGAAATATAAAGCAAATATAGTTACACCGACTTTTTGGAGGTTTTGGGTTCGAAAATGCTATAAAAACCAAGAAAAACGATCATTTACCTGTAGTCTGGTTCCCTGACTCCATATAAGAAGAAACAGAGCAGTTTACATACATTGGGGAATTGTAAGGTCAGGGAACCAGTCTAGCTGGCTCGTACCCGTTCATAGGTTTGTAATCGATTGCAAACAAGCGCAATAGTCAATTGGGGCCAGTATTTGAAAAAAAGCCAGTTGTTTCCAACGCTGATCGGCCGATCAGCGTTGGAAATTGATACAAAAATACCACTTTTCTTGAAAATGACAGTATACCAGGTGCCATAATTTTACAGGATGCTTTAGACTGTCATTTACCAACGTCCTATTAAGGTATTTCACAAAAACTTGGTAGTTTTATTTTTCGATGTTTGCAAATGTTGTATATTCCCTTTAATTTTTTTTTTTTTTTTATTAAATTAATTTTGTTTTACTGTCTGTATTTGTTTGTTGAAGTCAAATAAATAATAACAATAATAACATGTGCGCATATTTTTTTTGAGATGCATGCTATCGATGTGGAGTTTCGAGTTCGTATCATTATCAATGTTTTTACACACAATGATTTAGGGCCACCGTATGCAATAGAAATATCCCGCCAACATACCTTGCAAACGCATGCTGATTTATCTTTTCTGGACGTTGTGACAGACTCAAACTCTATTACCAATTATTCCAACCATACTCTTATTAAATTCCATGATTAAAATCTCGCACTGATGGGTCTCATCCCGGCAATAAACGACCAAATGTGCTCACGATCGTCACTGAAAAGTACTCACATACAGTACACACAACCACACATCCACGAGATGCACACAAATGACACACCATTGAAAAATAGTTTTAGTCTGGTCCTCAAGTACTCCACTGCGCACACTGCATTGTTGTCTATCAGGTGCTTGACTGCATTCTTATTAGACTTGTCACCAGTCCATCCATTATCGCGACATTTCGCCAGAAGTTTTCGGTCAAAAACGATACTTTAGGCCAAAAAAAAAAATAAGTCGGTCTCTGGTCAGCGCGCGCGTCGATTTTAACCATGCGCGTCGATTTTAACCATGCGCGTCGATCTTTTTTTTTTCCCAAAATGTGCCGCGGTAGCTCTAACAGCGCCCTCTATTTCCGCACTTCCTCAATTTTTTTTCCACAGAGCACCAAGGAATGGGAAATTGCACCAAGGCAAATGATCGAAAGTACCAAGGCAAATTATGGAGGACACCAATTGTACACGAGGACACCAAAAAAGCAAAATAGTACCCACCTTGTATGTACAATTCAAGCTTGAAGGAAAAAAAAAAAAGCCAAAAAAAAAAAAAAAAAAGCCGCGTGGCCGCGTCAATTCCGGAACTTTGGTCTGACCAGAAACCTAATTTTTTTTTTTTTTGGCCTTACAAGTATTTTTTTTTTCGTTAGGTAGAAAATGGGAAAATCGTAATGTTTTAGTGGCAAATCGTATTTTCGTAATTTAACAAACAATTCGTAATAATTACGAAAAATTAGTAACAGTTGGCAGCTATGGATACCCCTAGCACTGCTTCAGGCCATTAGGAACCAAGTCCATCATACTCCATCAATATTTAGTCACGCCAGGCCTTCTGGACCAAGTCCCCCAAAATCCACGAAAATGGGAGGATGGATTTTGATGGAGTTGGGGTTAATTCATTTATAATTTCTGAACTGGAGTTTAATTCAACAGACACCATTCCTTGCTTTCCAATAGATGTGCTTCCTATTTGACTTTTTAAGGATTGTGGTACAACAATGTAACATTTGGCATTCCAGATTCGCTGACATGAATGCATGGATTTCTAATTGGTAGTTCATTGCTTTTTCTCACAAGACTTGTCAGTGTTTCAGTGGTAATACTTACGATAGTAGCCTTCAGCGTCGTCCCAGTTGTCAGTCAAACTGGGGTTCTCATGGGCAGTCTGGCCAAGCTTCTCAACCGTTGGACTCTGAGAAGTGTAACAAAACATTATACTATTTTATTGAATTCTTTTAACAACATAACATAATCGTAAGCATGCTTAACCCTTAACCCTAATCCACTAGGCCCTTTTGCTAGGAACCATCCTCAATCCTCCTCAATCCTCCAAAAGTTTGCACTTATGTTCCAATGAAGGGTACCCACTGCCTCGATCCTTCAAAACCTTAAACAGCCCTGCCTCTCAAAATGCATTCAGCCTCAATCCTCCACAATCTTCCTCTTCTTTAAACACCATTCAGCCTCAATCCTCCAAAATCAACCAATACTGGTGTCCATGTGCCCTCAATCCTCCACAATCCTCCAAAATTGTATGTTGTATTCAGCCGCAATCCTCCCAAATCCGCCTCCTTTGAAGATTCCATGACAGGAAGGGAACATCCGATTTTGTCAAGATAGAATAGTTGGTACTTACATCATAGTTGTCGCCAAACATATCTTTTTCACTAAACATGTCCATGCCATTGCGGGCTTGAGCTGAAAAGAAAATATTCATCAAGAATTACTACAAAAAAAATATCTCTGCGGTGAACATCAAGAAATAAACCCCAAACCATTAAACTTAGTTCACTTCAAATAAATATTTGAAGTTTGAACAAAGACATTGACCAGGGCAAGATTTGCACCCGTGACCTCTGGTAAACCGCACCGGTGCTCTACCAACTGAGCTATCCAGCCCTATATTGGCGGTCTTAGGCCCAAATCCCCCTCCTATCAATTTGAGAATAGATCACAACCGTTTGTATTCTTAGAACGCAAACTGACCTTTCGCCTCTGGTTTAGAAGCTGACAACTGGTCCTCGTTCTCTGTGTTTGTCTTCGCACTGGACTCTTGTTCTTGTGTTTCAAAAGTTTCCGACAGTTGGGGCTCGTTTAGCTTCTCAGCACCACCTGCTGGAATTGGAATGTCTCCGGAAACTCCCTCTGGATTATTAGGAAGGCTTGGTCCTTCTGTTCCAATCCTCTGGTCTGTTGCATCGTTGTCGTCTTCCCTCTTCTGGTCACTGTTGTTGTCATCGTCACTGTCACTGTCACTGCTGTCTTCGCCAGATGACGATGATGATGACGACTCCTCGTCGCTCTCCTTCTGGCTTGCAGGGGTGTTCATGCCCGAGGTGGAGACAGACTGTTCCGGGGTGGACACGCCCAGCTCGGTTGCTGTTGGCGCTACTGGGGCCTTCAGTTTCTGTGTGAAGAATGGCAGATACAGGGTGATGACAGGCAAAGTACGATGGCAGAGAATTGAACAATCTAATTTAGAAGTCAAGTGCACAGGGTGTATTGAACTGAATATCTTAACTGTTCACATACCTTCAAAAGTTCCTGTCGCTGTTTGCGTCTTCTCTCAATGATTGCCTCTTCATCTTCTTCTTCTTGGAGATCCACATCCTGCACTCTATTGGTAAGAAAAGTGAGAGATGAGGTTGAGAATTGTTCCTTAAACCCTATCTTGCCAGATGCAATAGGTGTAGAAATAAATTCTTAGACAATGGGAGTTAGTTCCATTCAAGAGAGAGCAGCCACAGGCAATGAATTGGGATAGCTGACCTGATGAATCTTGTTAACCAGTGTCTCTTGTTGCTTTTATCAGGGGTTCTAGTCAAATACCATGGAGGATACAGGGGGGAGTGTGGCCTAGTGGTTAGGGTCTGTGACCCATGATCAGAGGGTCAGAGGTTCGCATCCAGCTGCTGGCCATATACTGTGTTTTTTGGGCAAGCCATTTCACACCCACTTGCCTCTCTTCACCCAGGAGTACGAATGGGTGCCGGGATTAGCTGGGGAGTAACCTGCGATGGACTGGCATCCCATCCAGGGGGAATAGAAATATTCTTAGTCTTTTTATGCCACGAATCTGGAGATAAGCGCTGGCCTGATGGGCCATATTGGCTCAAAGACAGACAGACAATGGAGGATAAGAGTTATAATACACTCACTGAAGAAATTGTATTTGTATTTTGTAGAAAAGAAACTTAGATTACGGTATCAATTTGAAATAAAGAGAACAACTTACTCTTCTTCATCTGAGGAATCCATCTTCACTCTCTGTCCTTCCGAAAGACTTCCCTTGAATTTATCATCGGGAGTTCGATTTCCACGGCCACCTCTTCTGTCCCGACGTCTTCTGTCCCGATCCCTGTCTCTGTTGCGTTCCCACCTGTTGTTCATGTCCCTTCGTCGCATGTCTGGGGAGCGGGACCTTCTTCGCCGCCTCTCTGCCAGTTCTTCTCTAGTCGGTGAGCGGATGCGGGCAGGAGAACGAGGCCTCGGGGGCGATCGGCTGCGTCGACGGACTGGCGGGGAGTGATTGCGGTCAGTAGAGGATCTGCCAGCCAAACCAGAGGTCCTGGTACGACTTGGGGACTTACTACGGCCCCTGTTGCGTCGTGGGGAGGGGGACCTACGAGGGGGGCTTTGCTGACGGAGACTCTCCAAGGTAATTACAAGTCTGGCAGGAGAAAAAAGTTGAAAATTTTATTATGAAATCACGTTTATACAGCTTTACACATTTTTGTACAAAAGGCAGCCTTTCCATCATGCCAGCATTATCTGTGTTTTTATTTCCAAGACTGAAACAATGAAATCATGACATTTGCAACTTCTGATCAAGACCACGAATCCCACAGGAATGATGGTGCTCCATTAACAACAACAAACTGCTGTTATAACTGTCACGTTATGTTATTTATAATATTGTACACTTGCACTCATTCCAGCCTTACATTCCAGAGTCATGCCGAACCAAAAAGTATTTGGACCTTCTCTAGACAACTCAAATAGACTTAGGTTTTAGGCAGCAGAACTGTATGCATTAATTTTCAAATGGCTACTGAAACATCTGAAATCTTGATGGTGCAGTTATTCTGAATGACTGCATAAAGTTACAATTTCATGTTGTCTGCCACGCGGTTGAGTGGTGTCAAGAATTGTTTCAAACATCACAATTCTCATGTACTTCATTCAAATCTTTGGAAACATTTGGTTTGAATCTTTGGAAGCATTTGGTTTTGTGCCACTCTAAAATGCCAGTCTAAAAGGGGTGTTACTCACTTCCACATGAACACCTCCAAATTAAGCATTTAGATTTAGTGCACACCATGTACACATGTACACATGTACATGTATGCATGTTTACAGAAATGGGGTACACCTAGTCCACAGTATCAAATAACTCTCATTATAAAAAATATGAATGATAACATTAGAAATTCAAGATAAAAGCCCGAACAAAATAACTCAATATTAAAATTATATATTAAACAACCCAAAGATGACCACTTACTTTGGTTTTCTTCTGGGCGAGCGACTTCTGCTTTTCCGTCTTGGAGAAGCTCTTGGTGACCTGCTCCTCCGACGTTTAGGAGATTTACTTCTCCTTGGAGACTGACTCCTCTTTGAGGTCTGCTTGTCAACATCCACGGGAGAGGTCTGCCGTCTCTTGTCTCGTGATCTACTGCGCGATCTTTTAGAGATCCTCCTGCTCAAAGAAGATTGTTCGCTCCTCTTTATCTGATCTGATGATGTCTCAGTTTTGTCCTTCTGTCTTCTAGATGAAGGACTTGGGGATGAGCGATTTTGGCTCTTTTTTGAGGGACGCTCATGACTGACACTTCTTCTCCTGCGTGAGTCTCTGGACCTGCCAGTGCTATTTCTTATTCTGTCAACTTCAGGAGACTTTGAGTGCGCACTTCGTTTGGAATGTTTCCTTGAGCTCCCGCTTATCTCTTCGACGATGACCACATCATCATCTGAGTCCTCTTGCAGTTGTGAGTTGTCCGCAACCTGGACATCACCTTCGGACACTTGACCTTCCTCATCTGATGAGACATAACCCTTGGCGATGATGGCCATGCCAGAGGCTTGCTTGAGCTCCTCTTCATTGTTCAGACCGAGGTCATTCAAGAGCTCAGCCTGTAATAGTGCCTTCTGCTTCTCAAGATCAGCCAAGGCGGTTGTGTCTTCTCCTTCTTCATCATCTTCCCCTTCTTCCTCTGCATACGGAACCACGCTTTCTTGTTTCAGCGCCCTCCGGCTCTGATGATCACGGCGGCTGTTGGACTTGCTGCTGCTGCGTGAGGACTTCTTGTGTTTGTGCTTGTGCCGATGGCGTGACTGTCGATGGTCGTCTCTTTCGCTAGAGTGCTTCCTGTGCTTCTTCCGATGATGATGCCGGTGGTGTCTGTGACGTTTTTTGCTGCGATGGCGACGCTCACTGGCATTTTGCTCGTCGGTGCTAGCCTCTATGCTCTCCTTTTCCTTCTCAGACTTTTTTTCGCCATCTGATTCTGATTCACTTGCAGAACTAAATTTTAAAAAGGGAATTATTTACAAGCACGGTTAGTCATGTGCCATTATTTTATGTTTTACAACAAATTCTTTTGTATTCATTGATGTAATCAGGGCAGACTGGCTTTCTTCCAGTTTGCTTGTTCAAGCACACATCAAGCACCAATCTTGAACAAGTTCACGACCACACGCACGAACAAACAACATATGTTTGGTAATGAAATGCCACTAAATAAAGAAAAAAACCATGCAGTGACAGTGTGCATGCAGTGACACTCATGCCAATCCGGGCACTGTGCCGGTTTTGTGCATCAATAACATTGATTGTGTGTACTTCGTGCCATACGCATGCGCACACCAGTATATGCGCAAGCGGTGTGTTCCATCAATGGGGCTCTCGAAAGTGGTCAAAAAGCGCCCTCTTAGTTCGCGCTACGGAGCCATTGTTTTTATGGTAATCCTTACTTTTAGGATCCCCTTCCTATATAAGGTCAAAAGAATCACCAAAACAGCTGACTAAATGACACTCAAAAGTGACATTCTGATGTTTTTTGACACATTTGAACAGTTGGCAATGACACCTTGAATATCAGCAGGTTAAATTTTGTAGAAAGAGGGCAGGGCTTTGATTTATGAGGGGTTAAAGACGACGATGACAAACAGAAAATATATTTAAATAGCAAGATGGCGAAATGCAAAACAAGGTAGGAAAGTCACATTTACTTTGAAAGTGCTTTCAAAATGACAACTAATAGCCATAGGCTATGAGTTTATCTGAAGAAAAAAGACTGCTTTCTTTAGCCTGCAAAAGTCACTTTGGTACTGGACAGTCATCTGCAAAAGTCAGTTTTGAACAGAACTCGTAAAAATAGAGGTGTCCTAAGGATAAGGATTACCGTTTTCGAAGTGGCTATCGTTACGGCAGCCGTTGTTTAGCGCCCTCCACGATACTTTTTTGATACGCACGCAGGTATAATTATTTGTTTCCCCACGTTTTAGCAAGCAGTAACAGCTCAGTCGATAGAGGGTAGGATTTTGCACCACGAGGTTGCGGGTTCGCATCTCAGTCTTGCACTCGAATTTTTGGAGCAACTATAGAATGCAGGGCCACGCCGGAGCAAGGTTTTTTATTTTTCTTGGAGGCGTGGATGGAATAGGAGTAATAGATATGCAAACCTGCAAAAAAGTGCAAAGTACAGCGAATGCACTTGTCTTCTAAGCTTCTCATGAAGGATCGGAAGGGAGGGCGTGCTTGTAAATGTGTTGGGGGCACGGTACGGATCGGAGTCGCGGAGTGGCGGAGGCGCAGAGTCGTGGAGTCGCGGAGACGCGGGGCACTGGAGTGGCGGAGGCGCGGAGTCGCAGAGACTCGCGCCGATAGAGGGCGCAATTCTCGGCGGAATTTTTTTGAGAACGAAGCATCCATATCCATTTTAAATGGGCTCGCAAATTAAGAAGGGAGGAGGGCGACGGGGCACTGTCTGGAGTGGCGGAGGTGCGGAGTCGTGGAGTCGCAGAGAAGCATTCATATCCATTTTAAATGGGCTCGCAAATTAGGAAGGGACGATGGCGACGGGGCACTGTCGCGGAGTGGCGGAGGCGCAGAGTCGTGGAGTCGCAGAGTCGCGGAGACGCGGGGCACTGGATGGCGGAGGCGCGGAGTCGCAGAGACGCGCGCCGATAGAGGGCGCAATTCTCGGCGGAATTTTTTTGAGAACGAAGCATCCATATCCATTTTAAATGGGCCCGCAAATTAGGAAGGGAGGAGGGCGACGGGGCACTGTCTGGAGTGGCGGAGGCGCGGAGTCGTGGAGACGCAGAGTCGCGGAGACGCGGGACACTGGAGTGGCGGAGGCGCGGAGTCGCGGAGTCGCAGAGACGCGCACCGATAGAGGGCGCAATTCTCGGAGATATCGACTGCGGCTCCACGACTCCACGATCGATTTTCGGAGGTAGGTCGACTGCGGCTCCACGCCTCCACGCAGCCGTACGGAGGCGTGGATGTAGAGTAAAGTGGCCCTGCATTCTATAGTTCAGTGTTCTCCAACATGTAGAACAAACCTGGCGCCCCGCCATGCTTTCTGCGGCGCCCGCCATGTTTAAGAAGTCCCCGCCAAGCTTTAAAATCCTGCCGCCAGGTTTAATTTTTTTGACTCTACAGTGTACATTTACAACTAAAATAATTGATTTCAGTTGTTTTTCCACACATTAACAATGTATTTCGATGTCATCGCAGCCCGATCGGGGTTGTCTGTGCAAACACCAGCGATTCCCCATGCACTGTACGTACTATACTATTACGCGCGATGCACACACACTGACAACTGAATCCCCAGTTCCGGAGTGTGCCGATACTTCAAGTAGCGACAACCCCGCCGCAAAAATATATATCTGTATTAGTACACACACTCACCAGCAGGAGTACGTACGGCAGATCTTACGTGCAGCCAACCGACTTTCTTTTTCTCAGTGCCTGCACGCGCGGTACACAATATAATACGCATTGATGTTTTTGTACGAGGCAAACGAGCTCGAGGCCAAAACACGCGTGCACATGGCATGCATGGTGTTCCGATCATGCCGATTGTCAAAAGTTATAAATGGCGATCGTGTATGGGCCCGGTTCCCTAAGAGAACAAAATCCACTTTTAATTTATTTGACTTACCAAACTAGTTGGCGACATTTAAGAACATACAGGTAGGTCATAAATAGAGGGAAATTTGGGGGGAAAATGACGATGACAACGACAAAACGCAACATGAAAATAAAGATGATGATCGCACGGCACCGGCACCACCCATAAAATCGCGTAAAAAAAAAAACGTAAGTCGTATCCCATTTTGTTTTTCAAAATTACAAAAAGGTGTCATTTGATCTGAGAGAAGTCTGCTTTAGGTTGAAAAGGAAATTTTTGAATGCTAAAAAATCAGGGGAACTGGCCTGGAGAATCGCCTCAGATTGCACCACAGAGCATCTAGAATCCAAAATTTTCACGGGGCCCTTAAGCGGGCCCCGAACCCCACGCCGTAAGGGCTTCGCGCTCCGCGCTCGCAGGAGTCCCCGCCGACCCCAGCGCCAACCTTTAATTTTCAAAGTTTGAGAACACTGATAGTTGTACCGAATTTTTTTCCTTTTCTAACCTGAGGCTTTGGAGGATTTTTTTTAAAAGGGAAATAAAGTCCTAATTTCATAACGTTCAAATTCACTTTTTTTCCTTCTAATTTTATATTTTCTTCTAATGTTTTTATAAAAGTTGCAGTACTACCGTAACGATAGAAAATGGGAAATGCGTTACGGCTGCCGTAACGATAGCCACTGCGTACCGTTTTTATATCAAGAGATATGTGTCCGGAAACTGGACATTGTCATTAGGAATGTCGGACACTTCGCCCCATTTCCACGTCGCCCCATGTCACTTCGCTCCCAACCACTTCGCCCCATCCCCACTTCGCCCCATTCCCACATCGCCCCATCCCCACTTCGCCCCATTTCCACTTCGCCCCATTCCCACTTCGCCCCATCCCCACTTCGCCCCATCCCCACTTTGCCCCAGCCGTTACACGTAAAAAAAAATCTCATCTATTTTTTTGGCTTAAAAAACAATTTCAACAGATTCACTAATTGCTAACCAACGGAAAGAATTAGCCCATCACCAAATGAACAATTCATAACCAACCTTTCAGGCTCTCCCCTACCAAGAAAAAAGCTTGAAGTAAAAGATCCAACTTTGTTCCCAACCCGGCTATACCAACCCGTCTCCCACTTATCTGAGAACGACAATACCTTTGACATCCTAATTTCACTCTTGGAGGAACCAATCTCATCTAAATGAAGTTGTAAGTGTCACATATCAGACAAATTTTGACGGAACATTTTCCTCAAGGCAGTGAGTTCCTTTTAACTCACTGACCCATACCTACGGATTCTTTTGAATCCAGCCGCTTCCAGCGGCTGATGATTCACAAGCCAATAGGAGAGGCGTCTCTGAATGGGATAGAGCCATCATTTCTCTCATCTGTGTCTCGAGCACCTCATCAGAGAGTTTGTATTTTTCCTAAGTTTCTAGAATTGGGAGCATTTATTATCTGGGGTCTTTGGCAGTTTATTTGGTCTGCACCCCTAGCCTTCACCTTTTTCATACTACATGGGGCGAAGTGGGGATGGGGCGAAGTGGGGATGGGGCGAAGCGGGGATGGGGCGAAGTGGGGATGGGGCGAAGCGGAGATGGGGCGATGTGGGGATGGGGCGAAGTGGGGATGGGGCGAAGTGGTTAGGGGCGAAGTGACATGGGGCGACGTGGAAATGGGGCGAAGCGTCCGACACCCGTCATTAGCCCTAGGGCCTATCACAATTTTACGTGTTTATTTTTCGTTAAATTACAACAGTAAAGATTCATTACCAAAGGTACCATTACACACAATTGAAAAACCCTCAACGATCACTGGATAAACGTTAAAAATAATTTACCTGCTAGTGGCATTTTCTTCATTTTCAAGGAGGAACTGTTCTTCCAGAATCATTCGTTTCTCCATTTTAATTTGCAAACCTGTAAATAGCCTGGTACCGTATTACTAGAATACTAGAACGAAGATACTTTTAGAGAGGCGGCAGCCAGATAAAAAAAAAACGTGTTGAGAATGCCGCTACAGCTAGCCGGCTACACATGTGTCTACTGCGGTTCCATAAGCACGTGTGTAATTGTAAGCCATAGCCAGACTGGCCTCGCTTCATTTACTTCTGCGGCGGAAGACAGACGTCTTCGTTCACTTCGTTGAGTCTGCCATTCCGAGCTCCAGTCTAGTCTGTAGTTACATATGTAATTGCATAAAATCGCACTAAGTGTATGCGCACAGTGTTACGTACACACGTCCACCGGGTGGGTTTGGTCGCCTTCGTTCTACTTGCCGTGCTTGACAACTGATTTTACACCCAAAAATGTCAACCGACAAGGAGCCTGCCAAGGCACAAAAAGGAGGACGCAATCATGCTGGAGCTAAGGAGCTTGCAGGTTACTACTCGAGTGGTAAGTAAAAATAACATGATTTGTGAACGAGTTGCTGCTGCGCTTCAAACGGCGTTTTTTTCTAAATTTCTGGGAGTGTTGTGCACTTTCTTGCAATTCACACGCAATCTTAAGAATGAGCGCGCATTCTTAAGAACGAGTGCGCATTCTTAAGAATGAGCACGCCATCTGAAGAATGAGCGCTCACTCTTAAGATTGCGTGGGAATATCACGTGCTCTTTTGACAAGATAGAATCCAGCTCTGCGGCGTAATGGTGAGGGTGTGAACAATTAATTGGTGGCAATTTAAGTGGCAAAATAGCATTAGCGCTATGGGATTTCAAAGTATTCATTCTCATTCTTCACATTCTTCATTCTTACGTCCCCCCCCCCCTTTTGTTATCCCAAAATTAGAATTCTTTCCACTACACTATTGTCTCTCATTTTTTCCCGGTCCCCCGAATACGTGTATAGGCCTACTTTCATATCCACTCTTCTTTTCATCGTTATATCTCAGGTAAGTGACCTTGTGTTGCAACAGTATAATTATTGAGAATCAGTGAACGAGGATTCAGCTAGACTTGCCAAGCGGGGCCGGTGCTCGGCATCAACAAGACCGTTATCTTGTCGCGCATTCTTAAGAATGTGCATGCGCATTCTTATGATTGTGCAAATGGGGGTCAGACAAGTCGACCGTTGAGACAACTGGACTCGGGACAAGTCGACCGTTGAGACAACTCGACCGTTGAGACAACTCGACCGTTGAGACAACTCGCCCGTATGTGCGATAAATGGAAAGACAAGTCGACCGTTGAGACAAGTCGCCTCGCATGTTTTGGGCCTAGTTTCGGGGATAGTACCGTGGATTTTGACGCCAGCTGATCGCCGTTTGGGAGTGATGACACATACCGTGCACGGTGACATCGTTTTTGCCAGCACTGTGCGCCCACTTATCTCATCCCCGGTCGGTCAACGTGGCCGTACCGTGCACAGTGACATCGTTTGTGCCGGGCCTGTGCGCCCATTTGCCGCGCCGGTCGACCTGCCCGCGTGTCGGGCCCGGCCCGGTCCTCGCGGCCGGGCGGGGCGCACCGGCCCGACGCGACGCCCTCTGTATATCGAGTATGCCCGCGCCGCACCCGTGATCGGTCTTGCCACAGATTTGTGCAATTTTTTCTGCTCCACGTGTATTCATTTCCATTAAGTTGAGCAGTCTCAACGGTCGAGTTGTCCCGAGTCGAGTTGTCTCAACGGTCGACCTGTCTCAACGGTCGAGTTGTCTCAACGGTCGACTTGTCCCGAGTCGAGTTGTCTCAACGGTCGACTTGTCTGACATTCGTGCAAATCACAAGAAAGCACACAACATGGCCATCACTTTTTACCCTGTGCACAAACCCTATGCATGGGACTGGTCTGAAAATTTCTGTTTTCTCAGTAAAAATTTAAAATTTGTCACTGCTAATTTCGACTTTTTATGACATATTGTCACTTTCTGATAGCTGATAGGCCTAGGTCATTTAAGGAAAAATAAGTGATGGGACTGGTATGGGAATATTTCCCTTGTTTTTCTATTGCATTTTGTAAGCCGGGCCAGACAACTCAATTAACTCGACCGCCAGGTACGTTATCAGCCACTAACGTACCGATCGTCATTGAGACAACCTCGACCGTCGACAATCCACTTCAACCATTGTGGAGACATCTTGACCGTCAAATAAACCAACCTCCGGGCTGTGTACATGGGTTTAAATAGGCCCACATCTGATTCCTCTAAATGTTTTGGGTTTTTTTTAAGTTTAATATTGATAGGCCTAGTGAAACTGAAAGTCTGTAAAAAAGTTTCTGTAACATTTTTGTAATGAAACACTATGCGTTGTTTTCATGTGCATTCTACATGTAGCGCATGGCACTTTAACAACTAAAATGCCATTTTTGTGACTGAAAATTCAAGAACTTCCTACTCCTAGTAATGCGTTTTCCTTAAAACTGTTACTGACTACTGTGTAAAGCTTGTGTTCTGAATGTTCTTGTTGGTTCTTGTCCATGTGTAGCCTGTCAAATACAAATTTGTGTTTAACTGGTAGTATATTTATTTGCAGACGTACATGTAGTCCGAAAATTTGAGACTCTCAATACTGTGTATGAGAGTCCCAAAACTTAAGGTATTGAAAACATGCAAAACAAGAAAATAGACTGGCACCTAAAACAACCAGTCCAACACAGCTTCAGTACTGCATCAATCAACCATGCCAAAAGAATTTTAGGTTACAGACCAGTAAATAAACTTCCATAGACCTCAATGGTAAATGCTCCCACTTCAGAAATTCGGGAAAAATACTCACAACTCTCCAAGGTGTTCGAGACACACATCAAATTAAAGCTTATTTCATCATCTTTCATTTTCTTTTCAATTTTCGGGGGGTCAACTGATGACTTTTAGGAGAAATTTCCATCCGAAGATGATCACCCCTGAAAATAGTCCTGAAGCCCATCGCCATTTTGAAAAACGATGCCTACACTCCATTGCAAAATAGAGCGCTTTAAGGGCCCCAATTTCATCCAAATTGAACAGAACTACAAGCTCACAGTCATGTGCATGGCTTCCACCCATATTTTTTTACCAACCCTCAAGTTCATGGCCCACAGCATGCTCAAATACTGAAGATTTTGAGGGCATACAAATCGTGATTTGGCCGGCGTAGGCAATTTCGGACCGATTTACTGGTCTGCAACCTTAAAAAACATGTGGCATGAAGCGGGAACTAGTCTCAATTTACTACACATTTCTCCATAGTCAAGCCACCAGACTATTGACACTGAATGAAGAGGTCAGTCTTTTCAAATAGTTGGACCATAGTTGGACATGTCTAGTATTGAGCCCCATTTTGAAATCCCTTGACTTCCCTCTCATGTGCAAAATATTGAAGAAAAGTCTCCTTTAAAAATTGAATTGAGTCTGCAAACTTGGTTGGTGAAATACTGAGGACATTTTCTTTGCCCCAGTGGAATTTTTGGAGAAATTTGCTGGCTAAAGTGTGAGTAAAGTGGGCCTGATTTAGTTTTGCACGTTCCAGAGCACTCCAGAGCCCTGTCTGACATACATGTAACTCTTCTAGTGCTACGTTTCGTACCATATTGAAACTGATTGTCAAATGTCAAAAACCATTCTGTTTACAACTGATGCATGTCATGTCATGCATACATGTGTGTATACTTTAATACAAATGACCGTTCAGCCTAAACAAAGCAAAGAATTTCATACACGGACATCACTCATTTTTCCGTGCAGTGACCTAGTATCAGCCATCTGAGAGTGATAATATGTCCTAAAAATGTACCTTGTCTTACGCTTCAAATTGAAATTACTGGTGCAAAATGTTGGAAAAAAGTCTCCTTTAAAAAGGCATTGAGACCTCAAATTTGACTGGTAGAATACTGATGACCTTATTGTTGCCTTGTGAATACTTTAGAAAATGTTGTGGCCAGATTTGTTTTGCATGTTTTTCTGCACTCAAGGTCTGCAATTAAATATAAAAACTCTGAGTCCCATAGAAATCATTTGGAGACTTACCTGGGGCAATCATTTTAGTCCACTGCCGACTGCGTGCATCATTAACAGGCATGCAACTTTTCCTCGGATCAGCTGATTTCCTCTTTTTTCACTTCCCATGCGTGCCACTGAAAATAGAAAAACACTGTACAAAGTCTTGGAAAGATTTGAATTTCCTCTTTTTTTTGTGACTTCCCAGTTGCATGCCTGCATTAAGTATGGTGCCCAAAATTGTTAGGTATAATGTCAAAATAGATGTCAGCGCAAATAGATGCATAAATAGTTATAGGATTCAGGGGTGTTCAACTTACACTTAAGTAAGAAAAGTCAATCAAATAATATCTCTTCTCATGAAATTGACTGTTGAGTAACAATTAGCCTACTGCATGATTTGTTTTTTTCTTCAGGTAAGCGAGTTCAAGAATACATCTGTGTTACTGTAGCCTCCAGTCTGCTAGTCTTCAATGCCTACCATATCATTCTGAACTTTGATGTTGAGAACTGGAAATGGCATTTCGCTGCCGCAAGTAAGTACAGAGATTCAATTGTGAATCATTTACTCACGAATATGTATAAATCTAAACAAAAGGTTTTAAAAATTGGTTGAAGGTGTACGGTTACTAAGACTACTTTGAATCTAAGTAGCAATAAGAAAAGTTGTACTGTTTGTTAAGAGTGATTTGTCATGGTCACAAGAACCAGAGATTAACCCTAACCCACCTCAATTCTCCAAAATCTTCCTGGCAGTTTTGGATCCTGACTGAGGATGAATGGTGTTTGAGAAACATGTGGATTTTGGAGGACTGAGGATGAATGGTGTTTGAAGAGGATATTTGGAGGATTAAAGCTGAATGCATTTTTGAGGCGCTGGGTATCCTTCATTTGAACATGAGTGTTAGATTTTGGAGAATTTTGGAAGATTGAGGATGGTTCCCTGCAAAAAGGGCCTAGGGGGTAAGGGTTCATTCTTACTGTCTCAGATGCTTCAGATCCACTTAGAGGTGTTGAGAATTTTGGAACATTTAAGATTGATCTAGCTACCTCTTAAAAATTTGACTACATGAAATGTTGAATTTGGTTCCTACACAGCATTGTTTTTTTTTTTTTTTTTTTTTTTTATTAGGATACGGCATTGTCATGATTTTGACTAACTTTTCCTTTTCTTTCTCTCGCTGTTTTCTTTTCCAGTTCTGGCCATTGTTGTGTCAGATTTTGCCTCTGGACTGGTGCACTGGTTGTCTGACTCCTACGGATCAGTGGACATGCCTGTGTTTGGAAAGGTAAGCACACTTCTGACATTGATGGTGACGTTCATAGTTTCTAAAACAGGTGGGGTTCATAGTCCAGAGTACAAACACTAGACGATACTGTTGCGGGCTTGCAAAATATACTTACTATTGTCTGGAGGACTTGTGGAAATATAGTGAATGATTATGAGTATCTAGTTCAAATATTGCAAAATCTTTCCATGGCCAGATATAAAATACTACAAAATATCTTAGCCCAGACGTTGTGTTAACCCTAACTTCAGATTCCTAACTTCACCTAAAGCTACAAAATACTACTGCTGTAGTAGTAGTAAACTGTAGTTTGCAGTACTTCAGCATATATTGTGGGCACAGCGCTCAGTATTTTTATCCCCCTGGCTTTTAAGCCATACAGGGGGATATTGCAATCGCGTATTCCTTCTGTGTCCGTGTGTGTAGTATTATTAATGACTCTAACATATGTCAGTAGTAGGTGTACTATTAATGACTCTACATGCTGCAGTGGCAAGGGGAACGCACCAAGACTCACTGACATTAGGCCACACTGAGTCCCGTGTCTCACCCAAACTCCCCATTCAACCCAAACCCCCCATTCAGCTGAGAACTGGTACCTGCCGGGTGGACAATCAAGGCTGTCACTGAAACTTGTTCTTACTAACTGCCTGTACATGTATACAGACTGCCAGGATGCCAGGCAATGCCAGGGGGATCGCGCAACTTGCAGTATTTTTTAGTATTTGGGTACTGCATACATCATTTCTGTAGTACTATGTACATGGAGTATGTGATACTGTACCTCAAAGTAAGCTTAATAGGGGTTAGGGTTAAAGGACAGTATACTGGAGAAGGCCAAAGGAGAAGAAAAAAAATGAGGCAAACCCTCGATAGAATTTGTTCATGTCAACCTTACAATTGTCAGCCAGTTAATAGTTTACATTATTGGACATTTGATAAAATCAGTATCTCTGAAAATTTTACTTATTTGACAAAGAAATCAGTTGCCTGAATTTAACCGAATTAAAACAATGCACAATTGATGTTGAGCTGATACATCCCCTTATTCTCAAGGCGGCCATTGAGCCTGTTGCCGGAAGAAGAGAGTTCATTCAACAGTAACAGTATATTTCTCCAATAAGTTTGTAAGTTACATGTTAAATTCCCCCCCCCCCTTTTTTGTCCCTGTCAGGCTTTCATCAGGCCTTTCAGAGAGCATCACATCGACCCCACGGCAGTCTGCCGTCATGACTTCATCGAGGTCAACGGCGACAACTTCATGCTGACCGTCCCCTACTTCTCCTACATGGCCTACAAGTTCATCTCCCACACCCCGGCTGAGATCCAGACCTTCGTCGTCTTCGAGTCCTTCATGCTGACGCTGGGCTTCTTCGTCATGCTGACCAACCAGATCCACAAGTGGTCCCACACCTACTTCGGTTTGCCGCGCTGGGTGACCCTGCTCCAGGATCTCAACTTGATCCTCCCCCGTAAGCATCACCGCATCCACCACGTGGTGCCCCATGAGACCTACTTCTGCATCACGACGGGCTGGCTGGATTACCCCTTGGAGAAGCTGGGCTTCTGGCCGGCCATGGAGGCCATCATCCTGAGGCTGACGGGGATCAAGCCCCGGACTGACGACATGCACTGGTGCAAGAAGGAAGAGATCAGATAACTTGGAGTCGAGTCAGTGTCGTGGAGCTGCTCAACAGTAAAGGCTGGTTCATGCCTAAATACCATTTTAAGATGAATTTGAGTCAAAAAAAATAAACCCAGTGAAATCCACCCATGTTAAAATGCATAAATCACAGAGTAATACGCCTCTATCATGATTACCACTATGCCAAAGAAGTTGCTATAACAAATCTCCTTTTGCTCCAAAATGTATGCACAACTACAGTAAGCATTGGCTTCCGAAAATCACTTTAAAGAATTATTTTGTACTAGGATATTAATTTAGCTGTGCATTCACATTCACACTGAGCATGAACCAGCCTTTAGTTAGAACAATTTCTACAAGAACCAAAAAATAATAAAAAGCTCAAACTTAAAGCATATTGCAGTGTCTTTGTAAGCAAATTTCTCCTCTGAAGTTAGAATGTTCTTTGGAATTGACAAAAGCTTTGTGGGTAGATAATTATGTTCTGAGCAGTTTCATGATATTGGTCTGTTTAATAAGCCTTTCTAAGAAGTTTATTGGACACAATCAACGGTTAACACAAATTTCAAGACTTCTTCTAGACGTAATTAACTAAAATTCTTTCAATTGAGCAAACAGACGACATGGTCTAGAGTCACATTTTAGCTTCACAAACAAATCACCCATACTTCTCTTAGACTTGATGTCAAAAAAGAAGAAGAGATATATCAGTAATTTGTGTGTGTCCAAAACACCGGTGGTGAAGTTGAGTCCTTTTCCCAATGAAACTCCAGGCCTGTGTGCTGTGCATGCTGATTTGACTCGAGAGTTGTGTAATAGTCTTTAATTAATGTGAACATCTTCACAAATTATGCACACACTAGTGTTTGATTAGTTGCTCAATGTTTAATGTCATCACAGGACTTATAACTAATGTTTTAATTGTATACATATTAATATTAAGTCAAAATGGCTGTGTTGCCCCCTCCCCAATATTTTAGTTGCATTTTCAGGTACCTTTCCACAACTTGGCTGTTTTCTTTGGACCAATCCGGGCACGCTGTCACTTCTATCGCGAAGGCCCCCTTCAATGGTGAAAGCACAATAGCTTGCACAATACTTCCGCCTCGTGTGTGTGTGTGTGCAGTGATCACTATGACCAGATTCGTCTGTAGGCATTCTCCTCTATGTGATTTGTAATGTTTGAGATCATTACATGTTGGAGATATGGGTGGTACGCTGGTGCATTCTATGCAATTACCGGTACATGTATGTACATATACAACTTTCTTAAAAACTTTATTGCTGGCCTAGTAAGTACATATACTGAGGGGATTTGCCATGCTATTATAAAGGCACAGATTCACTGCACACTACATATACAGTGTACGTTGTATCAAAATCCAACAGTAATAATAATAACACCACGACAATAATTCTGATAATTGCTGACACAGAGATTCCATTACTGGGGGGCGTTTGGGGAGCATACACTGATTCCGTGTCTGGATTTGTCGATATGCACTACTCCAATACTATAATCTTGTACAAAAAAAACCAGTTTATGTATTTTACTGTGGTGAAAGTTTCCTTGTTTTAAGCTTAGAGATTGGTGGTGAGATATTAAATACGGGAAAAATAACAAACAAAAAAATTAGTATTTATTGTTCAGAATGTAAAGGCGAAATATTAAATATGTACCTGTATTGCATGAATAGGTTTTCAATTGAAATCAACTTGCTAATCCCAGCTTTTTTAATATTTTTAAAATTATCATAAACAGTGAAAGCCCTTTTGATTCCCATATACATTATGATCTTTAATTTTGAGGTTCACCTTGCCTAAATAGGTTGCTTGAAATGGTCATCAAATTGTGTGTGTACTACAGAATACACGTACGTACTTCATGATTCCTGAGGTATCATCGGGGATAAGTTTAATTTTTTTTTTTTTTTTTTTTCCATTTGTGTAGCATGTTTAAAGATGAATTAAGATTTATTATGTTAGTGTTGTTAAATGCTCTTTGTGTGGTTACATTTCTGCCCAAGTCTTAATGCCAAAGCCAAAATTGGTTTGTCTATGAAATACTTCAATTTTTCCTCTGTTCGATTTCAATCGTCAGTCATGATTCTATTTTGTCCTAGTGTCTTGAAATGGTGTCAGTTGCACATATCGCCTACAAGTACACAGTGTGATTTCAAGTGTATTGCATGGTGTTTATTGATTTACATGTATTTTAAACACCACTATTGTCAGAAAAAAAAATTATTAGTAAGTTAATGTTTGTTTTTTGAACCAAAGAATCAAATCTTGCAGATATTATACAGAAGGCACAGTGATAACAATCCAACACAGTTTAAAACAATTCTATTTAAAACAACTTCTATTAAGTCACACAAAAACACACAATGTGAGTTTTTGGATGACAAACTGCATGCAATTTATTGTATCTAGAATCTGCTCTACAGAGCGTCATTTAAGTTTAACAGTTGCATCAGTTTGCATGTCAGAAGTGAAAATGATGCAAATGAAATATAAGATTGGAAGGTTTGCAAGGGGAAGTGGGCAATAAGTGTATGTTTACGGTTGCATCATGTAACAAATCCCTTTTGTGAGGTTCCAAAAATAACTTGGGGAAACGCAATGTTTCAGACAACATGTCTCCTTATGATGGCAGGCATGCAACTTTTCCTCGGATCCGCTGATTTCCTCGTTTTTAACTACTCATGACTGCCATTACAAATTGAAAAACACTGTACAAAGTCTTGTGTGGTTTGGAATTTCCTCGTTTTCTCTAAATTCTCAGTTGCATGCGTGTTCAGATGGGCAGAGCGTATAAATGTACTGCCTGAAACGTTGAGTGTCCCCAATTCTTTTCAAAACTTTACAAAACTCACGAAGGAAATTTGTTGCATGGTTCAACTGTAAATGTACTCCTATTGACACCAATTATGCTGTGTGAGATTTGGAAATAGTTTTTGCCATTATATTAATGGCTCTTGCAGTTATTTATTTCTGTGCATTTTGTACTTATATTTTTTTGTCAGGATCCAATTTTATGGAGTTTCCCATGTCTCACAAAGTTGCTTAGGTGATAGCATGGAATTATGCTAAGCAGTATTTCCCGCTTAGCAGTGCCACAAAATTGGACCCAAAAATGAAAGCATGGCTGTTAAACTAAAGCATTGTGTGACATTTGCTTTATTATTAATGGGAAATGGAATTATTAAATAATGGCAAATGTATTATTGGACTTTTCCCAAAAACTATCAATTACAATTATGTTGGAACATTGGCTTGGTGTATGGCTAATTTTCTTTTACTAAAAAGAATTTAAATTATTTTGATATATCATCTTGTCATTAACCAATAAGTTTGAAAATATACTTGCATTTTAGTTCTGAACTGGTATGAGAATTTGTTTCAATATGTATAACAGGAACGTTTTTATGACAAAGTTTTGAATCAGTGAAGTGTTCTTGCATGATCAAAAGTAAATGCCCAGTTATTGGTGGCGAGTTGCCACGGATTTCTAACATTTTTGGGGGTTGATTGGTATTACATTCTGTCTGAAGGTTTCTTGTCTTTTATAGAATTTATTCCATTTCCTCTGTAATATACCTGCCAAACAGAATGTCATAGTGAAAGTAGAGAGATGCATTCAAATTGAAGGTTTATAACCAATTAGTTCGGTGTGATACAATTCAATGTACACATTGTGATTGTGATTGTTGGAAGATTTTTCAAAGAATTATCACCAAGTTATAACAAAGCAGGACTTAATGAATAAACTAGGGTAAAGATACTTAAAACTTGTCCTCGGCGCCTGTTGTGCCATTTCTGTTCATGCAATGCAGAACAAGATAGAGACACCACCCATGCACATTTCTTCTTTGCCTACAGAAGTCGGGGCCCGTGTGCCCAGCATGCTTCTTAAGACCCTCACCCCTCCCCTACCACCCCTTTGTTGGCCCATGCACAGCCTCATTTACTCCACCACAGAAAACTGATACCCAAGTCTATCATTCTCCGATAAAAAAAAGACATACAAGTCTAAACTTTACAACTCTAAACAATATCTTGGCAGCAAGAACAGTAATGACTAATACACTCTCCGTACTATTGTCGACTTTGACCTCGCTTTCAATTGCTGTTTTCCCTGCAATATAAAAGTTATTCACTTTTGAATAAGACGCCGAACGTTTACTTCTGGAATTATTTCGTGCAAAATTCGTAGTACTTTACCGGCTTCCACAATAATTGGGCTTTCGCAGGGTGGGTTCATTAAATGTGTACGCAAAATGAAAGAAGCCTTTGTCGGAGGATTGAAGACTTCCAACATTAATAAGGGAATAAATGTGTGCTCCGGAGGTTTTTATCACTCGTTTAATACCGCTTAGAGTCTGGGTGCTGATAATTACCCGAGCCGGAGGCGAGGGTAATTATCAGCACCCAGACTCTAAGCGGTATTAAACAGAGTGATAAATACCGACCGAGCACATATTTATTCCCATTCATAAATACCTTATCCGTAAAAAAATATCAAATAATTCGTTCAAAAAATCCCGATTTTGTTCAACAAGTTCACTTCATGCTTTTTGAAACATCCCTCTAGCAAAATAATGGAGTGTTCAGCTGGCGAGTAAGATGTAAACAACCCTTTTATGGAGATTGACGCGCGCGTAACATGTTCTGCGCGATGTCACGCAGAACGCACCTGGGGCGTTGCGTTTTGAATTTAGAACTATAAAATTCTGACTCGCTTGTAGTGTTGCGCATGCCTACGTGAGGATTGTGAACGTTCAACCAATGAAACGGTAAGAGGCACTGGATTTTTAGGAGTCCACATTTTATTGTGACACTGAAAAAGTGTTTAAGACCAGCTAGCCATGTCTTTATCATCCGTTTAAGACCGGCCACGTGACGGGCTTTCGACCAATAGGAATAGCTAAACTGTCTGAGGTATTTATGAATTTTGAATAAATCAGTCTTTTGTCCGTTAATAATACATACAAATTGAAAATCGTTAGGAGAAAAAAAAATCAATTCTTTTTGGAAGAGCACGGGACATTCATCAACTTTAAAGTTCACCCAGTACGTATTTCAAAAGACGATTGTTTAATCTTTATCTCAGTGACATTGAACAATGCTCCTCCCCGTACCTGGTACAGTGTGCTCTTGGCGGCGTTATCGAGCCTACTAGTTATTGTACAATGAATGACCTGAGTTGCGAAAAATTGTGATATCAGTCTTATCAGTCACTTTGACCTTGGATACGGTGCAATTGCCCTTTCGGAAGCTGCGTTTGGTTGTCTGAAATTCACGATATGACGTGCTTGAAAGAAAGGATGACCTTTACACTTTGCGGGCGGGGGGGGGGGGGAGGCGTCCAATGATAATTGAATACGTTGAAGCTGCAGCATACATTTTCACACGTTCGAAAGTTCAACAGACTTTTTCCATTCCAAAGCGCTGCAACGAAATCCTTTGCGATTTACATGTTTCGAGAAAAACAATCGAGACTTTGCTGCAGATAGAAGGCGAAAATAGTCGATCTAGCAGGTGTTTTTGTTTATAGCTCCATGGTTGGCTCATGGAAAATATTTCTAAACCTATAGACTGAGAGCTTGATAGGGTTTAATCAAAATTTTGGGAAATCCCCAGATTGTCTTAAAGCATAGTATCATCGACCCTGATCACAGAATGGTCAGTCTTAAGTTTCGCTAGATCAGACAAAGGCCCATTGGCGCCATGCCAAATGTGGCTAATTTTGCATTTAATCAAACTTTTGAGAACAAGAACAAAACCAGTATCATTTGATAGCTTGGAACTTGTAGATAATGGAAATATAACTCAAGAGCGATTTTAGATCAGACTAATTAACTTAAGAGCGGCCTCAAAAGCGCGGAGGGTGGGCGTGGCCGTCACTCCCTCTTTACTTTTTCCTTTTCGCTGATACCGTTGCAAGGCAACGGTAAAACAACGGTAAAAGAGAAAATGAAAGCAGTTTGTTTTGATGCCTTGGCACTTGTGGAACATGAAAATATTACTTAAGACGGCTTTTAGGTCAGACTAATTACCTTAAGACCGGCGGGAAAAGCCAGAAAGGGGCGGGGCCTCAACCCCCCTCCGTGTACATTTTGGCTCCTATCGTCGCAAAGCATTTCTGCCAAGTTTCTTTGACAGCTGTTCAGATGCCTTGCGGTTATTTTGACAACAGGTTTATGAAAATGTGGCATATCTTCATCACAAAATGTTCAAATGTTAACTTTTCGCATTGAAAAGTACATGCAAATGAAAGCGTGCATCAGAGTGCCGACTAACAGATCGAATAGAAGCTGTGCAAGTGTAATTCAAATTAAAAATGGGGAAATGAAACAATATTTAATAATGCCTTGGCACACGTGGAAAATGAAAATATAATTTAAGAGTGATTTTTGGTCAGACTAATTAACTTATTGGTGCGCGAAGTGCGCGGAGGGGGCGGGGCTGCAACCCCCCTCCATGTACATTTTGGCTCCTATCGTCGCAAAGCATTTCTTAAATTCTGCCAAGTTTCTCTGACTGTTGTTCCGATGTCTTGCGGTTATTTTGACACCATGTTTATGGCAATAAGGCATACCTTCGTCACAAAATGTCCAAATACCAAAACAGGTATAGGCTTAAATGCTAACTTTTCCATTACATAGAGCATGAATATCGTACATCAGAGGGCGCATGCATATGAAAGTGCCGACTTTTACTGACCACTATAACAAAACGTTTTAACAGGTTGAATTGAAACTTCACAGATGTACTACACTTATTCTGGTGTGAGTGGTGTCCATTTAAATAATGACATATGTGGAAAGACTTGAACATTTAGACCTCCGTTGCCCTCAGCTGGGAGAAATTACTGTGTATACTTTATACCTTGCCAATATAATTTTTATTCTTCAAAACGCAACATTTTTCGTGAACCAAGCCACAACTATAAAGTGAAAAAGGACGGCATTGCAACTATTGTTCTACACTCCTGTTATAAATTTAGACCCAATTAGACAATGGGGTGCCCTCTGACCTCTATTTCTCTTTTTCTAGTGGCAGCCGCAACAATGATACGACTGGATGGAAGGCTGTGGACCGAGATGCCAAATTCAAAGCTTGGTGTGAGATAGTGCTATAGCAGCAAAGGCATAAGCATATGGTTTTGCTTGATGGGGGGGGGGGGGGGGGGGGGGGTCATGCCGCCCGGAAAGTTGTTGACAAAATTAATGAGACGAATTTGTAGTTATTGCAGTGCATGGGGGCGCAGTGTTTAAACTCAAAGCAACAGATTGTGACTGATTTATGATCTTTGTACGGAATGAAAGTAGCCAAAGCATTATTTCTCGTTCGCGATAACCAGCCACATTTTGTAACCCTTTTACCAAACTCACTGGTGCACTGTTGTTATGTTTGTCTGGCTTGCCTCTTAAAATTATATTCTGTTGCGCCTGCATCGGCATGAAAACAGAGGACATGGGGATCAGATGCTCTGAAGAAAAAAAATCGTCTCTGCATCTGAATCATGACATCATGTATAGAACAACAGCAGGGGCGTAGCACGGTCATTTTTATTGGGGGGTTAAAAATTTTTGAAAAGGGCACTTGCACATCCGTTTTGAAATGTAGACAGGTTTTTTTCTCCGGACACTTGGCCTCCGTAAAATTAAAAGGCGGGAGGGGGGGGGGGGGGCTGGTACTATCTGTCGATGGGGGCGCTGTAGCCTCTCAGTCTACTAGAGATGATGAAATGGTACATGTACTAAAAAACAAAAATAATAACAAAGGGTAAATACACAACGTCCGCTACAGTTGGCCGAATTAGTTGCCTCACGAAACTTTGCTGCAAATAGAAGCGAATGCAGTCGATCTAGGTGTGTTGTATAGCTCCAAAGTTGGCTGAATTACAAATGTAGTTGCCCCAAAATTGTGTAATGAATTATGAGGGGCGCGTGCAGTGGATGGCCTTTTTCAAGTCACGATAGTGCTTCTCCGATCATTGCTCTTGAGTGGAAATCGCCAAACATACAGGGGATTAAGGTTTGGCTTAAGAGGGGTTTATTTTTTTTTAATTATCATTTATTACACCTCTCCACTCGCTGATATAAAAAAATATTAAAAGTTTTGTTGTCAAAGGGGGAGGGTAGCAGCTTAGCAGCATGTGCTATTTATTTTCTGCATGTCTTTCCGGCCCAAGGAGGGGGTGGGGGGGGGGTAGAAATCTCATAGAGGAATGGACCTCCTAACACCCCCGGCCCCGGCCCCGCCCCCGGTAAACTTTAGTCAGCAAGTTGCTTCTACCACAAGAGGGCGCCGTTCAAGATGGCAGCCACCATGGCGAACGCAACTCGAGCCACTGTCTTGAAGCTATACCGCGAAATATTGAGAGAATCTAAGAAGTTTACCGGCTATAATTACAGGTAAATGAATTATGAATTACTAGAGAGTGGATAGATGCTCGATGGCTTATAGAAGGATGCAAGATTGCCGCGCTTATAAAGCACATAAGTCGATTCGACACTTGTCTTTAACTCGCGCATCGCCGCATGTCATGATGTGCAAAATTTATAAACCGACGTAGCCTAACCGAATGTCCATTCTATCTTAACAGAGAATATGCATTGAGGAGAACAAAAGTTGCTTTTCGGGAGAACAAGAGCTTAACTGACGAGGCAAAGATCAAGGCATTGATCCAAGAGGCCGAAGAGAATCTGCAGATTATCAAGCGACAGGTAAAGAGGATTAAGGATAAGATTAAGGATTAAGATTAAGAAAAGAACAAGAAAAAGCTCATGTGAACAAGAAAAGTATGTGTTGTTGACTAGACCCGTGAACTGGGCTATATACATAGCCACGCTTCAGTCAATAGTAAAAACACTCTATTGTGATCCGCGGTTACTAAGATGGAGTGACCGTTCTAGCTGAATTTCGGCTACATTTGACAGAATATTTGCATACAAAAATGAGTTGTACAGAAAATCAGTAGAATATTTTTTCGGCAGAATTATGAAGATGAAGGAAAATGAAAAAGATTAGAGAAATATGGCACATTTGGTTTGAAAAACACAATGGATTGGAACAGCAGTATATACTGGATGATTTGGCAGACTTTCGAAGTGGATTTAGCAGAATTTTATATGGTATCACGGTCATCCTGCCATGTAAGACGGTTAGTCGGGTACGCACTGGTGTAGTCCGAGTAACTTGGACCCAACTTATCGCCTTTTTTAACATTTGGACATGGTCTGGCGATAGTAAGGTCCAAGCTAGCTCTACTGAGTGGAGCGTTGAATTACGGGTACCCCTCCATACAAACGCTCCACCGATTTGCCATACTTTGGTAGCACCATACACGGTCGTCATGACGGTATGCATTTTGTGCATGCCCTCGCGAGGACAAGGCCCAAAAAAACTGATATTGAAAATACAAATGAGGAAGACAGTAACCCTGGATAGATCCACACATTCATGACATTCCATATGACCCCTCAAATTGTTTCAAACAACCGGTAATTTTGAAAAAAGAACAAAATAGTCTGAACTTACCGCTCACAATTAAATGTGTCTGCCGAGTTGCACAGTCTATTTCAATGACATGACTGATGCATAATTCATTGCGCGCGTGTGTGACGTCACTATTGAAGAAAAACAAGTTGCGCTTACTCAATAGCTGTTTTATGTAGTCATATGTGCCCCGCGCCGTCTGACTGTGGGTTTTTGGTGCGGGGCACATATCAGTACATGAAACAGTCATTGATTAAGCGCGACTTGTTTTTCTTCAATAGTGACGTCACACACGCGCGCAATGAATTATGCATCAGTCATGTCAGTGAAATAGACTGTGCAACTCGGCAGACACATTTAATTGTGAGCGGTAAGTTCAGACTATTTTGTTCTTTTTTCAAAATTACCGGTTGTTTGAAACAATTTGAGGGGTCATATGGAATGTCATGAATGTGTGGATCTATCCAGGGTTACTGTCTTCCTCATTTGTATTTTCTTTATCAGTTTTTTTGGGCCTTGTCCTCGCGAGGGCATGCACAAAATGCATACCGTCATGACAACCGTGTATGGTGCTACCAAAGTATGGCAAATCGGTGGAGCGTTTGTATGGAGGGGTACCCGTAATTCAACGCTCCACTCAGTAGAGCTAGGTCCAAGCTAATACCGAGACCTAGACAACACAGTCCCAAAAACCAACATTTTCCAACAAAAAAAATCAGATTTCACCTTCAAAACGGCCTCCAAATTACTAGATATGCCACCTGAGGTACAAGTAGACATCGATAATTAAGATGGTTGTACTGAAGTTTACTTACGATCCGGAAAAAAGTGAAATTTTCCGTTCAATTCTGAAGACCCCCTCTGCCTAGGTTGTCGTTGTTGTGCTCACGTTCAAAATTGCATGATAATGGCATCTGACCTCGACCTCATGCAAATTTCGTGACGGCGCGCTTGCGCATAATGCACTGCATGCACGGCAGATTCCCCTGCGCCGCGCCGACGACTGTTTCCTGATGTACAGTGCTGTGTAAGTTCGCGGTACGCCTAGGAGTCGCGCTGGCTAGCCAGGCGCATGGCTGGCGCTCTACATCAGGAAACAGTCGTCGGCGCGGCGCAGGGGAATCTGCCGTGCATGCAGTGCATTATGCGCAAGCGCGCCGTCCAGACATTTGCATGAGGTCGAGGTCAGACGCCATTATCATGCAGTTTTGAACGTGAGCACAACAACGACAACCTAGGCAGAGGGGGTCTTCAGAATTGAACGGAAAATTTCACTTTTTTTCCGGATCGTAAGTAAACTTAAGTACAACCATCTTAATCATCTATGTCTACTTGTACCTCAGGTGACATATCTAGTAATTTGGAGGCCGTTTTGAAGGTGAAATCTGATGTTTTTTGTTGGAAAATGTTGGTTTTTGGGACTGTGTTGTCTAGGTCTCGGTATTAGCTTGGACCTTACTATCGCCAGACCATGTCCAAATGTTAAAAAAGGCGATAAGTTGGGTCCAAGTTACTCGGACTAGCACTGGTGATACTCCTACCGTTTTGCGCATGCGGAACTCGGGGTACCAGAGTCTCATGCCTGTCTTTGATTTTCTGATCATTTTGAAAACATTCGTTGTGACAAAGTTGTGCCGTACTTTACATCAAATTTCTTGACAATGACAGATCCAACACTCACGTAAATTCACAGGAAGCCCAAGAAGTAAGTGATTTACCTATGGGCAAAATTATACATGGTTATATGTAGCGGATCAAAAGATAGAATGCTTTCGCTTGTATTTACCCGAGGGAAGCGCGTGGTGTTGTATACAACGCCACGTTCACGGGTCTAGTTGTTGACATATGCCATTTTTGTATTGCAAACCGCCCCCAAACCACCCTGCATTATTCTCTGTACCACCCGAGCACTTTTTTTTAATTGATGGCAGTGCGTGAAATTACAGTTGGACATCGGACATTCTCCGACCACTTTCATGGTTTGTCCGACCAAATGCAGATGTGCTCGGACAAAATGTCCGAGCGATTTATGTATTCTTTGTGGAGTTGTCTTTTTCAGAAGTATGAAATAAACGCTTGCACTCAAAAGTATTTTGTTGTTTATTTCCGATGATCCGGTCTGTAATACTTACCGTACGCTGAGCGGCTGCTAACTACATGTACGTGTTGTCTTATATTCACGCAATAGATGCAACGCGTTTACACCCCAATCATTACACAGTCTAGTACAGCACGGCGTGCACAGCGATAGATTGGCATTCGTACGTACGTGCCGTTTGCCAAAAAATAGACGTGAAATCAAGTCGATAAATTGTGTTTCGATCAGCAGTCTTCGTGTTTCTTCTACAAATCAGTTAATACAACTTTTTGTACTTTTCAAGACATTTTATGGAAATGAGCAGTGGCCGTTTGTGGAATTCCCAGTTAATTTCTATTGGGCAAAAGTGTTAAATTGGACCTGATTCAACCTCTATTCCTTGCTATAATGATTCGATCGAGCCTCTTTGGACATTCAGAACTGCAATTTCACCCAGTTTAAGTTATGTGTTCTGCAGACTTGAATCGAGTCTGTATAGTGACGAGTCGAAATATAGAGTATTATAAGGACATTGACGCGCATACATGTAATGAGAATTTAGCAAGATCAAAGTACGTTGTGTTGCGCGGTATGCTTTAAGTGCGTGATTGTTACTAAATTCTCACAACGTGGCTTACTACAGAAACGAGCGGGTGAATCACATTTGGAACGCTAAATGGCAGATCAAAACTTGACAATGGCAGAACACTTTTGATTGTGCTCGGACATTTTGTCTGACCACTTTTTTTGTCTAATTTCACGCACTGGATGGGAATTCAGGGAATGAATACACTGTGATACAATTAAGTATGTGCTAATTGGTTAAACTGTATGACAAAATTGTGTTCTTTCTCAGGTTGTTCTCAGTCAACTTTACAAGGATCCGTCTCTGGTGATTGAAGGAGAAAATGCAGGACAGAGGTAGCATCAACAGAAGCAGAGGACGGTACTCCAGGGTCCCTGTTTCAAAGCAAGGCTGATTCCCGCATCACAATTCAAGGAACTACAAAGATCACTGGGAAAGTGGTCATTGGCATCAGGCATCTGATTCGATTATTGCCCATAATGCATTGCACTGACTAAATTGAAAAACTATTCATGGCTGAATGATGTTTGGCTTGTGTGTAGCTAACGATACAACTTTTTTTTGGAGGGGGAAAAATGAGAGATAAATTTACAGTCAGGAGTAGGCTAAAGCTCCAGCATAAGCAGATTCCCTTCCATTTTTTTTGCAAAAACAAAGCTAGACTTTTTTTTACCAGTACATGTAGCTAACTGTTTAAGGGTATTCTTTTAACCCATAACTTTTTATTTTGGTAATGGTGGTCCCGTCCATGTTTAGCATTGTAACTTGGTCTGCAGTGCAATATAGCATATTATTTGAGATTGTTAACTAAATTGCTTACCTAAAGTAACCAAGTAACAACTGAAGGGGGAAAAAGTTTGGTGATTAGAACAATATGAATCTGTAACTTTCTTTATACACGTCTTGTCGAGGAAGTCCCAAATAAAGGAAGTATGGAAGCAAACTTCTCTTAGGTCTAATAAATAGGTCAAGAAAATGCCAAGAAATTTCCCACTTTAGTATTATCATAGAATTCGTTCAGGATTTGTCCAAAACAATAAAAAAAAAGGCTTTAAATTTGCAACACAATCAAGTTAATACAATGATTTCTAGACAGCCACACATGTTGGCACATCTGTAGTTTTCTGTAGGCACAAAAGTGCATTTCTCTTTGCTGTTAAGCAGAAAGAATAATGCTTTGCAAATATTGCTCAGCTGAGTACCAGCCATAAGCAATATGAACCTGTGTTATTTTGGTTGGTAACCTGTTTTTTTACTAAGCATGTATTTCTGTTCTGATCAGGGGCTCTTCACGCTTGTTTTATACCAGCTCCATTAGCCTATTTGAGATATGGTACACACAGAAGGAGGGCGCTATCTTTTGTGGGTAAATTTGGGTCGATACAAAATAATGTATCCAATCCAAATAGCGCCCTACTAGAAATTGACCCATATTTGTAATTGACACCATATTATTTGGCTTTAGGTTACTCCTCTGTTGATACCTACCACAACGTGGCAGGCGAAATGTATGTGTAATTTCTGTACAGTTTTCCTGGCATATAGGTATATTTTGCCTTGCTGTTGTTTATTATGCATGGCCTGCCATATACAATGCAAAAGAACTTGCAATAATACTGTAAGATTTTACAGCTGAAGAAAAGTCCACAAACTAAAATAGATACATGTACTTTAAAAAATGTTACCAGCTAGGCTCACTGCAACTTGAAAGAAAAAAGGTGTCATGGATAATGACACCTTGGGTTAATTTGAGTGTGCTTTCTCTTTCGAGGGAAAACTGTATAATCTGTGTGAAATTTCATTTTGCAAGACGCCCTGCAAGCAGTGTAAACATTTTTGTATTCCAATAGCAGACCTCTTTGAAGTTTGAGGTCGGCACATGCCGAGGATGTCAATGAGACTGTGGACTTAGAATTGCTTAGAGCGTGGTTTTCATATGTAATACTACACTGTGTGTGTCACAGTCGCACAAAGTTATGTGCACAATTGTAAATACACACGTGTATAAGAAATATTGGAATTACAAGAGTTCTTGGTGGTTGACTTCGAAACGCACAAATGTTATGATTAAAAAGTTTATGAGAGTAATGAATGTTTCATTCTCAGTTCTTTTTTGTTATTGTGTTGATTTGCTTAAATCTTTGCTATAAGATACTTAAATATTTGCTATAAGATAGTGTAGACTGCAAACCATGAGGAAAATAGATGAAAGGTTTTGAATATCATTGGAAATTTACACCCCCCCCCCCCACCCCCTCCCCCCAATTCAGGACTGAGACTTTCAGCTTGCATTTTTCAGAAATTAGGAGAAAAATGGACCTAACAGTCGCTCCTTCTTTTGCCATGGAGTAGATGGATGGATTATTTTTTTCTTTCAGGGTAACTTTAGAGAGAAAAATAATCTAAAGGTTGATGCTCAACCCCCCCCCCCCCCACCACCACGTCCCAAAGGAACCAATTACCAGAAAGTGAACAAGGGTAAATCAAGCTTGAGTTTAATGTGTGTCATGACCACCTGGGAGGGTTCCGGGTATTTTATGTCTTTGAAACATGTGTTTCTTTGCTCTATATGGTTGGATGTGTGATCTGCGAGTATTTTGTCCTCTGAACATTCATGATGATGAAAATGAAATGGTTCTCCGCGCGACATGAATAGCGCCCTCTGTAGTTCAGTTGAGACCAAATAATTTTTTTTTTTTACAGTGCTCAGATCCCAGACGTCCACTGTAACTGTCGGACGATAAAGAATAAGAGAGCCAGACTATAACGCTACAGACAAACGGTAAACAAAATGGAACTGTTGTGCGTACGGCACGGTATCGAATGTCCATAGAATTACTCATTTTATAATAGTAATTTTTATTTTTTGGATCATGAAAACTGTTAATTCTTTGTATTTCATGGCAACTTCCAGTGGGTCAAATTTAGAGGACCCCTGAAAGCTCTGTACAGCCGTAAACGCTGGGGCGTTGTCGTATCGATACGTTTGTGTACGACTACGACTAAGTACGAGTGCTACGACTACGAATTGCTCAGTCCATGGTGCAGTGGAAGAGAAAATGGGGAATTTCCCAAGCTTTAGTCGGGTGATCAGCCTGGACACGAACGAAGAAATCGTAAGCTGGATTGGTAGGTTAACAGAGTCTTAGTTCTTGTCATAAAACTCGGGATAAAATCCTGACACTGACAGTGAATGCTGTGATTATTTAGCTGGAGTTACCCAGCCCTGAGTTTTATCATTGGGTTGTCATCTAGGGCTGGAGCGAGTTTTTCTCGTAACTTGTAGTATAGCCTAGGCAAACATTTTTGGAAAATGTTCAATTTTGTCCCCGTTACACACTAATTGCAACTGCAACTCACCCCAAACTTGCCTGGAATAACCATTACACAGGTCCTTGAAGTAAAAAACGATCCACGATGAAGATTCAGCCTACAATTGCAGTGAAAACAGGAGGAATAACCGCTAACTTGCTGGCATGGCCAGGACCGCAATTGGTTTGTGCACAAAAAAAAATTGTGTACAATGAATGGCGGTCGATTATCAGGCACAGAGCGCTGTCAACTACTCGTTTTTGCCGGCTGCGCTGGCTGTTGGCGCATGACGTCACGCGGAAGCGTAACACCCAATGACTGTTTCATGCACTAATATGAGGTTTACCACTCGCATCACAGCTTTGGTACTGGAACCGCAACCGATTGTGCATGAAACAGTCATTGGGTGTTACGAGAAAAACTAGCTCCAGCCCTAGTCCGAGTAACTTGGACCCAACTTATCGCCTTTTTTAACATTTGGACATGGTCTGGCGATAGTGGGGTCCAAGCTAATACCGCGACCTGGACAACATCATCCTGTCACTGTCCCAAAAACCAACATTTTCCAACAAAAAACATCAGATTTCACCTTCAAAACGGCCTCCAAATTACTAGATATGCCACCTGAGGTACAAGTAGACATCGATAATTAAGATGGTTGTATTGAAGTTTACTTACGATCCGGAAAAAAAGTGAAATTTTCCGTTCATATCGGAGAGCTCCCCTCGCGATCTTGAACACGTTAAATTTCCGATCGTGTTTAATGTTTGAACGACGCGATTTCTTCTACATGCCCAGCGTACATTCGATGGTCCCCGTATCCCGAGTGCGATTCCGTTACCGAGCGCGCGCGATGCATCGATTATGATAATGAGTCACGTTTGTAAACACATAAATGTGCATTTCGAACTGTAAAAGGGAATCGGGAACCAGCTTGAACTGGTACCCGCCATAAAAGCTGCGCTAGTTCCCGACTCCCTATTATTGTTTGAAATGCACATGTATTTACAAACGTGATCCAGTCTACTCATTATCATAATCGATGCATCGCGCGCGCTCGGTAACAACCGCCATTTTGAAATCGCATGGAGGACATTTTCAGGACGATATTTGTGGAAGATGATGACTTAAAGTCGTCTTTTGGCCAGATGGATCAAAATATTGGGACCAAAGAACGTTTTTTCAAAAAGGTATGAGTTCCTCTACGACTAGGAACCTTAACTTTGGATATTTCTGTCCTGGACGAGAAGATAATCTCGATCAAAATCTGTAGCAAAATCGCTACATCATCGGGAAAAAAAATTCAGTCTGTGTGGAAGCATTGAGCGTCTGGCCGTACTACAGAGCTTGCGATAGTACTGTACGGCCAGACGCAGTCGGGCTAATGTTCAAATACTTTGTTATAATATCAGAATAAGACATATTTTAACTCATTCTTTTTAATCTTCTACTCTGATTTTGACATTTGTGTTGTTTTACCCTCCAGAGATGTGGTATCAGATATTCCTCTGGTATCTCTTCTCATCCTTCCTAATTCATTCCGGGGCTGCTGTCATCGCCTTCTGGGCCCTCCACAAACACAAGATGGGTCGACTTTATTCCCTGGTCATACTTGTGATGGGGTTCGTGGGGCCCATAACTGGAGGAATTGTAACAAGTGAGGATTCCTTTCCTTGTTGACTACTTTTTTTCAGTGTTTCAACTTGTGACCATCCACCTGTCCGGTGGATATGCAAAGTGTGACTTCAGACAGACAAATTTCAAAATGGGGAAGTACAGATCTACAAATTGAAGGACACAGTTTTTGCTAATAACTTTGATTTCATGCTAACATGATTGTCATTCTGCAATACCTTATGAAATAAACAAACATTGCTTTTCAATTTCTTTACCAAAGCTCATTGTATTTTAACTCTTCCCGCATTTAACAAGTCGGTTTTTCAAAACATCTGTCTGGTTCCAAAAACGAAAAATCGCCTTTCTAGCATTTCTGAATGTTTGAACTCCAGGCTGAGATATTTTTGCTGAATGGTTATCAAGTTTTGAGAATGTCTTCAAATGCATTTTTTTTAAATCTAATTTTAAATTTCTACAATTGTCTCAATTTCTACAGGTGTCTAATCTCAGAACTAAGTTTGTTCAAACTTCCTTTGCCTTGATTTGCCATAATGACAAATCTTTGAATGTTCCTGTCCCCATCTGCAGGTGCAATCATCGCCGGTCTGTTTATCACGTCTGAGTTCCCCATGTATCCCCTCTACGCTATGGTGTGTGGCTGGGGGCAAACCATCATGGTCGTTGTCATCTCATTCTCTCGGATACTTGCCACGCTGTGACGACGTAAGAGCGTAGAAAAAAGCCGTGCTTCTGTCTTGCACTCCGGTTCCTACTGCCGTACAAGATTCGAACCAGCCAACAACAGCAAACTCCGTGGTCAAGTGGTTAAAGACATGTACCCACTTAAACAGGAAGTCTTGGGTTCAGTTTCAATCGGAGTAGCTCTTGAGTTATTCTTTCTATACTCTAGGAAAACCACTGAGTATTATTTGATGAGGCTGCCGTCAGTACTGTCTGTGTGGTAGTAACAGTACTACATTGTACTTCTTCCTGTTCAGTATATATTTAACTGCTTTATAGAGCAAGTCACTTATGGTTTCATGATGGTCAGTTGCAGATATGGAAAACATTGTTTTTCTAATGTTTCTCCAAAAGCTTGCCCCTGGATGATAAAGCATTCCTGGCCAAAATGGCTGACTTATTAGTCAGCATGAAAATGTTGATAAAAACGTGAGTGATCACAAGCTTGAACGCAGCAATGATATAAAGCAGCTTCGTGTTATTTGGTTCACGCCCCCATTTTCTTCCCTTGCCCCTCCCACATTGAAAATGGCAGTACTTGATCCTGCATGCTTGTACTACATTGGTGCAAAACTTTGGTCCCATGTACTGGATCACAATCAATCAAAAGAAATTTGTAAAGCGCCAAAATCAAAAAGTTTGCTCTAAGGCGCTGATGGGGCACCAAAAAGAAGGAAAACTATGGTACACCTCCTGAAACAGGTGAGCTTTCAGGAGTGTCTTGAATGTATGCAGTGAGGTGGTATCTCTTATGTATTCTGGAAGTTTGTTCCAGATTCTGGGGCCGTATACAGAGAATGATCTATCAGCAAAAGAGACACAATGGGTTCTGGGCTCAACAAAGTGTAGTGAGCAGGAGGTTGATGATCGAAGTCGTCTCTCCTTATATGAAGAGTTGAACAACTAGGAAATTGATCATAGCATACATATAGTAGGAGTGTAATATGATTTCACGGGGTGACTGCATGGTGTGTTGACATGCATTGAAGCTCTTTGTATCCAGGGAAAAGGAAGCAAAAATGACTGATATTTTAAATCAGTGTTATTTATAAAGAAATATAAAGTACTACATGTATATTAAAAACTGTCCTCAAGTGTACATTTGTTGAAAGCTTTAAATTTGATATATTGGACTTTTTTCCTGTTTGTTGAATTAATTTTTAAATACCCATCTTTACGTCTTTGAAAAACGTCGCAAGTTTTGTTACTATTATATGATGTTTGTCGTCTTTGGTTGAATCTTTGAACCGAGTTTGGCTGATAATTTTGAAAGTTTTTGGGGGATATTACCTGATATTACCTGCAAATGTTGTTCCTTTAAATAAAAAAAAAACACCCTAGTGATTTCAAGTTCGTTAAATAATAGAACTCAGAATTTTTGCACTGAGATTTCCAACTATAAAAATGATATCACACTACGATGTTCGGTGCCTCTTTAACCCTAACCCCCACGGGGTGTTCTCTAGGCACCCTGCCAAATGCAACAGAATGCAGTGAACTAATACATGCCAGCCGTGGTACCAAGTACTGGTACCTACCCTGCTAAATGCAACGGAATGCAGGGGTGGAATGCATCGGATCAGGAGACTGCTAAATGCAACAACTTTTTACCACTGGTGCATTCTGTTGCATTTAGCAGAGTTAAGGGTTTTAAAGAGGCTGTGGAATGCTGAAAGTCGTTTTGTTTGTTATATTTTTTTATTGTAGTGTAGACCCATACATATCAAAATGACAAAGTCCCATTCTTTTGTAATGTGCGTTTAAATATGTTTATAAAACTGAAATTCATCGAGTAATTTGTTGGTCGGCGAGCGCATAATTGAAATCAACAGTCGTCGGGTTCTTCATAAAATGAGAAAAATCGTGACGTAATAAACAGGACTTGTTTATACTACGCTGCATCGGGAGTCCTGTTTATTACGTCACGATTTACTGTGTTTTGTTTGCTGCCCCCAACGACGACTTTTACACAAATTGCACGTTCGGGTCGAAACAGGACCTGAAAAACAGCTCTCAAAAGTACCTTTTGTACTCATTTCATGACAGACACAATAGTCATTTTTATATCATCACACCTTAGGCTACATATACCCGAAAAATGACGGAAATGTCTTCGAGCATTCCACAACCTCTTTAATACGTGTTAACACCACGCTTGGTTCTATCAGGGCCCACGCTCATCTGTAAAGGAAGCCAAAAGAAATCGTCCCAATCTCCAGCCTATTAGACTCAATTTCCAGCTGATTGGTGATTTCCTCCGTCAGGCTGGAATGCAAGGCTAACCTTAAATGTTGCTGGCGCCAAAAAGGAATAAGAAAGTTGTGTTGGTTGCTCACTATTTTATGGAATTATATTTTTGGGACTTGGTAATTTATGATTTGAAGGGGTTTTTAATTTGTGGCAGTGACATTCACTCAATGCATTTACGGCAAAACACAAAAAAAATACTGTTTCTCGAAATTATACATATATTTATTATAAATTCTATTCTCCAGAATATATAAATATAACCGTCCAATCATTGGCTGTGATCTTAGAAGTCACTGCACATTAAATATGTATTTTGTTATACAATTTGCATAGTTTCAAATTTCAAATAATTTACTTTCATGACAAATATACATTTGTACCCCAACAAATTCAACATCAAACCGCATTCCACGTATCTATAGAGAAAAATGCAGATCAGCTTCATACAAAGTAAATGCTTTATGGCAAAACAGCTTACAATTGCCAAGCACCGTTTATGCTATAAACGAGAAAAATGCAGATCAGCTTCATACAAAGTAAATGCTTTATGGCAAAACAGCTTACAATTGGCAAGCACCGTTTATACTATAAACGAGAAAAATGCAGATCAGCTTCATACAAAGTAAATGCTTTATGACAAAACAGCTTACAATTGGCAAGCACCGTTTATGCTATAAACGAGAAAAATGCAGATCAGCTTCATACAAAGTAAATGCTTTATGGCAAAACAGCTTACAATTGGCAAGCACCGTTTATGCTATAAACGAGAAAAATGCAGATCAGCTTCATACAAAGTAAATGCTTTATGACAAAACAGCTTACAATTGGCAAGCACCGTTTATGCTTTAAACAAGAAAAATGCAGATCAGCTTCATACAAAGTAAATGCTTTATGGCAAAACAGCTTACAATTGGCAAGCACCGTTTATGCTATAATACTGTAATATTGGAAAATGATTTGAGATTATGAATCCCCAATTTTTAAAGAATGGTTTTCTAAATCCTCAACAAAATCTTCACTGTGGAGGAAACCAACCACATATACAGGGTGATATTCTTTGTGCTTGAAGTTTCAAAGGGCATGGAGTTTTGTGAAAAAGTAATAGTGCATGGGCTCCATCTTCCTCAATCCTACAAAATCCTCCACTGTTTTTACCAAGTTTCAAGGATCATCAAGCCCCACGTAAAATAATAGTGGCTGGACTCTAGCTTCTGCAATCCTACAAAATCCCCCACTGTGCAGGAACCCAATGACACACTCTTTGTACCTACCAAGTTTCAAGGGGCATCATTGATCAAGCCCCATGTAAAGTACCTTCCTCATTCCTACAAAATCCTCCAAATGTCTCAGTAGATTCTCGGGATGCCGAATTGTTAGGGTTAATACACAGCACAAATAAGGCAACATTACATCCATAGTACAAGTACAGTTATGGAAAAAATTAATGTACGGATGTTCATGTGAAGTAGCCTCTTGCAATAAGCCTTTTCGGAGTTCCAACTGCGCACATTCGTAACCTGTGACAACGCACATTGTTTGTCTCAAATGCCCTTTGACAGTACCCACAATGCACAAACGGCCTATTTGTAAAGTCAGTGGCGCGATGTTGTCAAAGGCCATTTGAGACAAACAATGCGCGTTGTCACAGGTTATGAATGCGCAGTTGGAACTCCGAAAAGGCTTATTCTGTGAAATCTTTAAGAACGCGTTGACCTTTAAAATTAGTCTCATCATTTAAACTTGGCACACAGGAATTATTAATTCATTATACATCAAAATATACTCTGTTTTTGCTCGCATTATGTATATACAGGACAAACTTGAATAACGTCTTCTGAAATTTGTATTACAAGATTACCGATATTTGTTGCGGATATTTCTTTGAATCTGAAATCGGAAGTTCAAATATTATACAGAAATTCATCAATTTATATACAAGCTTTAAAGATTCAATTTCACTCTACACCTTTGCCAATGCTGCTGCCAAAAAAATGGCAAAATAGAAAATGTCAGACTGGAAGGCACAATAGACGTTTACTTATATCAATTTCTTTCTCAAGTAGGATGATCAAAGTACAAAACTGGAAGACGTTAGAATTTTGCATAGATGAGAATACAATTCAACAACACATTTATTTAAATTCTAGACAACTTAAATTTAAGACGACCAATGTGAATTACATCAAAGACACTGCAGTGTACCTTGCTTATGCAAAGGCCGCTAGATACTGTAAAAAAAGAAGTCTTAATACACAGTAGTTCACTAGTTCTTACAGGTCCAGTGGTCACGCTTTTGAAAGGCACAATTAAACCTTTGAGTAACGATTCTTATAAGGATTTCACTTGAAGATCATTTCCATTAACGTCTTATTAGGGATCTGTTCTTCAAACAGATGAAGTTACATCAGCCCCCGAATCCAAACAGCTTCCCTTGAACAACTTTCTTGGAGTGCATGGCGATCGCAGGTTGCCTAGTGACCTGCTCCGTGACCTTTTAGTCTGTCGGGCTTTCTGTTGACATGGCAACAGATGCATCTCGTCTCCTATCTGGATGGCAACGCCGCATGGCAACATCAAGTCTTGGCATCTAGATTGCCTACAAGGGACCCTCTTTTTAGAAGTCTTACTGTCTGTTGGATCCAAAATGTCCGAATCGGTTGCCGACCTCCGTAGAGAAAATTTCCGTCCGGGTATCTCGACAGAAACGCTGTCGGCGATGTTGCAGTCCACACCGCTGGAGGAGCTAGAGTCTCTTTGAGCCGAGGTACTTCTGAAGCTGGTCCTCATGGACTGGTCAAGTGAGGTCAAGGAGCTCCTCGTGGTACAGGTGATCACCGACAAGGTGGAGGGAACCAGTTCCTGGGTGGAGCTCTCAAGTCCGGGGCAAGACATCTGCCGTCTCTCCGGACCAGACATCTCCATGTTGTGCAGCGTGTGTGAGCGCCGGCGGTTCCAGGAGAGGTTGCGGGCAAACGAGGCACGTAATCTCCGGCCCAGGCTGGCCACCTGATCCGTCCGGGAGAGATTGGGTGTGTCAAAGTCCACTCCAATGCTGTCGCTTCGGATGCTGTCACCTCTGGTCCCTTTTGGCGTGGCCAGCGCCTGGCCTGGGTCTTCGTCTAGGATGCTTGTGATGGGCTCGTTGATGGATGGATGGATCAGATCTCGGTGGGCACTGAGAATCTCAACGATGTCATTAGCCGTCGGTCGTTCCTCGGGCTCAATGGACCAACAGCGCTGCATCAGAGCCGCTCTGCAGAAAAAGGAAAAACAAAGTGGTTACTGACGATGTATTGGGATAGGAATCGTATTCTAATAGACAACTGTGTGGCTGTTTCGCAAATGTCCAAATTGACTGCGACAACCGATGACACTTATTGGTCCAAGCTAGCCTTCAAGGCACTCCATCAAAGATGTTGGTGTGAATGATAATGTAAAAGTGGTACAGAATATTATACAGATGAACTTGAGATGACATTGAGATTGGCAGGCCAGATTAAATAAAGCTGTAGGTTAGTATGTATACACATCTGGGGAGTCAGGTTGGCGTAGCGGTACTTTCCTCGCCTTCCACCGCTGTCACCCAGGTTCGAATCCCGCCTGGGCCAACATGTGGATTGGGTTTTCAGTCCCTAACTGATTCCGTGGGTTTTCCTCAGAATGTTCCCCTGGGCTTTTCCTCCCACCTCTAAAAATTGTAATTTCTTCTCATTGTCTTCTCTCCACAGGTTTCTTCAGGCTTTCCGGCCACAGTGCCTAGAGCACTTTTGAGGGATCCTTGGTTTCATTGCCAGAAAGAGATAAAATAAAAAATAAACTAAATCTATGACAGAAAACCCTATTCTATAATGACAAATCAACAAAATTATGGGATAACTGAGCCTCGTCTTACAGAGGAGGGCTGCAGTCGGCCGGTGGTCTCATGGTGTTGTTATTCCGGATGTAGTCCAAGACGTCGGCGTTGCTGAACTCCTTGTAAGGAAATCCGCCAAAAGTGACCACTTCATAGATGACGATGCCCAGGCTCCAGACATCGCTCTTTGTCGTGAAGATTCCCTCGTTTACACTCTCGGGCGCCATCCACCGAACGGGCATCTTACCTGGGCAAAACCCACAAGAACAAAGGAACGCTATTAAAACAAAATAAGAGTTTTAAAGGTTAATGGATATCATTATTCACGCAAATGGGAAGTTCAAGTCAAGAAACCTTCACGGTGAAATTTGTCAGACTTGAATTGAGAGCAATTTTAGTGGGGCTTGCAGTGTGAAGACTTGAATTGTTATATCATGTGCTTGGATACTGTCATTTGTGACCCGCTCCAGGAAAAGGTGATATAAGTCACGCTGTGCCTTTACGTGTAACGACCTGCTGAAAGTTGAGAGGGTGAAATTTTACGTCAAAATCCGAAATTCTGTTTTTGTCTTAAATGACATCTTTGATACCTAAAGTTTAAGGATTCATTCGCAGAAATGTTGATTTCGATGAATTAAGTAAAAAATACCCTCATTTTATGTGCATTGTTCTCTTAATTTTACATCCAAAAACTATAATTTTAATCAATATGCAAATTAGCCAAAAGATAGTAATCTGGTTTCAAAAAAACTCCTTTTCCCAAAAATCATTGAAAATAATCATTGTAGAATCACTGTCCAAAGTTTAAAAGTGATAGTAAAACGGGAACATGTTGGTTGCTAAGATATTAAAAGTGAGCTTTTTCATGCCCAAATCTACAACAGTGCCAGCTACTTCAAAGCCTGTTTTCTCAGTTGTGTAATTTTTAAACTCCATGGAAGTAATTAATATGCAAATTTGTCATATCTCCACAACGAGAAGGGCTGTAGAGCTGTGTCATATACCAAATGAAAGCTTACATTGTGGGCTTTCCAGTCGTGTATATAACGTGAAAATCACCTTTTTCTGGAGTGTGTCACATTTCATTGGTCTAGAACGGCCATGTGTCTGGTTTATAAAAACGCATGTCACACACTCAGTGTGACATCGCACTGCTTCATTGAGCACGTTGCATGTTCGTGTGGAACCTGCTGGCGCGCTTTGCGCAATGAGAACTGCAACGTCAAACGCTCAGTCTCACGTCCGGCAGGACATCAAAACCTTCAGTTATCAAAGGGTACATCGCAGTGATTCAATTTATTTCTCACACAGTAAGTTACAACCATTGATCTTTTTTGAGTTATTGGCACGATATAACAAAACAATTGTTGACTGCTGTGATGTGACTGCCATTTTTAACCTCGGGGTGGATCCATGCGGATCCATGGTTTCAAAAGCGTCATATCTCACATCACAGCAGTCAACAATTGTTAACTGTTATAAGTTTGTGTTTGTGTTTAACGTCACGTCAAGTATGATCCAGGCTCTATAATCCTTATTCTGTTTTCCCTTACTTCTGTGACACAAAATACAAAATGAACAACACACTTTGACACTCCGACCCCCAGAACATAGTACCTTCTCTGTTGAGGCGGTAATAGTTGGAGTCGTAAGTGGCTCTTGTCATGCCAAAGTCCGCTATCTTGACGGTGTAAGAACAATCTACCAGGCAGTTACGACACGCAAGGTCCCTGTTAAAAAAAAAAAATTAACAGCACATGAAAAAACAAACCATTGTGAAAATTTCACGAAATTCATTTTTCAGGGTGACTTTAGAAAGATTGGAACTTAAGTTTTATCAGTAATTTTTAACATTTCAATTTAAAAATCTCGTGAATTTATGATACTGCACAGACAATCATGACCTGGTGGTAAGGTGGTGGTGGGTTGTGGGGGAGGGGGAGGGGTTGGTTGCTATGGGGGAGGGGTTGGTGGCTGGGGGGGGGGTTGGTGGCTATAGGGGGGGGGGGGTAAGCAGTAGTGGTGGGGAGGGGAGTAATCCAGGGGAAGGGAATATAATTATGAGGAATACGTACCCCTAGACTATTTTCGGTTTTGTTTTAAAGATTGCCTGCTATTCAGAGTGACTAGAAATAGTCATTATGCAAGTATCAAGTCATCGAATTGGCCACGGTTCCCTAAAAGCTGGCAGAAAAAAAACCCTCCTTACTATACACAGAGATGAAACTGGCATATGGCAAAAAAATCGGAAAATAGGCCAAACAAAAATACGTGTCCGAAATCGAGCTGCGCTGCAGTTACACACATGTACATGCATGTACAATACACTTCATGCCCAATTTCCTGACACCAACTCCTGCTTTATTTTCGATTCAAACAAAATTTTACGATGAAAAAAAAATGGTCAGTGTTTTCATTGCATAAAACGCCTGAGTTACGGTTAGAGTAATGGAGTCATCAACAAAGAAGTTCACTTCTTACTTGAGAAAGTCGAGGAAAAAGTCCAAAAGACTAGGGCATTGTTCATGGTGCTTCCATCATGTCCATGATTCAACCACACAACTCCACTACTCCACTTGCATTCGTACGTGGAAAAAATCAGGCATTATCATCTTTCTCTTCCAACAAATGCCAGCCTGAAAAATGTTTCGGTAATGCTCTCTTCGCTATCCTCGAGATAATCATCATGATTTTTAAAGCACTGCATTTTGTGCAACTAAATCTGAAACCTCCGAAAATCGCACAACATAATGATTTTATCCACTGGATTGTTGAAGGCTACCCGTTCCCGACCGGCCATGTGCTAGCAGACGGTACGGTGCGGTACGTGCGCTGGTACCATTGCGTACAGTACATACATGCACGCACGTGCAACACAGTGATTTTTCCATGTCACCTGTCAATGTTGAACCTTTTGTCCAGCCGGAAAAGGCTCCGATCAGTGTTATGCCCTGTGTTTCTACCGTTGAAACACTCCAATAACGACTGGTGAATGAGATTAAAACTACGTTTGCGATGATTTTAAAGTGCCATTTCCATCGACTTTTCATTGACATTTCTTAGAAATTATGATTGAAATAAAATGACATTTTGTGAAAAAATCGTTACAAAATCAAATTTTGTGGGACACATTGTAAGAAAATCAGAACTTTCGTTGGAAAATTCAAAAAGTCTGATTTCCGATTAAAATCGGAAAAGTTTCATCTCCGAATAGAGTGATCAACAAAACAAACCTGTGGACATATTTATTAGCAGCCAAGTAGCCAACGCCCATGGCAACGTCCAGTACCATAGAGGTCAGCCGCTCAGGTGACACGGACGAATCGTCGACGTGGGGTTGATTGACAAGATGGCGGCGAGCCAAGAGGAACGTCTTCAAGTCACCTGACAATTGAAACAACCAATCCTATGATCAATTTGGGGGATCACACCCTTCTCCTTCCCATGTAAAAGGAAGTTTTGATCGAGTTCAATCACGGGGGGTCATGTTGGCATACTTAAATTTCCTCGCCTTCCACCTTATAGAGAAATTGCCGTGGTTGGGTTTTCTCTTGAATGTCATCCCAGAAATTTCCTTCAGTATATAAAACTGAATATAGTGGAACATTATACCAAACACTGTTATACCGAACACCGCTATATACCGAACATTGTCCTTGGTCCTCGATTGTTGTACAAAACGTACCAAACATTGTTGTTGAAAAATGCCAACAGAAGAGCAACAAGTAACTATCATTTCCCCAAGGAATAGAATGGGAAAGCCACCCACTGCTGCAGGTAGTAAGCTAAAAAAAAACTGTGTAATTACATTATTCAATAGTCTGCATGTGTTCAAAGTCGTCTTTCAGTAACTACCAGGGCGTGCAGGGTGAAGTTCTGAAGGGCGCCATTTATTAAAACGTGAGTACCGGAGCACCGGCAGTTTACAATCGCTATACTGAACGATCGCTATTACGAACAATTTCTGTAGATCCTGCGATGCTCGTTATACCGGTGTTTCACTGTATTTCTCAATTGTCTTCTCTCTTTAGATATCTTCAGTCTTCCAAGTGCTGGAATTATTTTTTTGAAGGAAAACCTGTACGTACCATGCAACATGAAATCCATGATGGTGTATATGGGCTCCCTGCGAGTGCACACTCCTAATAGCTGGACGATGTTTTTATGATCAAATCTCTTCATCATTTCTGCCTCGCTCAAGAAATCAAGCTGTATAAAACAAACACAGGCAAATTCTGATGGTTCCTACTCTTTTTCATACCTAGTATGTAGTTAATTAGGTCACAAGCTTTTTAAAAAACTTTAAAAAAATTGGTCGGGGAGTGAGAAATATTTACATCCTTTTATGCACGACCTGCGCACACACAACGAACTGACTTGCAAGATAAGGAAGGCATCGTTTTATGCAAATTAGCAGGTAACTTGTAGCCAATAGTATAGGTTTGCTTCATTGTAATGGTTCATTCAATTTGAACTTACACCAGATTGCAACGTTGTCAAGCATTCAACTTTGTCAAGAAAAACATCAATTTAATTTGTTGGGGTCATTTCATATATCAGCACAAAAGGTATTGCGAACAGGACATTGTAACATAGTAAGTATTCGTGAAGTAAGTTCGTAAAAGGTGAACCTATTTTGAACTTCACTGCATTTTGCTGTGAACATGTTGTGATGTCACATTCACTCGCATTAACATTATGTGAAGCATGAACTGCTATATAGTATATTCCCCCAAATTCTTTTAAACTCTCTCGATTATACACCCATGACATAAATACTCAGTCATTCACAGAAAAGTTATCCGCAACACTGCCTTTAAAGCCACAAATTGTAATCACATTTATGTTACAAGGACGACTCACCTTTTCTTCAATGGTAGACTCCACTTTCAACGTCTTGACCGCCACTCCGACCCACTGGCTCCCATTCAGCATCGCTTCGCCCCCGTAAACCGTCCCAAAGGCCCCCTCTCCAAGCTTACGATTCAGAATGACGTTCTCGCGCAGTATCTCCCACTTGTCCAGTGACAGTAGGGTGCTCTGGCCTAAGGCAATGATGCCCAGGTCTTTGACTCTCTCCTCGGCTTTCTTGACTTTACGGTCATACCTACGAAAGAAATTGCATGCGGATGAAGTTAAAGATCGCGAGGTCTGTGTCTTTAACAGGTCAAAAAGTCCTGATCCTTCGGCTTGAAGGCTGAATGCACAAAACTTAATGCTCAGGGCATTCAATTGGAAGTCTCAAAAACCTCGTCTCAACACTTGATACCAATGTTGCAAGACTTATGACTAAAGACGCAAGTGTAAGTAGTAAATTCCAATATTTAGATTCTGAAGGATTAATTTCAAAGGCTTCAACTCCAAACGAGTCTTCACTTGAAAATGCCATACTTCACAGTTAAGTCTTATGACTCATGAATCGTCAAAATTTTAAACTCCATAAAGACACTAGTCTACTGAATAAAGGCTCTGGAAACCTCAGACTCACAACCCAAGTCTTTCATGGACAATTTCATGCAGCTGCTACACAGAAAGTAGATTTGCATGAACAAGTTTTGTTAACCAGTTCGTGTCGGAGGACGCGATAACATGCACTTGCTATTTTTACACACAGGCACGGCTGACAGGTTAAGACATCAAGATTGCCTCGACTTGCCACCGGATGACATCTAAATGCCCTATTGTGCAATCCACTGCACAACCCGGAGTATTGAAACATATGAGGTTTCGGCAAGAAATATCGTACAAATACTGCTGGAATGACTCTTGCGAATCAGTATTTGTGGCGTTTGCCTGTACAGTATATCAGAAGTTGGCTGAAAAATTTTGCCTTTTGCGAAAATCTAAATTTTCAGCAAAAATAATCCAGGCGCGAAGTGGTTAAGTAATAACAGGTTAAACATGACGATATGAAAGTTGGCATAATGAAGATAGCAAAAAGATAAAGATGAACTGTAGCACCAACGTAACAATTCTCTTTAGTGAGTTTGTGAGGTTCTGAAAAGAACCGGGAGAAAAAAACTCAACGTTTCGGACAGTATACTCTGCACATCAGCAGGAGACTGAGATTCCAATGGTGAACGGGTATTATGTAGTGGAACTTGAAGCAGTGAAGCTCGTGAAGGATGCAACTAGCTGGAGCAGGGGAATCTGGATGATCAATGATGCTGGACGATCAGATTAAATGTGATGCAATCAAGCTAAATGAGTCGTTTGTCGACCCTGGTCAAATTTTCTTTTTGTTACAGATTTGAAAAGAGCACAATCTCAGCATTACTGCTGTGAAAACCGCATGCTGATACCATCTTTAGTTAAAAAAATTATGGAAGTCGGAACACCAAGAGATGTGATGAAGTGATGTGATGAAGTGGTCCTATTTTGGTCTGTATCTCCAAATGAAAGTTTCTGACAAACAACTCATTTAGCTTGATTGCATCACAAATTTTGCTTTATGAAATAATTGTTTTTAACTGGTTCCCAGGAGATTTTGCTTCAATTTCACTTGATTTCCCAAGCAAAATGCACCGCTGAGTAGCGCCCTTTGGCCCCAATTTTTTTCTCTTAAGGAACAAGCATTGTGGGATGTAGACTTACGCTTTCTTCACCAAAACCACAAAGATGATGAGGATGATGAAGACAACAATAATGAGGAAGGCATTGAGGATGGCCATAGCTGACTGGCAGTCCACGCCTAGAAAGGCACGGAAACTCTCCACAGCACACTCAGCTTCATCTACAAGGAAAGAAACAGGAGGAACCAATACAAATTAATCTGTTTGTATCATAATTGGCCATTTGAATCTCCACTTATTATCAGCTCAACTTTTAACGTAAGTAATCACCTTGAAGTTTGTTTTTAAGGCAAATTGTTTATGTTATCACAATTTTTTCACTCTAGAAGTCTAGCTATGTTTTTCATATCTCATTCCGTCTTCAGCAACCCCCTTTTTAAGCACAGAGTTATTGTGCAGCATTTCGTTACCACACAAACTCAAACAAACAAGCTTTTAGCATTTTTTTTTACATTCTTACCAATAGTGCCATCATCTGGAATCTTGCCATCATTCAACCAAACGATGTCGCTGGTGTTCCATTGTAACGTTCCTGTCCATTCGCTGGAGTTGGCCACGTAAGGAATGTACAAACCTACAGGCTGCCAAAAATAGGACACAAGAAAAAAATGTGTTACTCTACAGACTTCTCTCTTTTCAGACAAATTGACAAGGCAGTTTTCAACCCTTGAAAGCAAACAGTTTTCCAAATATTTTATGGCCACAATTTTTGCTGGCACGAAGGGCCAGTTATATTTTGTCCCCTGACTGACTGACTAAGTTACTGCATGGTTACCAGGAAAGTCTAGCTAGTCTTGCTACAATTAAAAGTTGATAATGTTGATTTTTTTTCACACAACTAATCAGAATTGGATTTTTGCCCCACAACTAACCTAAATTTGAACTTAAATCAAGTTCTGATTTTGTTATTATAGACTACAGTAAGTGCACAAAGTAAGCTACTTCTATTAAATATCTGTAACATGTCTGGGAAATGTCACATTACCAACAATCCAAACCAAGCCATTTTGGGGGAAAAAGACTTAGAATCTGCTGTCTTGATACATGATGAACAATATTTCAACCTTGTCTTCCTGTGTTCTTTCCCCTATATCAACAACTTGGGGGAAAAAAAAGATGACTGATGTATATGCGCCATAGCCAGCCAAATACAAGATCATCTAATTTCCTTGATATGTCACATCGAGTTTAGACGGAACAATTAGCGGGGCCCCAAACACCAGAAATTACATCCGTCAGCGGGGCGCAGGCTGGTCGGGCATCCTGTCCCCTGGTACCCTGTCAGCACCAGTCCCCATGAGGATACGCAGTTTTTCGAGGGGGGAGGAAGGGGGCCAACGACCGTGTCGGTTACGCCAATATGACCCCACAAATGTCTCTGCTCGTAATGTGATTAAAAGTTAAGTTTTTTTTTTAATAGTTGTTAAAGTAATCCAATAAATAGGAGAATTTTAGTTCGTATGTCCCATTTTAGGACATGTTCAATAAATCTGGAATACCTGTCAAGTCATTGCTATCATTTGCTTAAAGCAAGACATTGTAATGATAAAGCATTCTTGTTAAACACAACAACCAATTATCGCCCAAGCCGTCTCCTATATGAGGAGCTGTACTGAGAATGTTAACGTTTTTTATTTTTGCATGCACGAATTATATTTACGAAGTACATTGGGTTTTCTAGAATTATAATAATTATTTCTGTGGTTTCAAACATTAAGTTCAAATCAGCATCCCAATAATTTGTCAACACGGATAAACTTTTACGCCCCCACCCCCACCCCCCCCAAAAAAAATAAAACCCCACAAGGTACTTTATAATATTTTGCCACAACATACTACAAGATTAAGTCTTGTTACTCATTCTTAGCTCCGTTATGATGTCTGACTTGAACATAACCTCATTTTGAAAGCTATGTCAACTCAAAGGCTGCGGACAGAATGAATCACCCAATGGGAAAAGCCCCGACACGCCCAATAAATCTACTCCTTTATTCGTGACGAAAGAAGCTCTTCGCAAACGATGCTCACTTGTGGAACATTAGCAAGGGCCAGGATGGAAGCGGGGGAGAAAAAAATGACAGGTTCTTTCAAGCAACTTATTAAGCGCCTAACGACTTCCATGAGCGGCGCGCGGCCGAGGCAGCTACGTGCCGCGCTGCAGTCAATCATAGGGTATTCCGTGCTCACTCAACGGTGGGGAGCGTGGAGACGCGGCGTCTGCTTCGAAGGGGGCCTCCCGTGGTTTGCGTCAAAAGTGACTCAGCCTGGACAGAATCCAGAGTGATTGAAGAGAGAGAGGGTGAGATTTGGAAAGGGGGATAAACCTCAGTACTGTAAGCAAATGTGTGGTGAACTCATAAAGTTACATTGATGCGGTACCGGGATGTTGCTCGAGCTGATGGCACATGTGTGTAGCACTGATTTCTACACCAGATCAAAGAGTCACATTTTCAGAAGGGGAGAAAGGGCAAGGACGCACTGGTGTGCCCAGGACTTATTGTAGAATCTTGGGTTCTATCCGACCGTTGAGTAACGGAGAATTCATAGTCTTCAGCGTTGATTTTCACTACGTCTCTGGATTAACTTAAAAAAAGAAACATACCTTTTGCACTCTAAGGTTCACAACCTTTGGCCCAGAAAAAGAAAACAAAAAACAAAAAAACAAAAGTGCTGATCACTTTGACTGAAACTTTGAAACTCAGGAAACCATGATGACACAACACAACTCAGCGATCCCCCTAAAGACCCCAAGCCCCACACACTAAGGTGGGACAGTTTGTTCTTCCTGGACCCTCCGTATTTCATCTGATTCCATGTTTATCCGAGGGTCCGTACCCTCCGGTAAGTGGAACCAGCTGCACCTGCGGGTAAAGTGTTCTAGGGTTTTTGCCCGGACATGGAGACCATATGTTTCTATCCTCTTTGCTCATGCGTCAACGGGCCCAGGGGGAGGGGTACCGCAAATCGGAATTGATGCAATAAGTCAGTCCTGTTCTACTCTGCAGTGGGGGAGGAGGGCGGGGAAAATGCAGAAGCTATAATCCTGACTGAAAATTGGTGGGGTTACGGGAACCATGATTTCAGAAACAGAAAGTTATCCGTTTTCCTTAATAAAATAAGAGTCTCAGACCTGGGCCACATTGCATAGCGCTGCTTTGCAGCCGATGTTGTGCTAACAGAGCCTCCGTCAACTTCATAGAGACTGTAAGCAGCAAGCACAGCAAAAGCACGCTTAACCCCAGAGGAATAAATTGCTTATAAATCAGTGACGTAACAATAGAAATCTCTATGCATGCGCAACCGTTACCACATGCACGCCACCCATTAAATAGTGCTTACGCTCAGCATGATTGTCCGCTATGGTAAGCACAACTTTTCTGCTAACTGTTAAGAAGCGTTATGAAATTGGGCCCTGTATTCACATAGGCAGAGGCTATAAGTATGGGAACAAAGAATTGTTATTTTGCGTATTGTTGGCATTTTTCTAGTAATGTGTAATAAGTTACTGACATTGGTCAGGTGGCAAAAGGCAGTGGTTATAGCCACCTTGATCAACCCCTACATCTGCCCCCATGGTCTTCCCTTATACATGATACTCACCACAGTGACCTTTGGCCCCTGGGGTAGATGTTGTGAGATCTGAACCGGCCCCTGACGATCCGAGCCAGTGAAGACAACCTTTCCGGTCATGCCGTGGAATTGGGTTTTAGAAAGATGAACCATAAAAGATCTGCAAGATCAAACAAGTTTTATGAGAGTTGAAACAAGAAATTGACTGGAGCCGGGCTTTAACCTAGACGCGAACTCAGGGTTGCTGTTCCGGTGCACAACCGTACTGAGCTATCCAGCTTTGTTTGCGGTTCCCCATTCTGTCAGTGTCTTTGTTCAAGGGGCGCTAGTCAGCAGCCAAGCCATATGCCATGTAGCCAGGGATCACGCCCAAAGTCACGATGCTAGCAACATTAGCAATGCTCTTGAATGAGTAGGTTACACGACACTACTGTTCGTGCATGGGTTTACTCAATAATAACCTATGAAACCCAGGGTTTGCTGAAAGCATTTTTATGCCTCCAAAACTAATTGCCAGATAAAAAAATTGATTTCAGATGAATTTCCATCATTACTTGCATGTACAAAATAACCAATTCAACTTTTTTTTCCCACTTTCTTTTAACTTCTGCTTTTACTCTTTATTCATTTTTAGTTTAATTTAATTTTGTCTGTTTTATCTATTTGTTTGTTGGGTCGTCTGTTTGCTAGTTTGTTTTTTAATCAGCAATGGTTAATTTTCCTGTTGATTAAAAAATGTATATTTGTTTAATTTTAATTGAAATTTTAAATATGTATATTTGTACATTTTTATGACACCTGTAAATGACAGCTCTCTGTATTTAAATAAATCAATGAAAAAACAATAAATGAAAGAGCAAATCTAACAACATATATTTCAATTTTTTATTTTTATTTTAATATTTGGGTGTTTTTATCTACCTGTTCCATATAATATATATTTCGAAGGGCAGATATTTTAACGACCTGAGCAAACAGTGCAATAACATAACGTCAGAGTAGGGAAAGCCAAATATCACATGTACAACACCCACATGCAAACAGCCAATGAATATTTCAAGCTTTAAGAAGGGTAAATTTGTCACAATACTTACGATGTGTCCCTGTTCTGTCTGGACACACTGAGTGCACCTGGGCTTTCCTGTAGCAGAGTCTCATATGCCGACGCGAAGGCCCACACCGCATCATACGCATAGGCTGCAAAGTCTGAAGCCTGTTTACCCTAAAAAGAAATTCACAAAAAATTTTAACTTCGTTTTACACAGCGGTGGATCCAGGATTAATCAAACATTCATTAATACTTAAGACAGTTTACCCATTCCTTATGGTCGAGAGCCTGTCACATGGGTGGTTTTAAACGATTGGTAAAACACCGGCTGGCTGGTTTTATAAACACCTTGATGGTGTCAGATGAAATTTGGACTCCTATGAAATCGGGTCCCTTTTACCCTTTTGTTGGTTGAATGTTCACAATCTTCACTTAGGCATGCGCAATACTACCAATTTCATAGAGTCCTAAATTCACACCGCACTGCCTTGCCGCGTTCTGCGCCACATCGCGCAGTATGCGCCACACGCGCACCAATCTCCATATAAGGAGATTTTTAGAACTACTCGTAAGAGGCACATACCATAACATAGCTAGAGGATTGTTAAAAAAAAAACATGAAGTAAACTTGTTGAACAAAATATTTGGCAATTTATAATTTTGCACTTGTTTTGACTTTTTCACCCTGGCAAAGGTATTTTATGAATTAGAATAAATATGTGCTTGGCTGGTGTTAAACAAATACGTTTAAAACCGGATTGGGGGCTGGCCGTTGATAGTGTCCCTTGCCTAAGGCCATTATACACGTCCAGGCCCCAAGCCGGATTTGACCGTAATTGTAAAAGAAAATGGCCAAGCACATATTTATTCCCTTATTAAGGCACATAATTTTGCATTTACATCTGTCTGAACCAACCAAATGCTAATGTTACAGTGCTGTAATTTGCTTTAAAATATTTCGAGTAGGCATACATGAGACTGCGATAAAAACATTTTCAATTTTATTTTTTTGAAACTATTAAGTAATACCTGCTGATCCACCATCATCTGGTATTTGGCCTGCCACTGGGCAGCTGTATCCCCGCCAATAATGCGTTCTCCACCCCGAGCAACGTGCATTCGCGACAGACTCATGTAACCAGCCACGGCGAGGGCCATCTCGTGGGTTCTGCAGGGCACCGACTCGGGCCATTCCTGCTGATCACTGTTGTAAAAGTCGGTGTCCCACCAGTGGTCTGGATAGAGTGATGGCAGAAACCACTGGTACCCATCGTATCCCGTCACATCCTGAAAAACATTGTTGTTGCAAGATGAAAATGTATCGCTGCTTTTGGCAAGGATATTTTTTGTAACACTGAAAATGAACGACCTTAGGTACATGTAAATGAAATTGATCCCAGAGGTACAAATGAACATACTGATTTGCTGCAACCTTCTATATAAATTTTAGGGATTGGTTGACTTTTTCAAAAATACTAGTTCAAAGAATTAAACTTTGTGACAAAATATTCCAAAGAGTAGCAACTGTTTCCAAAGCCCTGTGACTCTAAATAACTGCAACTTCATGGGGGGGGGGATGCACATATTTGTCATTTCATCTTCACATTGGTCAAAACTCTGGTTCATAGTGATCTGCATTTCACATTGTCCAATAAATGTTTCATTTGAATGATGAAAAACAGAAATCATTGTCAACAACTAGACATAAATTTTATCCCTAACTTCTTAAGCATTTTTTGCTTACACGGATTTAAATATATAGTCCATCATTTGTAATTTGTGCATTTTGTTCGTTTGAAGCAACAAAAGTGTTCAAAATCTAATGAAGGATACTGAACAACTAACCTGATGAACTTTCAGCTCAGCTTCAGCTGTATATTCCGAAAAAAAACAGCATTCTAGGATCTCAATTTCAAATCAAAAGTTGCTGAATCATGTTTTGAATTGTTTTTAATTGCAGCTATACGCGATGTCGCGCACTGATCCGACGAATTATAGCAACCGCACGCACCTGTGCATCGTGCCAATGCTTGCGCGCGCTGTGCCGAATAACAAAACGAACTACTAATTTTAATTAAGACGCACTGTTGGAAAGGCCTTCTCGTTGATTACTTCAAAATGATAGCTTGCCAGAAAGATTAATTTCACAGGGAGTTTAGTCCACTCACTATCTTTCAACCAAGTATGTTTTTCAACAATAATACGCCAGTTACTTTTTCGAATGGTTGCAAATGATGGACTATAGCTTTAATTCCTTGCTTCCAGAAACAAACAAAAATTGACTAACCTGTTTGAATGCTTCACACAGCAGCACTCTGGCCGCCGCGTCTGAAAACAATCCAATGATGAGACTGGTTCGCTGCTTCTTGATGTCCTCAAAGAAGAGGGCTGGATTGAGGGGCAAAGGGTTGGAGAAACTTTGCGAGGAGACCAGACTGATTCCTTGCTCCTCTAGGATGGTCTCGGTGGCTATAATCACTTCCAGGCTGGAGACTTCGCTGTCTGATAACGTGGCGTATCGCTTCCAGTTGTAGTGTTGGAATAATTTGGCCAAGGCATAGCTGGGGAGAAAGGATCCAACATTGGTTACAGAATTGAACTATCGCGGTAGAATCGCGTCAACGCAGCTCATGCAATAGTGTCGATTTACATGATATACAAATGGACGCGGAGTGCGCAAAATCTGAGACAAACAAAACTTAGTGTACAAATATTCCATAGGGTTGTCTGAGGGGCGTTGGTAACTCGCAAACGGCGATAGGTCAATGAGAGAATCGAACAGACTGATCTGTCGATCCCCAACACTGTTCCTCTAGGATGGTCTCGGTGGCTATAATCACTTCCTTAATTTGAAAACACTATCAGTGGATGGAGTACTGCCATGTACAACTTAGGTTCAGCATGCTGAAACCTGAGTCTGTGTACCGACAGCAGCAAAGTATTCTGGCAATTATGACTTGTGTACTAAAAGCTACGATAGCGGACATTATAGCAGAAAGGCCATTTCATACTTGACATGGATGCGAATCTGGTGAAAATTTGGCGTAACAAAACATACACAGCAAAATATTACTGGAGCTAGATAGTATTGTGGCAATTATGACATGATTCAAGGACACTGCGATAACTGGCATAACAGCAGTAAGGCCGTTTCATACTTGTGGGTGGATGAAAATGTGAAGGTATCACACAGTGAAATACACTGGAATTTGAATAGTGTTAAACTTTTGCAAACTCACAGAGCAAATTAAATGTACCTGCATCTTGCGGTTAATCACAAATTTACATTGCATTTGTTTTCAAGTTTGAACCAATCTTAATGCTCAAAGGTATTTTTGCAATGGTCAGATATGGTCAATTTAATGGTCATTATTGCCAAAGTAGGTAGTGAGGACACTGCTGGACAGGGTCGACAAGATTGTGACTACAGACCAGGACAGGAACCAAGAATGCAAACATGTCAAATCGGCTCTCACAGCTAACGGTTACAAGGACTGGATGCACAAGATCCCGAAACCCAAGAAACCGAAAACTCAAACCACCAACTCCAAATACCGAAGAAACATCAGTGTTTCCTTAACCTACCGTACATCAAGGGACTTTCGGAAAAACTCACTAACATTTTCCAAGACCATGGCGTCAGAACATACCATAAACCGATCAACACCATCAGATTGTTTTTGGTTCACCCCAAAGATAAGATTCCACATCAAAACAAATGTGGTGTTATCTACAGGATAGAATGTCCCAATTGCCCTAAAACATATGTGGGTGAGACGAGCAGATCGCTAGGCACAAGGTTCAAAGACCATTCCAACCTGAAGTTACCCCCTTTAACAGCGGTCGGTGAACACATCAAAGATCACCAACACTCCATCAGCTTGGAAAATGTCCAAGTCATTACCAGGGAGGACCAGTTCTTGAAGAGGAAAATACGTGAAGCAATCGAAATCAGGACACAAAAGCCATCCCTTAACAGAGACATCGGATACGACCTACCAGCCATCTACGATGACCTGCTGGTTTCTGATTGCCCAAAAGGTGGTCACATGACTTGAGTGATTTAAGTCACAACGCTGAATGAAGATGTCGTGATGACATCGAAATCTACGTCGCTGCAATATTTTTGATTCCAAAAAGGTATCTGAATAGTTCTTATCAACGTGATGGAATCCAACAATAGTACACAGCTGTTATTGCCAAAGTGTTAAAAAAAACTCACCACAATCATAAATTTCATCTCTCATGATATATGACAAATCCTCCTTTTTTTTTGCATGAATGTCAAATTTCAATACATTTTTGCACAGTTTGCTACCATTAGGTGATGTGACGTGGCATAACTATTGTACTTTTTCTCTCGCAAGTTCCAGTGAACTCTCCCACTAATAGCTGGCATCTGCTGACTCTCACAAGATCAATATTATATTGGTGCTGACTTCCAATAATTCATGACATCTGTGGCCAGGTCCAAGAAATTGGTGTAACGCGCACGGGCGACGCCACTGTGGAGTTCAACTCGTATCATCGCTTGAGGGTTTAGTGTGTTAGTGTGAGTCATCGCGCTTTGTGAGCTGTCTTCTCTGACGGCAGTTTGGGGTTCCATCACTAAACACAAGTCGGTCCCTCCTTAATTCACAGTGTTCGGAGAACGCATGGGAAGTTCTCTCAGCCGACCACGAGAAAGTTGGCTGCAGATTAATGCGCACCACGTGTGGCTAGAAACACTTCCAAGATACTTAGACAAAGGCTCTGTAAAATCGGCCGGGGCAGAGTTCAGTAACCCCCTACTGCCGTCGCTTGCCGTTACGACTCACATCGGTAAAGGGCAAGATTACATAGGCTGACGGTGACAAACGAGTTTTAGATGTGATCCAGACACCCGTGTGTCACACCCACTTTGCCAGGGGTGGACAACTCCAGGCAAATGCGCAGTACAGACAATGTCGGACATTTCTCGTCATATGACTACACATAAGGAACGTGGCTTGAATTTTCTTTCATTTCCAGTCAGTCAATGGAGTTTATTAAAAGAACATTTTGATGAGAGACATGTATGAGAGAAAGTACATATACAAAGTACACGGACACCATCTTGTCAACTTTGAGTGTCATGCTGCCGGCTGAAAATTGCTAAAACGAACCATCACTATCAATGTTTTACTGTACCTGCAATAGTATGCCCCAATAAGTAGCTGTAGTTAATGAATACTTATATACAGTTAATGAATACTTATATACAAGCATGCATTTCTTCCTTTAACATTTTTCTTGAAGGGTTCATGAGATTAATTTTACTGAGGAACAGATTTTTTGCATTTTTCTACTCCTCTTAAATGTATGAAAACTATTTGACATCCCTTTTTGGTTAATTTTATTGAAAGTGCACTTAAGCTTGTTTAAACATTTAAAATTTCCCATGCCTTTCCGGACAACTGAGGGCGCTGTTGCTGTGATGTCATTTCAGGAACACACTGTTCAGTTCAGGGGTTTTATGTTCAAATTGTGAACCCAAAAAATTGCTCATTGAAAACTTTTGAGAGAAAAGGTTGCTCATTTGGCTTACTGCCATGTACTGACACAACAAATCCTCAAAGAAAAGAAAATTTGCGACATCAAAAACATCCAAAATTCTGGCAACTTTTTCTGCCTGAAATGACATCACACTTTTGCTTATAAATATGGAAATTTGAATTAGCATCAAAACAAAAAAAGGCACTAAAATACCCTTGACAATGGAAAAACGACACTAGCCTCCAATTCGTCCTGCTTTCTGAGAATGCGTACTGAGGCAAGCAAAGCTGTATTACCAGAAGCAGAGAAATTAAACTACATAGATTAACATGCCTAAACATGAGCTTGAGCATGGAGATTACTTTTGGTGAATCACAAGTTTTAGAATATTTACACTTTGAAAACATTTCGTTGCCACAATCTCCATGAAATGGAAGAGAGGTGCTGTAAAATTACAGAAATCGGGTCCTGCTCATCACCACCTATCAAATGACCACATAAAAATGGAACAAGGTATGACATCATCAATGTACAGTCATCAAGCTGACCGCAATTTCCACCAAACTGTCCCCCGGCCTCCGCAGCGGTTTAGGTATCATCATAAACCTAGATTTGGTCAGCCCCATAGGGATTTAAGACTCACTGCAGATGAGCGGCCCCCTAAAAAAAACCTGACGACCGCTTCAGCCAGCGATTGATTTAATCATTGAATAAGTAATTGTACAGTAATAAGATAATAACTGAATGACTAATATCAGTAATTGAATTGTACATATTAATATTAAAATCTGGTTATAGGGTCACTTTCTGATTCATTTCAATAATAAATTTATTTGAAGTAGATCAGTTTTTGTTCAATGAAAATACACACACTTCACTCCTCAAGATTACAAGAGCCAACAAGAGTCTTTAAAAACTGAACTTTTCAGTTCCAACTATTAAAATTGTTTAAACCCACAATTTTGTTTTTAAACTGAAAAGCCATCTCATTAAATGATAATGCTACCAAAGAGTTCCTGGAATTACAGTTTTCTGTAACTTTCCCAAATTTGTTTAACTAAAAAAAGAAAACAACTAACGATCACTGCAATTATTTCATGAAATTGAACCTTAAACCTCCCCTCCATGATCATTATATTGTCATGTTAGGAAACCAATAGAAAATTAAAAAAATTGAATCAAAACTATTTGTCGTTTAGTAAAGATAGAAATATGAACGAGCAAGAAATTTAATATCTGATTTTCCCCTTCACAAAAGTACATAGTTTCATAAGCATTGTATACTTAGTTCCGTCTGAGAGACCACAAATGTGATGCGATCAAGCTACATGAGGCGATTGTCGGGAATTTTCATTTGGAGATTCAGGCCAAAATAGGGCCACTTCATCACATCTCTTGGTGTTCCGACTTCCATAATTTTTGAACTAAAGATGGTATATCAGCATGCGGTTTTCAAAGCAGTAATGCTGAGATTGTGCTCTTTTCAAATCTGTAATAAAAAAAAAATTGACCAGGGTCGACAAACGACTCATTTAGTTTGATAACATCACAAATAGTAAAACTGAAAGAACTGCTGACAAGCCAAGCTGTCATCAAAATCATCCTTCAAGAATACTTTCAAAAAAAGTCCGAAGAAAACTTTGAGAATCCTTCTCGGTGACCGGTCACTGTCGGTCCAGACAAGAGTTATTTTTAGTGGTAAAATTTAAAACAGGTACATGTGAATCAGCCCAGATGGCGATGGGAAACTCTATCCTTATCCAGCCGTCCATCACATCTGCCTGGGGGAGGGGTTACGTGGGCTTTGCCGATATTTCCTGCATGGAAACGATGGAATGCCTACAGGCATCTGCTCCTAATGTAATTAAGATGCCAAGTTTATTTAGTGCAAGAACGTCCAACAAACCACAAATGGAAACTGACTTGGATCACTTTTTGATCACTATAATGTTGAAGGAAAAAAAAGTGACAAGTGTGAGATTTGAACCTTATGGGCTCCGTACGCCAGTGTGGGCATACTGTACTGGTTCGCGTGCAAAGTACGCACGACTTCCTGAATGTGCCAAAGCTGTTAGCCACAGCATCTTTTCATGAGCCTGAGGCGTCATCGGCGCGCAAGTGCGTTCAAATTTAACTTGCGATGGTCTCCCAGACTAATTCCCGCCCCCAATAACTTTGGATACATTCTAAGTCCGCAGTTGATGGACCGGGAACCAGTCTAGGTCTCCCCCAACTCTCCTTTTCTGGCCATTGAAGGGGTACTTGTGCACGGATCCATACCTTCATGAACATGTTGAGAGTAATTACACTGTTGGCAGAGCGTAAAGACTGTTCTCTGGAGATCGCGAGTTCATATCCCACACCCAGTCATTTTCTTTGTTCAACGTTACATTGATATTGCAACACTGGATGACTTAGTTTAAAAAAAATATGAGTAAATTTCTTTAGTATTTGCTTGCGGGATAAGCGCATGAATATCAGATTGTACTTTCTGACCAATCACTTACAGCTAGCTACTTGAGTGGGGCACATCCCATTCACACACATACTTCTTCCGTAGTTGTTGATTGTGGGGACTATGCACGAGTTGTCCCATGATACTATGGGGACCGAAGACGCTGTGGGGACAGCAGAAAGTCCCCATAACTCAGTCCTAATGTGCTTACCAATAAAAACTTCCCCATAATACAGTGACGGCCGCCAACACTGGTTCAGGTGCATACGAGCTGGAGTACGTACACACGGAAAATTTTCATCAGAATTGTGCAATCCTGTAACGTCACCAGGAGAGAGGCTGTCTACAACTCCACATGCATATCTCTCTTTATCAACACGGACGGTGTTTGTGAGTTTATTGAGCAAAATGGTTCTGTTAAAATGTTTTGAATTGTTTTTGGTGATAACTTACGCATCTTCTGCTGCACTGGGTATCATACGGGCGAAGTAGGGGTACAGATTCTGATTGGACAGAACAGGTGAATCGGCACCGTAGCTTATCAAGACTGTCTTGAAGAGGGCTGCAATGGATGCGACGATTTTACTGTCCTCTGACTGCATCGGACCAATCACACCTGTGAGATAAAGTCATGTGACAGTGAGAGGATAAAGCATTAATGTATTCTGCTCTGTTTAAATCACAGGTGAAATGGCAAACTCACATTAAGAGTGTGTCTGGAGGTTTGAAACCACCCACTCAAAGTTGAAGGTAGCTTTTATATCTTTTTAAGGGCATTTTTGTTTTAAACCTTGGATTACGGAGTTTTTGGGTGCCTGTCGGGTGGCGAGTGGAAAAAAAAAAAAAAAAATCCTTACAGCGCGCTCTTAACAGCGTGGCCAGTATTTGGACAGGGTAGAAATGTCGTCACTCAGTTTTACTGCACAAAACTTATCAAAATTTGCCCGGAAAAATTAAAAGTAACAATTATATTAAGCCCCCCCCCAAAAAAAAAAAAAAAAATTGCACGAACACTTGCTTGTAATTACTCTTCGGAATGCAAATCATTAAGTTTTTCAATTAGTTTTTTTTTGGTAATCAAAAGTGGATTTTTAAATTTGTTAGTGATTTCCGATTTTTTTTTCGGTGGCGGATCCGTAATCCAAGTAATTAAACAAAAATGGCCTTATCCACCTTGGACCGGAGAGATGGCTCCCTGAACACCTAATAATTATACTCCTTATGCGGCTGATCATTGTGTACGCATTACCTATGTGTAGTTGCATGTGCATAACGATCAGTGCCTCCAAGCATCAAACAAAAGACTTGTGCTTTAGAAGCTCTTCATAAAAATCACGCTGCTATTGTGATTCATAGCCAAGGTTGGACTCGCGCACTTCCAGGACACAATAGATTAACATGCCATGAAGAAAAAAAATTGAGAACAATTGAGAAGGACAGTCATAGGAAGATCACAGGGGCACCATATGTAGGCCAGGCTTACAGGGTGGATTCCACAGGTGCACGACACGTGTCTTGACTTACGCAGTCATCCTTGACTGTCCTTAAACGAGTTCAACGGGAGGAAATTGGGATTTCTTCGGCAAATCCTGAAGACATTTGGTAGCAATTGAGACAATGGCATTGAAGCCGGGGAATAGAAAAAAAGGGCGTCGGCCTGGATTAATTCAGGGGGAGGAGGTTGTTAATGTTGAGTGATTGTGTAATTTCCTGAAAGTGCACCAGAGATGCTACAGGTGTGTGGTGTGTGGTGTATTGTGACTTGCAGTGGATGGATTAGTAGTATACTCAACCTGTGACCCACTTCTTGGAGCTACAGGCAGAAAATACTGCTAAGCAAAATATATGTGCTGAGAAAGACCAAACTTATAACCAGCCACAAGCAATATAACCTTGTTTTTGTGTGTCGGTTTGTTGGGGTTGTTGGGGTGTTTGTTTACTTGTTTGCGACTGGAGGATTTGTGACAACTATAAATCTGGGATAGTACTTCAATACTAACAGTACCTTTTTTTTGGGGGGGGGGGTTAGATGGTGGAGAAAATGTCCTCCATGAGAGGCGTAATAGATATCTCTCAAATGACATCACTGCCTACAGATTGTCACGTGTATCGGCACTTTGGGAGTCACATTTCCGTGACGTGCATTGGCTGCGCCGTATTTTGAAGGAATTTCTATCAACATGCGTGGTGTTTAGAAAATTTCGCACACTGCGCGCACACCTACCTGATGGCGTCGAATACGCCGTTGTTATTTGCCTACAAAGATGGGTGTCTATGAGAGGGGTCTAGTATTCCGATATTCACCTTGAAGGCTAAATACCCTCTCATTCTGACAAAGGAAGTGAAAATGCACACTGAATTCAAACCAATGTGAAACACCACTCCTAACCTGTGATTGGTTTGGTCTTATCGTCTTGAAGCCTGAGGTATGACGCCACAGCGTCGCTACCATCTGAGCCATCCACTACCAGCTCAAGCTCGTGCGACGTTAAGACATCACTGTCGGAATTCACTGCATCAACGGCTAGCTTGGCTCCGATCCCGATGCCACTGAAGGCTGGTATGTGGTCCGGAAACAGACCACCGAGATAGATCTTCTTCTTGGGGTTTAACTGGTCTGTTGAGGAAGTGACACATTTTTTCAAACTTCAAAAGAACAAAAACAAATTGACGTCAGAAGGGTGCATTCCAAGTCCTTCTTTAACAGTATTTTTCTCTTCTTGTGTTTATACCATGGTGTCGGTGACATACCACTGGCATCTTCACTGCACTGATATACTAGACAATCTAATTAAAAATCAGGTGATATCAAATTTTAACACAGGTAAAGGGAACAATTCCATTTTGGAAACGTTGTGGTCCAATGGTTACGGTGTTCGATTCATGTGCTGTGGTACGTGGGTTAGAACCCTGGCGGGGAACATGGTGCTTGTGCTCTCGGGCAAGACACTTTACTACAATTACTGAGCACCACCCTGGAGTATATATCTATTGGTACCTGTGAAGGTAGAGACCGAATTGTGCTGATATCAAGCTGCTGCAGAAAAACATTGTCTCTTTCCTGATGAACAGGGATAATAATTGTAAAGTGAAACCTTAGGTAAAAGGCGCTATTTAACCACCACATTTGGGTGGGAGAAGATATGAATAAGTTAGCGAAAAAAAGGTGCCCTATCGTTCGGCACTCTAGCAAATAAATGAGAATGGGCCTCACGTTTTACAGAATAACATATCCTTTCATAAGTTCTCTTTGTATTTTGTTAAAGTAATTGTTTAGAGTTGAGGCGTGGACTGTATACACATTTTGCTGCTTGCTGTATATTGAAGTAAGATTACAAAACTGTACTAACTTGCTACCCATTCATTCCAAACAGCGGGGTTGTTCTTCAGCCAGTCGCAGGCAAACTCCTGCATGTCACCGTCATTCCGGTAGTACCTCCCAAGGATCGCCAGCATCTCAAAGTCGCTGAAGCTCATCTCGGTGATCATCCTGTCCAAGTCGGGGCAGCTGTAAGCCAGCGGCAGCCATGACAGCTTGCTGACAGGGTAGGCGCGGAAATCGCAGCCTGAGTTTGAGTCGGAGTGGCTGCCCTCGATGCAGGTGGGGAAGGAGACGCGGTTGAAGAGGCCGGAAGACGTCAGGGTGTGGGGGCTCCAGCTCAGGAAGAGGGTGGGAAGGTAGGCCTGGGCACGGGAGGTGACGTAGGACTCATACTCCGGACCGATCCAGGCCACCATGACAGGGAGGCGGAGACTGGCAATCTGACCAATCAGCATGTCAAATGACGTGTCTATACAAACATAGAAACAAAAGATATATGTGGTAATCTGGGAAGCCTAATCACACTTTGCGAAGACAAAAGAATGATCCAAAAGATTGAATGTGGTAACTGTTAAGCATATTCACTGGTGGGAATAGTCAGCAACGACCAACAACAAAATGGAAATAAACAATGGACTACCAGTAGATTCTTACTCCCATCCCAATTTCTACTTTTAATAAATCATGAAATAGAGACCTTCACTTTACAACTGATTTCGGATTTCATCATAAACAACTCTGTTGTGTGCAGTTGTGTAAGAATTTGTATTACAAATTTTGCAAATAAACTTAAAATAAGCACCAAGCCTTTCAAAGGCAAGGAAACCACAATCAATGAAACTAAGAACGTCAGCGTACTTGTGACTGATGTTTGTAAATCATAAGCAGACTAGTCATCACAGAGAGGTCACAAATTGACCGACAAATCCCCCACGCGGACCACACTCCTCTATCCCAAATTTCAAGAGCCAGTATCCAAAACCGACGGTGACACAAATCGGTCACTACGCACCGTGGGATGCGACCTAGCAACCCGTGGCGACCAGTTCACCGTCGCCGATTTCTTCGGGGAACAAGATAGCAACGAGGACATCAACACAGGAAGAATCACAAGTTTTCTTGTTGATCCGAGTGGACACCATCGGTGACCTCGCCAATTAGTGTGATACCTAATCCTTATCGGGTTGGACCATCACCGTCCCAAGGCGCGTGTATTCCAAAATGCTTAATCATTATGAAGGGCAGATTACTCCCAAACCGACGTTTGCTAATCCTTTCGAAGTCAGAGAATATAACCTCATTGTCAAAAGTGGACTTTGCGTCAAGACTCTTTAGTTGGGACTGATAGCCTGACTATCTTCTGAAACATGCACTAGGCTCTATCTTATTTCCCGGTTTTAAGTGGTGAGCAGCCGTGTAAATCAGGCAAACACACACGTGTGTTTCCCTTTTTTTGTTGTATAAACATGAATTCCTAAATAAGTGTCACTGGCACTGCAATATTGAGTTGTACAGAGATTGCATTCATTTGTTTTTACAACACAGAAAAATATTCCAAGAAAAAATTCCAAGAAACTCTAAGAATAAGATAAGGATGGAATTGCAAAAATGAAACGTGAGTAGATTCAATGGAAGAGGTCTTACAGATATTTGTCTGCTTAATTCTTACGAATAAAAAGAGAAAAATCAGCTCTTCGTTTTGATGTATCACTACAGTAGCGAGTCCAGGGGTGCCACACTGGCAGTGACCGAAATTTTCTCAAATAAGGCCATTTTTCACCCAAAAGAGCCTTTTGGCCCCCGGCACACCCACCGTCGCCCCGACTGTAACCTCTTTGGATCCACCCTTTCACTGAATTTGATATTCTTAATGAAGATGGGACAGTCACTGAAAACTTACATTTTGAGTGTACATTTTGAGTGTGCAAGATTTGGTTAAGAGCTTGTAACTCTAATGTAGATCTGGCTACTTCTGACCCGTTTAGCTGGGTTGGGTCGCATTTCTGGACAGAACTTTTGTCACTACATGCACGTCACAAAAAAAACACCACAAACCTGGATAACCAGCAACAAGCGTAGCACACTCCGCCGTCTGTGAGGTGCCATTCATGCCCTGGCAATCAGAAGGAATGTACATTCCCCGGACGCACCCCACTCTCTCGCAGTAATACCTGGTCTCCTTGCCTTGTGGCTTCCCAGATGAGACCGTGGAGGGTTTGACGACAACAAGCCCTCGTAGTTCAGACATCGGGATGAGGAGCTGTTGGATTAGCGTCGGGGAGTGCAGGCTCTTCCAGTGATCGGCAATGAGCTGGTGCTGCTCCCACATCTGGGCCACCAAAGTCTGGGAGATGAACCAGCCGTACCTGTCCAAGTTCAGTGGGAAAAAAAACAGAAGAGAAAAAAACTTCATATAGGAGGGATCAGAGAAGAATTTCAGCACTGCTTTATGATGCTTAAATCTGGTATATTGATGAGAGAAATACTGGTACCAAGCCTCAATGCCTTTGATTGACAATTCTTCCGTAACATTCCCGTCATCCTGCACTGTGGTTGGACTATGTCAAAAACCAACTAATGTTGTACAAAGTAGACGAGTCCATCACAAGTCTACATGTAGGTCACAAGTAAATCACAAGTCAATATTTTATTCACAACTCCGGTCATGGGAGTAACATACGGGAGATGAACAACATTTGTCACACTTCATTTGAATTGCTTGCGACTTAATTTGGGATTGATTTATTTCTGTTTGACTTGTGTGGACTCTTTCTGGACTCGTTTACAACACTGACAACTGAATATCGCCAACATGCCCTTGACACAAAGGGTAGCTTGATGTCATACATCCATAACCACAAAGCCATCAAAGCCAATCTTGAAGTTAAAATGGGTTCCTAAAGGAAACAGACCGAGAAGAAGCAATTACATGGCAAAACACTGTAACAAGAAACCTGGACAGTGAGGGTACAAACTGGGAAGATGCATGCATGCTTTGTGGAGACCTGGGACAGTGGAAAGCTTTCTCTGCCTCGTGTACGTGTCAGTAGATAAAGTAGAACTTATGCCTAAGTTACACTAAAAAGAAACAGGAAAATTAACTATATCTAAACTGCTGCAGACTGCTCAATGACTGGATTGACCTGAAATATACAAGTCAGAAAATGTATCTTCCTGATATTTTATCCTTCGCAAGGCCTTCTTTAGGGGCAAAAAGAAACAGGCCAGAATTGCACTGTGATGATGATGATCCGATCCGGTTGCTTATCTTTTCTTTACAAGAAAATATGCCCCGTTTACAAGCTCCATCAGGACAAATGTACACCTATGCCTTGGGGACTTTTTTATCAATAGCTCACATTAACTCCATTACCGTGTGGAAATGACTCTTTATTACTAACTACACACAGCAACAGACAGCAAGCCGTGTCGACTTCTCCAAAAATAACAAGTTTGACCAAAAAACCCAAGTCGATGTGAGTCACTGATGATTGCGGCCAAAAAAAAAGAAGAAAGACACATGTACATGTAAGTAGCTTATTAATCGGAGCCACTGTGGCTAAAGGGGATAATACAAATTAAACGACATCCAAATACAAATAGATTAAGCTGTGGAGTCATTTTGAACTAAATTATTATAACATTCGGTATTTTGTGATCAAAATTACCCCAGCACTTGCTGCTGGGGTAATTTTTTTAAGAGTGGATTTTTTTTTCCTCAACGCAGGGCCTCACGGATCTCAAGGTGGGAATAACGGTAATTTCCAGGAAGCTAAAGAACTTCCTCTAATTTGTCTTCCCAACAGCTCCACTAAGTCTGTCAGTTACGCATGTGGAATGGGGACTTTACACACAGTGCAAAAAACTGTGATTATTATTGGAATTGGCAGATCCACGTGCATGTACGTGCAAATGAGCCATGAAGAAGGGAACTGTGTCATCCTGCAACTGCTGAGATTCTCTCAAGGGCTGCATGATGTGACTTGGTGAGGAGCACTGAACCATATAAACCATTTGGGCTCAGCATCAGACTAGGGGGAACCCAAAAAGTGATGGCAGGGATTTTTTTATTTAGAACGCAGGACGTGGAAATTATAGGCAACAGGGTATGGGGTTGATGTTTCCCCCACTGTAATCACGGAGGGATAATATACATTTCCTACATTTCCATCCTGTTCACACATTGGAATGCATCTCCTCCAATTGAAATGGTGGTCTAATTCATGCACATGGCAGATCTACAACAGAACATGAAGAATATCCTCTTACAATTTGTACATGTACATTGAAAATTGCTATGACAGTATGAAAAATACTCAAATGAGACCGCAGCCATGCATGCCCCCAAAGACTGTCTGGTTTTAAGTCATTAAACTACAAGAGGAGTGGAGACTGTTTGCACATCGATGCTAATCATTGCCTTTTCCTCTGCAAATTCGTGTAATATTAAAAGATAGTTAAGAAAAAGGGGGAAAAGAGCATCTCTTTTCTGTAGCATCAAATAGGTCCATATTCCCCATTTGAGTTTGCAACGGCCCGCTGGCTGCCCCCACCCCCAACCCCCAAAAAGTGGTTCTTGATCCACAAGTGGAGAAACCTTGGTAAATAAGGGAATAAATATGTGTTTGCCCGTTTTAAACAAGTACGTTTAGCTAGGGCCCTGGAATGTGCATTCGGCGACCAGGCCCCTTGCCGGTTTTTAACGTACTTGTTTAATACCGGCCAAGCACATATTTATTCCCATTCATTAATACCTTTCGGTCAAAAAGTCCAAACAAGTCAAAAACTGAACATTTTCAAAGATTTTGTTCAACAGTTTTACTTCATGTTTTGTGAAACACCCGACTAGCTATGTTTATGATATGTGCCTTGCATGAGTAGTAGTAACAATCTCCTTATATGGAGATTGGTACCTGCATGGCGCGTACTGCGCGATATTGCACAGAACGCAGTGGTGCCGGTATAAGGTGAATTTGGGACTATGAAATACGGATCTCATGAAAGTGACTGGTCCCGTGTGAGGGTTCAACCCCAAAAAGAGTATAGGACCTAAGTGACCAGATTTCACAGCGGAAAAAAAGTGTTTAAAGCCCGAGTCCATCATTTGCAGCTATCCAAAAAAGTAACTGGCGTAATTATTGTTGAAAAACATACTGGTTGAAAGATAGTAAGGGGACTAAACTCCCTGTGAAATGATCCTTTCTGGCAAGCTCTCATTTTGAAGAAATCAACGAAAGAAGGCATTTCCAACGGTGCGTCTTAAGAAGCACCGTAGGAAAATTTAAATTAGTAGTTCGTTTTGTTATTCGGCGCAGCGCGCACAAGCATTGGAACGACGCACAGGCGCGCGCGGTTGCTATAATTCGTCAGATCAGTGCGCGACATCGCGTAAAGCTGCAATTCAAAACAATTCGAAACATGATTTAGCAACTTTTGATTTGAAATTGAGATCCTAGAATGCTGTTTTTCTCGGAATATAAAGCTGAAGCTGAGCTGAAACTTCATCAAGTAAGTTGTTCGGTATCCTTCATTAGATTTTGAACACTTTTGTTGCTTCAAACGAACAAAATGCACTAATAACAAATGATGGACTATAGCTTTAAAACCAGTTGGTGTTTTATCAGGTGTTTAAAAAGTGACCCATGTGAAGGGCTCTCAATGAATAGGAATAGGTAAACTAGCTGTCTTAATGAATCCTTACTGAAAAGTGCTGAAAAGCTCTACTACTGTACATGGGTAAAATGTACGGCCTACTTGCCAGAAAATATTGATACAGTGTTGACACTGTTTTTTTTACAACATTTTTTGAAAGTGTTTGTGACTAATCTGCAGTTGTAGGCAAGCATCATGTCCCTTTATCGGATCATTGACAGCCTAATATCGCATGCATTCATCTTCGGTTGATGACAAACTTCCTTCAAACTTAGAGTCAGCTGTAACCGTTTTGAAAGTAGCCAAGTGTTTCTCAAACACCTGCAGATTTTGATGCTGCCATAAAGTGATTAGTTTTGCCGCCTTATTTCCTGCTGATTGCTCATGTAATCAATTTTTTTTAACTCTTCATGTACATGTATGTAAATTGGCCTTTCAGCTATAGGCGCCTGCCTAAATCAGCCCAAATTGATCCAACACTTCACAAAATTGGGACACACATTTAGGTAATTTCGGCTAGGCTGAGCAATCGTGACTTGAAAATGAAAACAAAGTGCAAAATGGAGCCGAAGACGTGGATTTTAATGGGCACTGTGGAGTCTACTCATGAACACCAGTGACGGAACCCATCACAGCATTTTCTCATCGGCTTGCCTACACATTTCTCTTTTCCAAACAAGATTTTCCAATAACTTTTGGTAGATTGTTTTGTGGGAAAATTTTAAACGTTTAATTATTGGGTTTTGGACTTCACAAGCAAAATGTTAAAAACACCTTATTTGTGTAAGGACACAATACTGGCAACCAAAAGTGGGACATTAGATCTGAAGAAAGATGAAAGCTGCATGCTGTTAGTTTTCTCTTCAATTGTTGGAAAAAACATCGCTTTGAGTGGAAAACAACACTGCAAAGATAATAATTGTAGGCCAAATATTTTTCACTACAATGCAGATTATAATGGTATTTTTAGACAGTTTTTGTAAACTATACCGGTACATGGTGTCCACTTTGCACTTAAGTGCATTCCTCTGCAAGTATCCAACAAGGCAAGTGTGGGCTTTTTGTAGTCTTGTCAAGGTACCATATCCATTTCTTATGAGAATCAAATTGTGGAAAAAAGCTTGAGGAGAATTTGCTTCACTAATAAGTGGACACTGTACATGTAACTACAGTATAACGTTAAGTGGACGCTGTAACTAACATTAAACTGTGCTGTGATAATTAAAAAAGTAAAACAATAGCAAATGCATTTGGCAATAGGAGCATCTAACTTAACTGTTCTTGTCAAGTAATGTTATTGACATTTTCAAGCTGCCTGCAGTTTCGGAGAAAATTAAATTAAGTTCAACATTAGTTACAATGTCCACTTAACTTAGTTAAGGTGTCCACTTATTAGTGAAAAACCTACTTCTTGTCCAGCTTTTTTCCGCAATTTGATTTTAATAAGAAATGGATACCTTGACAAGACTGCAAGAAGCCCACAATTGCCTTGTTTGATCAATTCAAATTCACATTTCATATAGGCCCTGCACCTAAAAAACTGTAAATTATTTGTAAATCACGCGACATGTGTCACGTATTTGTTTGCACACGAGCATCCTACGACATTGTCGCGCTACAAAATCGCGTATGTGTAAGTAGGCCTTAAGTTAGTCTTTCACTCTATTGGTCAGTCAGAGGAGGATAGACGGGCCCTTCCAGTCAGGCAAAAATATTAGATCTCTCACTGTTTAAAAGATCCATGATAGAAGACTAGAAGGAAACACACCTTGCAGTAAAGCCTAGGAAGCCGTTGCCTTTGATGGTACCAGTGTCCAACCACAGCGACATCTCTAGAAGGTTGTTCTGCCACACCTCCGTGTTGATAGTAGCATGACTGGCATCATTGGGCATCAACACGGCACGACAACTGGACAAGGGGTAGAAGAATAAGAAGCAAAGGAAGATAAAATCATATTAATATCATTTTTACAACTGTTTCCTTACAGACATTCACAAGAACTTGGAGGCCTTTGCTTTAAAACGTTTTGAAAATTATTTCTTCAACCACCTCCACCAATTTTTGGAATACAGATCAACATATGTGATGGGATCAAGCTAAATGAGTCGTTTGTCGACCCTGGTCCAATTTTTTTTATTACAGATTTGAAAAGAGCACAATCTCAGCATTACTGCTGTGAAAACCGCATGCTGATACCATCTTTAATTCAAAAATTATGGAAATCGGAACACCAAGAGATATGATGTGATGTGATGAAGTGGCCCTATTTTGGACTGTATCTCCAAATGAAAATTCCCGACAAACGACTCAATCCTATGTGATCGCATCACATATGATCACAAGGGTGCATCAAAAACATTATCCAAAATAGTGGGTTACAATGTTAAACTATGAGATTTATCAGCTTTCTGTTGATACATATGTACCCAATACTTGTATCCTAGCAGTCATGGGTGACTCAGCAACATTGAATTTAAAAAAATAAGCACAAAACCTTTTACGAAGCTCATGGTCTGAATTTAAATGGGCTCCGTGCACAAGCATCCCCTCAACTACAAGAAAGATATAGTGTTTGGGAAGACCACTGGGAGAGACATTCAAACACATTGCTGATGACGCCTGATGCTCATGCAAAGACGCTATGGCTCTGTGCACAAAATAAAATTAGTTGTGCGTACTTCGCACTACATATAGACGGTGCATCCCGTCCACTGAGCTCTCAAAGTGGTCAACAGCGCCCTCTATTGTTTGCGCTGGGAGTCCATAAAGGTGGCATGAGGTAGCCAAGCATTGCGCATCCCTGTGGTCTGCTTGGGCCTCCCCTTTTTACATGCAGTCCACATGCACTCACTGCTCATCTCACTGCTCACAACTAGCCTGGAACTTGGCCAAAACAATTGCTTTTATCTTCTCTTGCGAAATCAATGGTGCCCAGTCATTCATAACTGCAGGGGTGCAAGTAAGGAAGCAATGGAACACTGACAAACCACCCTTTAAGATTCAACCACAGAGACACCTAGCGTTCAAGTTCATAGTGTTCAAATTCATAATTTCCACATTCTACCCCGATTTTTTTGGATTACCGGTACATGTACCCCCTTTTTTCCCCGAAAAATCCTCTACTGAGGCCTCTACTTTGATCGCCACTGCATTTGACACTGAGATCCATGCTAATCAGCGAGCAGGCACAAAGCACAAAATGATAACCATGTGTCAAGCGCTGATGCACGTCTCGAGATGACTGTCTTCAAAACCCACGGTGACAGCCCGTAATTGGCCGCCAACACAACAGCCGACTCTTGTTGTCGGAGGGCCCAGAAATTGGACTTGACAACTCAATTTACACCCTTGTCCCTTGGCAAGCCGGCTCTAATTAAATACGTCTAGCCAAGAACCCAGCTAAACCTGGATAGTTTAAGTGTATCATGGCTGACAAGTTAAGGATTCTCAATGCCTCCATCAATTTCTTGTGTTGTGTTTCTGATGAAGTAATTTGCAGTGGTCTAACCCTTCATTTGTGCAGCATTTTTACAAAACCTCAATTGTATTTGTCTTTTCATACAATTAGTCTTAATTATAAACACAGGACCTAAAACGAAAAGGGGGGGGGGGAGGGGAAAGCACTTTTCTGCCCTTTTGACCAGTATGTGTTGTTATTGATGTACAAGCAACTTAATTGTTATCCCCAATTTGTGAAAAATGTGCAAAAAGCAAGAAAACAACAATTAGCTGAAAAACCAAACTACAACATAGTGGTATTTGATGTCCTTAACCACTTCACACCAGGATTATTTTTGCTGAACATTTCGATTTTCGCAAAAGACAAGATTTTCCAGCCAACTTTTGACATACAGCCAAATGCAACAAAAACTGATTTGTAAACGTCATTTCAGTATTTGTATGATATTTCTTGCCGAAACCTCTATGTTTCAATACTCTGGGGTGTGCACTGGAGCGTAAATTGTACAACAAAAGGCCGTGCACAACAGCCAATTCAAGATCCGCCTCCACAGACTTTGTGTGTGTGTGTACAAAAGGCACGAGGGATTAGTGCATTTAGACGTCACCCGGAGGCAAGTTTAGGCAATCTCGACGTTAACCCGTCAGCTGTGCCTGTGTACAAAAACAGCCAGTGCGTGTCATCACATCCTCCGATGCGAACTGGTTAAACAGACCGGCATTAAAAAGTCACACGAAACCAAAGAGTATTATTGTAAGAATGACTTGAGTTGACTCAAATACAATGTAGACTTATGATTTGAGATAGCAAGACTTTATGTACCGGTACCAATTTTCACAACATCTGCGATGGAAAGTTCAGACTTTCGCTTGTACATGCTGTTGTTCCTGTCTTCAAATCTGAGCTTAATTCAAATAAACATTATTGTTCGGTGTGACTTTTGAATTCAAGTTTTAAATGGAGGTGTTAATTTACGGGGCTCACTTGTAATCAGCACACCCAGAGACTCTCTGCAATGCTACCGTGGAGTTGTGGAAGTCAACGTCCGAGCTCAAGATCCTAACATCCTCATAGCCCAAGACTTCCATGGCAAGCGTCCTAACGACGTGATTGGTGAAGTCAGAAGAGGGGTTGACACCGGGCCGGCCATCCAGGAGAATCGGTCGGGCCTTACCCTCCACAAACAACTGCTGCTTCGGGAAAACCTCTGCAAGAAATTAATCGATTACAATAGGTTCACATTTCATCAGAGTTGTAACGAGTCACTGATTTTTGTGACTCGAATCGAGTCGAGTCATTTTGAAGAAGTGACTCGAGTCGAGTCGAGTCATTAGGTCAAGACGGTCGAGTTGAGTCGAGTAGAGTCGAGTCACAGTGTGTAGTCGAGTTGAGTCGAGTCGAGTCAAAGTATTTAGCTCGAGTCAATTCGAGTCACAAATATTTCAGCACTATACAATAAATAAACACAAGAGAAAAAGTCGTTTTTTGGCTTTTTAAATTTTACATTCGTGCTACTACATGTGGCGACACCACATTTGCCTCTTAATGAAAAGAAAAAGGGGGTGCCAGCTGATCGTCATTCAACTAATGGGGACACTGATCAAACCACGTATGTATAATGTATACATTATTATCAACATTCTAATGTGACGTGAACAAAAACCAGCACCGGCGTAAGTCATTGCAAATATTTTTCGCAAAGTTTTGCTTTTATTTTTGGGACTTGAGTCTCATTAGCCTTCATCGAGTTGAGTCGTTCTGATGAGGGACTCGAGTCGAGTCGAGTCATTTGCCCTTAGGGACTCGAGTCAAGTCGAGTCACCAAAATCGTGACTCGAGTCGGACTCAAGTCGAGTCATTGACTCGAGTCATGACAACTCTGCATTTCATTTAAATGCCAATGCCAAGATGCAAATTTATGTGAATGCGAATGCAAAGCAAATGTGTCACAACAAACAATTTTGTGGTGAAATTAGCCAGAGTTGAAATACGTTCCGGTACGTACAGCCATAGACTGTGTACAGCTTACACTGTGCCAAGAGAATAGATGGATAATTAGGATAAATTGATTTTTAATGGGGTCTGGAGTAAGTCTAAGATGGAAACTGGAAACCAAACGTGGAAGTGAGGGACGGAAGAGGTGGAGCACATTTCTTTCTTTCCGGGAAAACATCTTCGGTGGTCAGCCCTGGCAGATTTTACAGAGTAAGGCTTCTGCCGCACTGTACTGGTAATCACTCCAGACTTATCCGGCGAAGCCAAGCCCCTTTGGCAAATACTGAGGTAGGATCATATTTACATGAATGACGCATACATTGTATGTTCTTAAAGACAAGGATTGCCTGTAATTTTAACTCTTTTGGTCAAAAAAGCTTGTTTCATGGGTATTCATGGTTCCTCAGTCACGGTGGACAATTAAGTCAACAAATTAGTCTGTACACATGTACATGACTGTAAGTGCAGCTTCAATTAAAGTGTGTACACAATTTTTAAATAAATTATTGTTTATACCAAGGACAATTCCAACTGCCATAGTAGTAGCCTTTGGTTGTCCAAAGATACTGCACTGGTACGATGGGCTGATCATCATGAAGGGGTGTACAGCGGGCGGGAGCATGAACCCTTCCCCCTCTTGGCAAATATAAATGACCAACTGAAATTGACAAATGGTGGACACCTCGCCCCCCTGGCACAGGCTCCCAGCCCCTCTGGGAAAGGCTCCCAGCCCCTCTGGCAGACAACCAGCCCCTCTGACAAAGGCTCCAAGCCTCTCTGGCAAAGGCTCCCAGCCCCTCTGGCAAAGGCGACCAGCCCCTCTGGCAAAGGCGACCAGCCCCTCTGGCAAAGGCGACCAGCCCCTCTGGCAAAGGCGACCAGCCCCTCTGGCAAAGGTGCAGCCCCTCTGGCAAAGGCGACCAGCCCCTCTCGCAAAGGCGATAGCTTGATCTACATTAAACTACTAATCCTCAAGTTCACAACTGCCACAGTTTCACTCTCTGAATCTAGCTTTACCCTGGAAACAATTTTGTTAAACCTGTCTAATTTGCAATGCCATACTCTCCATCAGCCTACCTGCAAGGAGATCGACGCTGATTACACCTGATCAATTCCCAGTCATTCAATCAATCACGGTAACGTCTAATCCGTCAATAATCTAAATCAAAAACTTGCCCAGTGTCTGCCCAGACATCCCCCCTCCCCCTTCAAACGATGACGGGCTCGGTGACATGTTAATCCCCTCTAAGGGAATACCCCGCTGATTTATTGAGGAAGGAGTGTGATGAGTTCCTGAGGCGTCTGATGGTGGTGAAACAATTGTAAAGAAAGCGTGACGAAACCCGTCGGGGGCACGGGGTTTGGGAGGATGACAATGGAGAGATGTGCTGATCAGGCCAATGTGTATAATGATTCAAGGTAATCTTGCACTTTGACCAACAATCAATGTCTTTGACAAATGTCTTTGGAATAAGCAAGGTCTTTTTGAAACTTGTATGCAAAGTTACATGTAAGCTTACGTCTTGGTACTCACAAATTTTATTTAATTTACAGTACAAACTACAAAGCCAGTTATGTCCTAATCATACACATGCACACAAATTATGTACAAATGATACACAAAGAAAACCAGTAAGTTTTAAGCTCTCCGACTGTGGTCTGACAATTTGAAAATTTTCATTCAAGACTTTACACTTTTGGAATAGTAGTGACAAGGAAATCAAGACTGTGTCGATCCTTACAAGCTGCTTGACTATTTCCAGCGTGCAGGCTCTCCTGGCACTTTTCCAAGATTTTAGCCCTCATCAGCAAAAAAAGGGGACAGCTGGTCCATGCATGTGTTAAAAAACCAACAAGTGGCACCAGTAAAAACCTCAACATCTGGCAGCTCAATGTATGACAAACAAATGCCCTTTCCACTCAAAGTCTACTTGCAGATGTTTGGTTTGTGGTGGGTACATGAACGTGTACATGTACATGTATGACAAATCAAACATTTGTTCCCTAAAGTGCGTCTGGGAGTGTGGCCTTTCGAAACCAAAACTTTGTCTTACGGGGACAATAAAATCCTCGCGAGAGATTATCCAAGCACATTATCTGACTGTTAGGCCGGATGAGTAAACGTGACAGGTCTCCAACTTGGGATTGAACACGTACAAATGTGTATGACTGTATACAAATTCACAGGGAAAACATAGAAATGTTTTTACTTTGTTCTGCGTCGACTCTTCTAACAAGAAGTATTTGTCATTCACTCTCAAAACTTGAAACTGGCGTTCTTAAGGTTGAAATAAAAAAAGTCATGTGCCGTGGATGGTTTAGTTTTGTGCACATTTTCATTAGGACCCCATGACAAGTTTGTCTGGCTTTTTGCCGATTTAATGATTTTTTCAGTTAAAAAAATTAAATTTTACTCACCTTCAATCTAATGAAAATCTGTATCAAATAAATTATTACTGACCCAATTTCTTTATCACAACTTTCAACTTGGATCTCAGATTTTTTTCCAAATCACTATCAAGGGAGTCAACATCCACAGAATTTAGTGTGAATATCACGATGTCAACGATTGAATTTCATTTTTGTGACATTCGCTGTTACCCTAACACATTTGCTTCGTACTAAAATTTGCGTGAAGTATTGCAACCAGCCTTAATAGCACAAAAGGTTTAACACAGGTCCGAGTTTTTTTCTTGACACGAGCATTAAGAAACGAGAGAGTACACAGAGCCTTCAGATCAATTATGTAAGTGAAGGCTAAAAAAGCAATATCAAAAGAATGCTGTCTTCTGAAGCAAAATAAATGTAAAACCCCTGAAGCACATGTTTGAAATTGACCACAGATGTCAACAAATGTCCCAGATGACTGCAATTGCAATCTCATGTTGCACGCGCCCAAAGCTATCAATCCACTACCGCTGAGTCCGTCTTGGGACCCGAGAACCGCAATTGGTTCAGTATTTGGTCTGAGGGTGTGATGCGTTGACAATGACGAGACACTTTTTTTCCTAAATATGCCTGCCAAACTGCCGGAGAGAAAGAGTGCGGGAGAGAGAACAGTTCCCTGTGACGGGAGTTCCCTTGTGAGCAAAATCTTGCCCGATCCAATCTTGATAAATTGTCCAATTCACCCAGATAAGAATTTACCCCTTACCCCTATACAGCTCTCTTGTAATACACTGTATGTTTAATGTTACATGAAAAGAATGGGTGTCTAGGGGTGGAGGCAAAAAGTGCACAATCATCAACAGGTACAGGTAATTCATGTACAATTTTGACAGTATATATGAGTATCCACAATGTTTCCCTGGTGATACCAGTTAATGTACAGAATGCCGACACCTGTCAGAAAGGTGCACTAGACCTATATTATGTGACGCTATCTTGGAAATCAAACGGAGGCATTTAACGCAAACAAACATGGCGGCGTAGTGTGTGCGGTGAACGAGTGACTACTCACAAAGTTACACGGGTATACATGCATACGTGCGCGAACATGAAATTAGAAACACTTGTACGACGATAATGACTCAGAATTTGACTACAGCGATTACAAGTACTTCATGTAGCTTCAATTCTTGACAAGATTTAGTGTGACCACCGCAACAACCATCACCTTAGACCAGGGTCACGTAAAAGTGCTTGCGTTGGTTAGCTTGGCCCTGTTAACGTACCAATCCCAAAGGGAACGATAGTGTCATCGAAAAACTGTTGTCCAAATGGCGACCCCTGTATGCCATTCCCACAAGTGTCACTGTTTGGATAGCAGATTTTAAATTCCTTAAAAATTACTTGTGACTGGAAGTGAATTGTTGCCCAAAAAACATGAACCTATTGGGGATGTGAAAAATAGACAATTTCAGCACCGACAGGATCATCATATTCGTTGTGTGTGTTGGCCTTTTTGGAAAAACGTAGCAAATGACTTGGGAAGACCGTCGACTTTGTTGCCAATGTTAATCAACATTAGTCGCAAACAGTTGGTCCAATTGCGTGAGTGGAATGCCGCCCAGTGTCAGATTTCAAGCAGTTCACAACTTCAGCTTAGTAGAAAATATCCCATAACCTTATAGCAATTAACAAATATCAGTACCTGACCTCCATGACAGATACCAGACTTAGAAACTACCATCCAGCAAGATACCAGCTTCTCACAACCCATTCCTCCAAGGACATCTACAAGTTCTCCTTCATGCCTACAGCAGTCCGGCT